ATAATTAAATATCAGCAATATAGATTCATTTAAAAATAAATGATAATAATTCAACGAATTGAATTCGTTATTAGATTCTCTATGTCCTTTTTTCTCCCTAAAATATTCAGCCATCAGTTAGTGGTATATACAGGGTGACTGGTTACTTAATTACTATCAATATTTAAGGAGAATACTCGGTACATGATTCTCATTCGAATTATGTAAAAAAAATAGGTACTTAATTTTTGACCAAATTTCCGTATAAATAAATAAAGTGTTGACACGTTCCAAGTGTTCCAAGTGTGGACGCGTGCGGCGGCGTGCTGATACAACAAGACGCCGCCGCGCCCGAGTGTGTGTGTGTATACCTAATCTGTAGGGTGTTCACACGATGCTTAATTAATTACATAACTTTTGGTTAACTTTACTTAGAAGTTTATTAATATTTATGTTATATTAATTTTTATTTTGTCATATATGATCGTCAAATATCACGTCCTCAAGTATCGATGGTAATTCACCAGTCACCCTGTATATGACGAGAAAGTCGTATTGGTAATAAAAATATAATATTATATGTGAAATATATATTTTTTCATATTACAGTAGAACCCCTTTAAGTCAAAAACCTCAAAATCTCGAAAAAATGTTTTGTTACCTTCCTTCAAACACCAAATCCTCCATTACTTGAAATCTTGACCCTCTGTCATTCGAAATAATCACCGAGTCCCTCCAAGCCGTTTTGGTACATATTTTGTGGTTAAAGAACATTATTTTCTCATAAAGAACATACAATGTTCACTTAAATGAGATATATTACATAATTTAATTTAATTAACAATTTAGTATAGTAGTAACGACTTATACAATTCAAGAGTAGTTAATCTAAGTGCTTTTTACAATAAATTAATAATTTCTTTCTAAAAATCGTAAAGGTTTTTTCATTAATAATTTCATTAGGTAAGCTATTATATAGTTTCGCTCCCTCAAACTGTATACTTTTAATTCCGTATTTGGTCCTGGTCTTGGGTAATTCAAGTTTCTGTTTATTTCTCGTGTTATGTTTATATATTTTAGTTTTAAATGTTATTTGTGTGTGTACTGATTTTATAAGTATTTTTCTAATTAATATGCATGTTTTATATTTGTATAACTGGTTAATTGATAATACATTGGTACGTTTATATACAGGGTGACTGGTGAATTACTATCAATATTTAAGGAGCATACTCGGTACATGATTCTCATTCGAATTATGTAAAAAAAATAGGTACTTAATTTTTGACCAAATTTCCGTATAAATAAATAAAGTGTTGACACGTTCCAAGTGTTCCAAGTGTGGACGCGTGCGGCGGCGTGCTGATACAACAAGACGCCGCCGCGCCCGAGTGTGTGTGTGTATACCTAATCTGTAGGGTGTTCACACGATGCTTAATTAATTACATAACTTTTGGTTAACTTTACTTAGAAGTTTATTAATATTTATGTTATATTAATTTTTATTTTGTCATATATGATCGTCAAATATCACGTCCTCAAGTATCGATGGTAATTCACCAGTCACCCTGTATATGACGAGAAAGTCGTATTGGTAATAAAAATATAATATTATATGTGAAATATATATTTTTTTCATATTACAGTAGAACCCCTTTAAGTCAAAAACCTCAAAATCTCGAAAAAATGTTTTGTTACCTTCCTTCAAACACCAAATCCTCCATTACTTGAAATCTTGACCCTCTGTCATTCGAAATAATCACCGAGTCCCTCCAAGCCGTTTTGGTACATATTTTGTGGTTAAAGAACATTATTTTCTCATAAAGAACATACAATGTTCACTTAAATGAGATATATTACATAATTTAATTTAATTAACAATTTAGTATAGTAGTAACGACTTATACAATTCAAGAGTAGTTAATCTAAGTGCTTTTTACAATAAATTAATAATTTCTTTCTAAAAATCGTAAAGGTTTTTTCATTAATAATTTCATTAGGTAAGCTATTATATAGTTTCGCTCCCTCAAACTGTATACTTTTAATTCCGTATTTGGTCCTGGTCTTGGGTAATTCAAGTTTCTGTTTATTTCTCGTGTTATGTTTATATATTTTAGTTTTAAATGTTATTTGTGTGTGTACTGATTTTATAAGTATTTTTCTAATTAATATGCATGTTTTATATTTGTATAACTGGTTAATTGATAATACATTGGTACGTTTATATACAGGGTGACTGGTGAATTACTATCAATATTTAAGGAGCATACTCGGTACATGATTCTCATTCGAATTATGTAAAAAAAATAGGTACTTAATTTTTGATCAAATTTCCGTATAAATAAATAAAGTGTGTACACGTTCCAAGTGTTCCTAGTGTGGACGCGTGCGGCAGCGTGCTGATACAACAACACGCCGCCGCGCGCGTATGAGTGAGTGTGTAGTGTAGAGTAATCTGTAGGGTGTTCATACGATGCGTAATTAATTACACAACTTTTGGTTAACTTTACTTAGAAGTTTATTAATATTTATGTTATATTAATTTTTATTTCGTCATATATGATCGTCAAATATCACGTCCTCAAATATCGATAGTAATTCACCAGTCACCCTGTATATAATTCTTTAGTTGACATGTAATAATCTAGATGGAATAATGTTTTTAGTATTTTGCGAATATTTTCACTGTATAACTCGAAAAAGTAAATTTGACCTCTGTATATCGAACATTTCGGCTACTTTACAGCAACCGTGATCATCTCGTCTGCCCGTAGTATGTAGTTTATAGTCAAAATAAGAAACGCGTAGTAAATCCGAAAATATTAGTTTCATTTAAATGGAAAAGTGGTGTATTGGTTAGGCTTATAAGTTTAAAGGTTATAATTATTATGATTAAAATCATATTACATATTTTATTGTTGCCATATTCCTTAACTTTGCAATTCTTAAACGAATATGACGTCACGACTCATAGACAACATATTTTATTTCAATATCTTCCAAAGTCATTTCATATACTCCAAAGAGGTCTCTTTGTTATCTAGAACTAGCTTTCCGCCCGCAGCTTCGCCCGCGTGGAGTTTGGTTATATCGCGTTTCCAAGAGAACCTTTCAAAAGTCTGTGATAAAAACTATCCTATGTTCTTTCTCAAGGTCAAGTCTATATCTGTACCAAATTTCATTAAAATCAGTTCAGTGGTTTAGGCGTGAAAGCGTAACAGACAGAGTTATTTTCGCATTTATAATATTAGTAGGGATTGAATTTTTTTTTTTTTTGTTCACGTCCTTGGTAAATTGTTAAGGTCGTCTAGACGAGCTCGGCCGTTGATCCTATAGTTTTTATTGGGTTTTTATATTTTGTAGCTTGTACATACATTTTGTATGATTGACTTTTGTAATAAATATCAATGGAGTATCGTATAAAGTATATTATAATTAGGAACAGTTGTTCATTATATAGTCCTGGAACTGATGTTTAGTCCGTTCTCTGTTCTGTTACCGTTACTCGGACTAAGAATACTGATAATAATTTGAGTTTTGATAGCGACATTTATAGGAGATCCGGGATACAAGGGTCATATCATATAATGAGTCACGACACAATACCTATTCCTTATAACAAGGTGTATAAGGAATAGGTATTGTGTCGTGACAGAATTACGACTCCTTTCCTATATTAAAATACTAGCTTTTGCCGCGGTTTCGTCCGCGTGGAATAGTTACTTCCGACAGATTTTTGGTTCATCCCACATAGTTCCCGTTCTTGCGGGGTTTTCGGAATGGTCGAGTTCCCGTAGAATTTTCAGGATAAAACCTATGTTTTTTTTTATTAATAATGAATTACTCTTAACCAACAACATATTTATTTGTTTATATGAATAAAGATTAATATTATTATTTTGATACAATTTAAACAAATTATTTCGATAAAATTAGGTACCATAAAAACGGTTTTTGTGAGTTAATCTTAAAAGATAGACATATACTGTCGCGGACTGTTTTTTAGATCATTAAAAGAGCTATTATCTTTTAATACATATTTTTTGTGTATCGTGAACCGTTTTCACGGCGCACGCAACGGAAAGCTTCAAAGATGAAATAATTTCTCCCGTTTTTTACACATTTACCACTATATCTTTGCTCCCATTGGTCGTAGTGTGATGTTATATAGCCCACAGCCTTCCTCGATAACTGGACTATCCAACACAAAAAGAATTATTCAATTCGAACCAGTAGTTTCGGAGATTAGCGCTTTCAAACAAACAAACTCTTCAGCTTTATAATATTAGTATAGATGTACATTTCACATTTCATACATTATTTCTTTTTATTTTTAATCTTTATTAATGGCAATTCCTCCAAGTAACATGTCCATAATAACGTTATTTAAAATGCAATAAAATTTTCTACTATAATTCGGTAACCACAACTTTGTGAAAGTAACTTATTATAAACAGATGATTTTATCTTAGTTCGTTTTATCTAAATCAGTTTAGATGTTGATAAATCTTCAATTTCCATCGTTTTCATTTTGTTTATAAATTATGTATGTTTCAGTCATCGAAAGCATTATTCATAAATATGCTATTTATAATCCGGACTTTGACATAATGTATCACCAGGAAGACTAGCTTTAAGAAAAGATTGGAAGATTCATAATATCCTCATTACATTTTGACTAGCCTATGAGAATGGACGGAATTAATACGATAGTGTCCAAAAAGAATCCTCAATAATCTACTTATATTGATGACTATGCAAGAAATGTATGATAATTATTATTATACTTTCAGAACCTGATTTAAAAAATAATCATATTGGAATATAATTTTTTTTTCTATCGTACATAATTAAATATTTTATGTTCATCTCCTGATTCTAAGCTATTTCTCCATCAATTTTCAACCATATCCCTACAGTCGTTCTTGAGTTATAGTGTAACTAACACAACTTAAACATAGAATCAATTAGAATTCAATATATCTATTGATTATTAATTAATCGTATTTTTATTTGTGTAGGGGCTGGTCGTGTGACTATCCGTTGTTCAGCGTGTAGGCTCCACTGTCAGCCTGGGAACATGATCGATCAGAGGTTCGTGATGGAGAAGGTGGCCCTCGAACATACGGGCAACAACGGTAAGAAAAATACACAAATAACTATAAGTTTATACTGTACTCACAAAAATATCTAATTAAAGAGGCTTATAACCACCTATTCATGATTTTTTGGCTTTTAATGAATTAAAATGTATTGATGAAGATAACTTAATAGATCATAGTTATTTTTATTGTTCACTTTAATCAAATAAATAGGGATTATTATGAATTGCATAGAAAAATTTCTTTAAGACTCTATTTTTTTCAATATCCATGCGCCTACAAGTTGCCCTTAAAGCAATTAATCCAATTTAATTCACACTAGGTGCAACTTATCCGATTTTTTCCAAATTTATCTGACTTCGTAAAGAGGTATTATGGCATGTGTTAATGTATGTATGTGTGAGCAGGCTCCCTTAGCGGCGAGCAGGCGTGTAACAGCTGCGAAGACTCGGAGCCGGCCACCAGCTACTGTGTTGACTGTGCAGAGTTCATCTGTGACAACTGTGTACACGCGCACCAGAGGTATACACAGACACACACATATAATATCCATATTGTTGGTGCTACCATAGGTATAAAATAACTTCAACTATAAGTTTGTTATACGATGAAGAAAAATTTTACTGAATGGATTTTGATGAAACGTTACAATTGTATAGCACATATGAAGGAATAACGTGTAGGTTTTAACAAATAAGTTTCCACGAAAACACTTTGCATTTGTATTTTGTGTTAAATGTCTTATAACGACGATAGATGTTGCTGTTGGTTGGTTAATATCTATTATTTAAAGTGAATACATTAGTTTCTCTCTATTGATAAGTCTACGCAGGTGAAATCGCGAGACAAAGCTAGTATTGACATATAATGTTGACGTATGTTATGATTACAGGCTTAAGATAACCAAGGACCACACTATAAAGTGTAAAGAGGAGGCGGTTTCGGAGCTACAGGCGGCGCAGGCGGGCGCACGGACCGCGCACGACATGTACTGCAGGGATCACCCACAGGTACACACACACACACACACAGACACACACACAAACAGACACACAATGATTGCAAAATAATGTTCAAAATCAATGAAATTTATAAAGAAGTAACAAATTTAATAACCAAAGTAAACGTTACAAAATATATTAATTTTACCGGGGGTTTATATATTACATTTAAAGAAATGTAAATATACACTATAATCACTCCACTCATAATAGTGTTGACGTATATAAAGAAAAGCATCAAGTGATTGTAGTCAGCACATATATACATATACAATTAAGGAACAAAATAATGAACTGCAAACACTTGTACAACAAATATGTAGATTACCGTGATATCTTAAAATTAGACTTTAAAACTAATTGGTGACCTTGAGTAACGTCATCTTTACGACTGACAACCAAAAAGTTAACCGGCGTCTATTTCATATATTGTTTACAAGCTTACCGCCCGCAGCTTCGCTCGCGTGGAGTTCGGTTATATCACGTTTCCAAGAGTACCTTTCAAAAGTCTGGGATAAAAACTATCCTGTTCTTTCTCTGTACCAAATTTCATTAAAATCAGTTGAGTGGTTTAGGCGTAAAAGCGTAACAGACAGACAGACAGAGTTACTTTCGCATTTATAATATTAGAAGGGATATTGTATTGTTGATATGTTCATATATTATTGTATGTACCAGGAGCGGTTGACGTTGTTCTGTGAGACGTGCGACCGGCTGACGTGTCGCGACTGTCAGCTACAGCATCACAGGGACCACAAGTACCAGTTTAGTACAGAGATGGCAGCCCAGGTATATTAAAACCACCATACATACATAACATATAGACTATTGAAATACTCACTGATACTCTTCTTCTACCTAGCAATTTACCTGCTTTATCCAGGGTCTGCCTTACATGTCGTGAATAGTTTTGGCTATTTCTTTTCACGACCGGCCGCCAGACATCAACCCTCTTTGGGAATGTATTAATCAGTGATGTCTAAAACTCTAAATATTCTTAGAAAGTACATATGACTAGTAAAAATCACATTGGTACTGGCCAGGATCACATCCGCGCTATCATGCACGAGAGGCGGGCCTTTTAACTACTAGGCTACCACTGAGTCAATATAATAAATTCCATGTATATGTTATAATTGTTTTAAACCCGACCATAAACCTTGGCCAGTATATAAAAATCTATGTGATGTATATCTATCTACCTAGACCGTAGTATTAATATGTAATTCCTATTTTCCAGGCTCGTGGTAACATCGCAGCGCTGCTATCGGAAGTGAGTTACAAACGTGTGTTGTTGGGGTCCGCTATGAAGGTCATCAAGGACAGACAGATGCTCATAGCTGATAAGAAGAAGGCATTAGTACACGAAATAACACAGACGGTCGTTAAGTTAGTATATACTCAGAATAAACGATACATATATAAGGATTTTAAGTATACAGGGTGACTGATGAATTACTATCAATATTTAAGGAGAATACTCGGTACATGATTCTCATTCGAATTATGTAAAAAAAAATAGGTACTTAATTTTTGACCAAATTTCCGTATATATAAATAAAGTGTGGACACTTTCCAAGTGTTCAAAGTGCGGACGCCTGCGGCGGCGTGCTGATACAACACCACGCCGCCGCACGCGTATGTGTGCGTATACCTAATCTGTAGGGTGTTCACACGATGCGTAATTAATTACATAACTTTTGGTTAACTTTACTTAGAAGTTTATTAATATTTATGTTATATTAATTTTTATTTTGTCATATATGATCGTCAAATATCACGTCCTCAAATATCGATAGTAATTCACCAGTCACCCTGTATACAATAGTTAAGATGACATGTATTTTGATGTTAATTTGAATGTTAAATAAGTGAAATAGCGTCATTTATCTTTATGAGTGTTGGAAAATAAGTTGTATTAGGAACTCATACATTAATAATATATATTTAGGATTCTAACAAAATCCTTATAAAAATATAGTTTTCTTTAAGCCAGTACTTTTAAATAACAAAAAAGCCTTAAAGAGCAAACTAATTATTATATTATGCCAAAACACCTTAAATGAGTTAAATTCTATTTATAATAATACAAGTCGTGTTCACAACATACTTTCCCGCGTTAAAAGAGAGAGAGAAGAGATAAAGGTTCGGTTGGAATAAAAAATGTGTTCCCTAAACATATATATATGTGTGTGTGTGTATATATTACGTCCACATTGATTTCTGATCCAAAAACTGCTTACTTTTTTATTACTAGTTAACACGTATGTCTATTTTATTCCAGATTAACGAACGCCATCAACACTCGCGGCAAGCAGCTGGTGTTGCGTCTGAACGAGGTGTGTGACGCCAAGCAGAGGACGCTCAGCGAGAAGAAAGACGCTCTAGAACAACTGGCGGCCATTACAGACCACTGTGTGGACTTTGTTAATGCTGCTCTAGAACAGGTATTGATAGATATAACATACTAGCTGCGTAAGGCGATGTTACCCGCGTGGAGTTTGATTATATCGCGTTTCCAAGAGAACCTTTCAAAAGTCTGGGATAAAAACTGTCCTATATTCTTCATCAAGTTCAACTCTATCTCTGTACCAAATTTCATTGAAATCTGTTCAGTGGTTTAGGCGTGAAAGCGTAACAGACAGACAGACAGACAGAGACCCTTCGCATTTATAATATTAGTAGGGGTATTGTTATAATGAGAAACTGAGGTTGACGAAGATTAAGGAGTGGGAATAAGGAGATGACAGAAAAGGCCGTTTCTCTCACTCAACTCAAACGCAGCCATTAAAGACTACTTCACGCCATACTCTGTGAGAGGGTGGTACTTCCCTTATCGAACCATGTAGTTAACCACAGTTAGGCTCTACCACCTTAAAAACATTTATTATAGTACTAGCTGCGCCCCGCGGTGTTACCTGCGGATTTCCGGGTTGTAAAGTAGCCTATGTGTTATTCCTGGACGTCAGCTTCATGTATACAAAATTTTATCAAAATCGGTTCAGTCGTTTGAGCGTGAAGAAGTAACAAACACACACTCACAAACTTTCGCAATTATAATATTAGTAGGATCTTAATGCGATAAAAAAGCTTTAGAAATATATGAATCTTAGCATATAGACTAGCTATAACTAGCAAAATGACATTTTTCTATAATAAAATTATTACTTGTTCCAGGGTAGTGATACAGCGGTGCTCCACAGTAAGCGGGCGGTGTGTGCTCACTTACAGAGGATCAAGAGTCGCCGAGCGGACATACCCAACCCGGAGATACCCGTGAGGATATCACTGGCGCTAGACAAACTACCCGACCTTATTAGAGGTACGACGTGTGGCTATGGGACTAACGTGGATCTACCTTAAATGAAACACTATGGAACCATATCTATTACTCTCTGTTTTAAATTAATCTAGAATCCATATCCACTTTTTCTAACGTTATCTTTCAATACTTTATACTATCGACATTGTCGACTTGACGCTGTCACCCATCAGAAGGATGACACTTTGTGTAATTAAGTCCAGAAAGAGAAGATAGTTGGTTTGTGTCATTGTGAGAGTAACATCAAATAATATAACGTTTAATAAAAATGTTTTCAGTGCTCTCAAATATCGGAGCGATAGTGGTGGATGGGAAGGTGGACGGCGGGTCGGGGGGCAGCCCGGGGCCGGCGGGGGGAAGCGGCGGGATGGCGGGGGGAGGGACAGGGGGCGGGGCTACGGGAGTAGGCGGGGCAGGGGGAGGGGCTGGTAACAGCGGGCCGGGGCCGCTGGGGCCCTACCACGCCGCTGCGCCGCCGCACTCCGCCGTAGTCGCGCTGCAACAGGTCGCCATGCATCAGGTGACACCATCACTAGAATATACACTAGTAGAGTACGACATTTGAGTCGATCATATGACATGTGTATTAAACGAGAGCCGTTGTTTACATGCCTCAGACATTGGCGAGATATCAGGTACATGTCGTTGGTGGGCTGAGTGCTGTGTGTGTGTGTTGTGTTTATATAACCGCTGACCGTCCGTGTGTTGCCAGTCGTACGTGCAGGCTGTGTCTGGTCCGGGCAGCGCGGCGGGCAGTCCGGGCGGCGCGGCCTACCTCGGGCTGCAGAGACCGCGCGCTCACACGCCGCTGAGACACCCGCACGTGACCTCCACCACACACCCTCACCACCTGCACGGTAAGACGACCGCCTCACACACATACACCTTGTACCGCCCGCTTGACTACCGCTTACACCGCGCTGTGTAGGGATGAACGAGATGAACCTCAACCTGCGCGGGCTGCTGAACGCGAGCGGTGTGAGGCGCGCCCCGCCGCCCGGACCCCCGCCCGCCGCAGCCGGGCCGCCGCACGCCATGCAGCACGCGTACCACCACCAGAGTGAGTCACACACACACACACACTCACACGCTTGCTTGTACTGCAGACACGCTGTCCTTACGGGCGGAGATGACACGCGCGGCCTGGAATAATGATATAAGGATGTGTTCACAGTGATGGGCGGCTACGGGAATACAGTGTACGGGAGCGGCGCGGCGGGCGGAGCGACCAGCGGCAGGAGAAGCGGAGGGCCTAGGACCCCCTCCCCCGCGCCCCACCACCCGCTGGCCCCGCACCACGCGCACCAGCCGCCCGCCAAGTGGCACATACCGCAACACGGACTGGCCAACGGTTTGACGACTATCACTATCCCTACTAATACATATAATAAATGCGAATGTAACTCTATCTGTTTGTTTGTTTATCAAAAGGAAAGGTCAAAAACGATGCCTTAGATCTATTTTCAACTTGAAGGTCACGGACAGCTGTATACCGATTTTTAGAAAATATAAGCTTTTAAAATTTCCTTGTTTATATACAATATATTCGAAATTGCAGTGTTTGTGAAAACAAATAGGCACCTTTTTCCTTCATTAAGAGAAACGAGAATTCGCGCTATAAATATAAGGTCTCAATATCATATGTACAGGCAACTACAAAACTGCATTATTAAGAAGGAGCATATTGGTCATGGCCCCTATTATATACAACAAAATACCAAATGAGATAAAAGATTTAACTTATGTACAATTTAAAAAACTTTTGTTTTCTTTACTAGTTAACAAGTGCTATTACTCCGTAAATGAGTTTCTAGTGGATAAGACATAATTTTGTAAGAAATTGCTGAATAAAAAATGTATAAAATATATAACTTAACCATCTATCTATATATCATTCTATCACAAATCATAGGAAAAATAAAATTGTATAGTTAATTTTAATTGTGTAGTTAAGTTTAAATTATAATTTCAATTGTACAAGTATTGTTGATTTGACTTTGTTATTTTATTGAATTGTTAACTTTCATCCGTAAAACATTTAATATGAATTTATAATTATAACTGTATGGTTAATTTAATTTCTAATTTTAATTGAATAGTTAATTTTAATTTATAATTTAAACCTAATATTTGCATGCCTTATGGTAGAATGTACCTGAAACTTATACTAACATCTATTTGTATACCTATATTCTGTACCTACATTCAGAGCAAATAAATATTATTATTATTGTTACGCTTTCACGCCTAAACCACTGAACTGATTTTAACTAAATTTGGTACAGAAATACAGTTGACCTTGACAAAGAACATAGGATAGTTTTTATGCCAGACTTTTGAAAGGTTCTCTTGGAAACGGGATATAACCGAACTCCACGCGGGCGAAGCTTCATCCGGAAAGCTATTATATGATATACATAGCAGAGCTTGAATATTACTGTATCAGTATATAATATATTACATTTTCATTACAGTGGACATGTTGTCAGCGGGTGTGACCGAAGGCGGCCTTACTCCGGCGGCCGACTACAAGATCACGCTGGGTCGAGCGCGCGCCGCCTCCGCCGTCACCTCGACAAACCCGAAGACACCCAGCCCCAGCCTCAATGTATGATACTAACACACTACATATATATACATAACTAGAAGACCCGTCAAACTTCGTATCGCCATATAATCAAAAAATATCTGTTACGTTTTTATAATAAATAAATTTATATCTGAGGCTAAATTATTAAAATAAATAAAAGGTTATACCTTAGCCTCAGAAACACGTCGGAGTCGCTGCGCGTCAGCCGTCGAAGGCGGACGTGCCGTTCGATCGCGTCCGTGACTAATGTTCGTAACATTCAAGGTTATCTGTCGTGTCGTGTTTTAAAAAACGCTCTGACTGTGTTTGTGTTATATGCCCAAGGTCAACTGACTTTAGACTTTGATGTCTGTGACGGGCGGAGTTGATGTGGTGACTGAGATGGACAGTGATGGGGCTTCACCCGCAAAGATTGTGGGTGGCTCCATGTTGGACAAAGGCTATGGAATAAAGGATTACCGAGTACGTGTGCCGAGGTTGTCGGATTCGGAAATGTCTGACTGTAGCGTGCGGACAGCGGAGTCACTTTCGGACAGTCGGCTGTGGAGGAAAAGGTCCGCCGGGAGTGCGCTCAACTCTCCCGAGACGGCGGAAGAGACGGCCACTGAGGCGAGCGTCGCTCCAATCAAAGGAGCGGCGCACAAATCAAAAAGAGGGCGGGGAAGGCCTCCTTCTACTGGCCAATACGTTGGCTTACACCGTGCCAAAGTAGAGCTGGCCAGGGCCCAAGAGAGAAAGAGGCGAGACTCCAAGTAGTGGCCTGCTCCACGCGAGGAAGCGGAAAGCGGGATGAGGAGATCAAGCTCTTGCGAGAAGAGAACGCTGAGCTACGCAAGCGTCTGGAGGAGATGGACGCAACGATTGCCCAACTTGTTCAAAGCGTTAAAGCTTCTACTCAGGAGTTCGATGAAGACAGAGTTGTCCGTAAGGTTGTGGAAGCATTGGGCCGTGCGAATGTGCCAGAGCTCCGGCTCAGGCCTCCGCTAGCCAGTGAAGGAAGAAGGACGGCGGTGACGGCCACAACCTCGACGGTTCCTGGACCTCTGGCTCCAGCACTGCCAGCTGTAGCGGGGGCAAAGGGCCATTCAAAGAAGGGTCGCAAGAAGGTATCTATGGCCGCAACCGAGGCTGCGCTGGGGTCATCGCTCAAGCCCGTAGACGCGTCTCCGTCAATAGGAGCCCCGGAGAAGAACAAAGTTCCGTCTTGGAGCCAGGTGGTTAGAAAGAAGATCGCCCCAAAACCAAAAACGGCGCCACCACCCCCCAAGAAGAAGACGGTGAAGATCAGACCGCCGAAGACTGCGGCGGTCGCAATCACCATCCTCCCGGAAGCAGGAGAAAACGCCTCCTATGAGGCGGTGCTGAGGGAGGCGCGCCAACGCGTAGATGTCCAGGCGCTGGGCCTTGGGCCCTTAAAATGGAGGAAAGCGCAGACCGGGGCTCGGATATTTGAGATTGGTGGGGAGGACTCTGCTGCGAAGGCAGACCTCTTCGCTGAAAAGCTCAGGGAGGTAGTGAATCCCGAGGCAGTGAAGATCCACCGCCCTGTGATGCGCACCTCAATCCGTGTCGCTGGCCTGGACGAGTCCGTTACTCAGGCTGAGGTAGTGGCAACGGTTGCTCAGGTGGGCGGCTGCCCCGCCGAGCTTATCGCTGCAGGTTCCCTCTCAGCGTCGGGCGCTATCCTGCTGGGAGTCCCAGCGGCAGCCGCCAAAAAAGTGGTTGACGCGGGCCGGATCTTCGTCGGATGGAGTTCCGCTCGCATCTCAGCAATGGCACCGGTGGCTCGGAAATGTTTCCGGTGCCTGGCAACCGGACATTTAGCGGCCATGTGCAAGGTCGCTCAGGGAGTTCCCCGGGGCCACTGCTATCGCTGCGGTCAGTCGGGTCATTTCGCACGGGATTGCAAAAAACGATCCAAACTGTGCGGCGTGTATCGCGCTAGAAAAACCAGCCACACACGTGGCCGGAGGCGAAGGGTGCTGCCTAAAAGCCCAGTCAGCGAAAAAGGGGAGTGGGGGGGCAAGGCTCCCTAAGCCCTCCAACAGAGGAGACATGGATACGTCCTAATCCATGGATATAGAAATCCTTCAAGCGAACGTAAACCACTGCGCCAGGGCCCAGGATCTCTTTGTCCAGACCATGGCGGAGTGGCAAACACAGATCGCAGTGGTCGCTGAGCCATACGTCGTGCCGCCCCGGGACGACTGGGTTGGGGATACGGAGGGACTAGTGGCCATCGTCGCCTCGCGGGTCAACGGAGCCCCTCCTCTGATATTTACAGCCAGGGGCCGAGGTTACGTAATGGTTAGGTTGGGTGGCACTGCAGTAGTGGGGGTGTATTGCTCCCCTAACGAGGGCTTTACTGCTTTTCAGCAAGTCCTCGTTGAGGTGGGAGCTCTAGTCAACAGAGTGCACCCTTGCCCCGTGCTAGTCGCCGGGGATTTCAACGCCAAATCTCGAGCGTGGGGATCTGCGGTGACGAACGCGCGGGGAAATTTACTGGAGGAGTGGGCTATAAGCCTCGGTTTGGAGGTCCTCAACAGGGGAAGCGAGTTGACGTGTGTTCGTCACAATGGGGGGTCGGTGGTTGACGTCACATTCGCCTCTGCCCCCCTGGCGCGCCGTATTGCAGATTGGGCAGTGGTGGTTGACGCGGAAACCCTGTCGGATCACCGCTATATCCGTTTCAGGGTGGCCACGTCTTCTACGTCACAAGTCGGAGCTTCCCCTACTGGAGATGGAAGAAAATGGGGTGCTGGGAAAACTGGACATTTCCTTGGCCAAAGAAGTGGCCATCGTGGAAGAGTGGTCCAGGGGGTTATCGTCCGACAACCTGGATCACGAAGTTGACGTGTTCTGCGGTGCGCTGGTCCGTATATGCGAAGCCTCGATGCCGAAAGCGCGTCCCGTCACCCCACGGCACCGGGTGTACTGGTGGCGAGACGAACTCCGCGATTTGCGTCGAGCGTGTGTCACCGCCCGCCGTCGCCATGCCCGCGCCAGGCGTAGGAGTGTACGGGACGTTCAGAGAGAGGACGTCCTATACGAGGAGTACCGGGCTGCACGCAAGGCTCTGCAGATGGGGATCAGCGCTGCCAAGGAGGCGGCCTGGAACGAGTGGCTAGAGTCACTGGATCGGGATCCGTGGGGGCGGCCGTATAAGGTCATCAGGGCCAAATCCAGGCCTTGGACCCAGCCGATCACGACCACTCTTCAGCCACAGTTCGTGGAGGAGGTGGTGGAGGCGTTGTTTCCTCGAAGGGAGCCTTGGACGCCTCCAGCTATGGCTGATAACTCGCCAAACGAGTCCAGTAGTCCGGCGGTGTCCGAGGAGGAACTGTGTCGTGCGCGTGCAAAGCTGCGGGGCAAGAGGACCACCCCGGGCTTGGACGGAGTTCCCGGTCGGGTGGTGAACATAGCGTCCGAGGCAATGGAGGCATGGATGCGGGAGGTGTTCTCCATGTGCCTGGACCGAGGCCGGTTTCCGGCTTGTTGGAAGGTGGGGAAACTGGTCCTACTACGGAAACCAGGCCGGGACGAGGGCCTGCCGTCGGCTTATCGGCCGATTGTGCTCCTGGACGAGGCGGGTAAGCTCTTTGAGCGAGTGCTCGCGGCTCGTCTCGTCCAGTCGATGAGCAGAAGTCTGCACGAGACCCAGTTCGGCTTCAGAGAGGGCCGGTCGACGGTGGACGCAATCCTGCGTGTGAGGTCGCTCGCTGAGGAGGCTGTGTCTCAGGGTGGGGTGTTGCTAGCGGTATCGCTAGACATCTCCAACGCCTTCAACACCCTTCCTTGGGAGACAATACTTGCAGGCCTGAGGTGGCACGGGGTGCCCGATTACCTGCAGGTAATGGTGGCGGACTATTTTGTGGGCCGCAAAATAGTATACCCCACGCAGGGGGGCCGTTGGGTCTATAAGACGATGTCGTGTGGTGTTCCACAGGGGTCTGTCCTAGGCCCCCTCTTGTGGAACATCGGCTACGACTGGGTGTTACGGGGAGCTAATGTTCCCGGTGTCTGCGTGACTTGTTACGCAGACGACACCCTGGTCACGGCTTACGGTTCCTCCTACCGAGAGGCGTCAATCGTCGCAACAGCGGGTGTGGCTCTAGTCGTACGACGGATTCGTGCTCTGGGATTGGAGGTGGCTCTCGACAAGTGCGAGGCCATCTCCTTCCACGGTCCGCGGAGGGGACCGCCGAGGGGAGCGAGTATTGTGGTCGGAGGAACGGTTATCGCTGTTCAGCCCTGGTTGAAGTACCTAGGGCTGGTCCTCGACAGTCGATGGACGTTCGGAGAGCATTTCCGGCGACTGGAACCCAAATTAGTCGCGGCGGCTGGCGCGTTGGGGCGCCTGCTTCCGAACGTCGGTGGTCCCAGTGTGGCATGTCGTAGACTCTACACTGGGGTCGTTAGATCAATGGCACTGTACGGTGCGCCTGTATGGGCCCGGTCTCTCGGCCCACGAACGATAGCCTACCTCCGCCGTCCGCAGCGTATCTTGGCGCGACGGGTGGCACGGGCGTACCGCACAGTATCTTTTGAGGGGGCCTGCGTGCTGGCCAGCACGCCACCGTGGTACCTGGAGGCCGATGCGTTGTCGGCTGTCTATCACCGGCGCGCGGAGGCTCGCAGCCGTGACGGAGGAGTTGCGTCCGGGACGGTCGCCGAATGGAGAAGGGATGCGGCGGCCAACGTCCTGCGTAGATGGGGTGAGCGACTGGCTTCTCCAACGGCCAGTTATGAACTGGCCACCGCTGTCAGGCCTGTTCTTTGCGAGTGGGTGGGTCGCACGTTTGGCCCACTGACCTACCGCCTGTCACAGCTGCTGTCGGGACACGGATGTTTCGGCAGGTATCTGTGGCGGGTGGTGGGCAGGGAAGAAAGCCCCGCCTGCCATCACTGCGGGGGTGGCGTGGAGGACTCGGCGCAGCATACTCGCGAGTCATGCCCAGCGTGGGACAGTCTTCGCGCTGCTTTGACTACGGTCATAGGGAGGGACCTCTCGTTGCCGGCTATAATCTCGGCTATGGTCGGCAGCGAGAAGGCATGGGAGGCGGTGGCCGCTTTCGCCGAAGCGGTCATCAGCGCGAAGGAGGCAGCGGAGCGGGCCAGGGAGAGCAACCTGGAGGCCCCTGCCCTCCGTCGTCGGCGAATTGGTCGCCGGCGCCGAGCCTATCTGGCCTCTTTACAGCCATAGGTTAAGCGCCGGGCGACGTGATCCTGGGTGGCAGACGGGGACTTCTGTCGCCCGCTGGCAGGATCAGTGCGGTGCTAGCCCCTCTTGTTCCGGGGGCGGCTCGCGGTGGTGGTTTGTGGGGGGATTTGTCCCCCTTAGTTCGAGGTCCGGAGTGGACAAGCGCCGGCAGGGTCGCGAGGCAAGCTTTTGGTATACCGTGGCCCTGCCTAGGTGGCGTGGATGAGGAACACCCAGGGGTTTTAGTGGGTCGAAACCCCACATAACCCGGTCAAGTCCCCGCTCGGCCGGGTATCTGTGAACAGATTTCCCCTGGGAAAACAAAAAAAAAAAAAAAGCCTCAGAAACACGTGGTGGTTATGCTATTATTAAAATATAGTCGCTCATATATGACGTTTGTATTTTTTAACACAGCGCCATCTATTTAATACTTAACTCAGTCAACAGATAATTGTAATAATGTCAAACAATTTTCTTTAATAGACAAATAATTTGCAATAAAATAATATTGTGACTATAAATTGAGATGTAAGCTATCCTATCTTTCAAGTTGGATCAAAATGCACACGGAATGCAAATCAAATTTAAAATCGGTTTAGTAGTTTAGGAGTCCATCGTGGACAAACACGTGACACGAAAGTTTTATATATAAAGATAATAAATTAAAGTCCGTTAGACTTAAGCTGAGCTAAGCATTGGTGTGAGTGAAAGTAAAAGTAGAGTTGGACAAAAAACTTGGGAATTCAATGTTATTATATTTTAAATAAATATATAACATAAGAATATAAAATAATCAAAACTTGTAAAAGGCCAGATGGCAATATTATGAATGTTATGGAAAACAATTATTAATGAATAAAAAATTTGAAAAAACTATACAAATTCTTCTTCACTTGACATTGCGTTTTCAACATTTGATTTTGCTACAAGTACAATAGGTGAAGTGCGGAAAGTGCGGGGCGGAGTAAAAGCAGTACAAACCGGTTCAAAACTAGAAAAGAACGTTTCATTCAAAAATTTGACATCACACCTACACTATCCGTGTGCACTCACACAAATGCAAAGCTTAGCTTAAATCAAACGCACTATAACAATGTTATTAAAATTGTGTAAATTAAAGAGATTTTTTTTTACATAATAAATTAATTTTCATGTCCCTCCTCATTATGACAAATTCATGTCAAATGGTTAATTTGATATATTTTACTGAAATCTATCAAATATTTAATATCACAAATCAAATCAAATGGAACACTTGATTAGGAATATAAGTGACGTCAAACAAAGTAATTTATATTGTTAAGTCGCTACTCGGCCTTTGCTAACATCGTCATCAGCCTATCAGAGCCCACTGCTGAGCAAAGGCCTCTTTCTCACATGGAGAAGGTTTGAGCATTAATCACCACGCTTGCTCAAGACGGGTTTCATTTCAAACTTATAATTATTGTGAAACTATAAGTCCAGGTTTCCTTACGATGTTAATGTTTGCTAACATCAAAGTGTAGTATATGTTCTCTTCATGTTTTATATTTGTATGTATATATTATATCCAGGGAGCGGGCGCGTCTGAATTGGACAAAGTGTGCGCGGAGTCTGTCCAAGACTTGATGGCGACTATCGCCAAGTTGGACTCGAACGGCGTTCAAGTTGTAGCGGAGGCTGCGGGCGCTGCGGGGGCCGCGGGGGCGAACTCCCCGGCCATAGTACACTCGTCCACGGACGGGGGCGGAGCGCCGGCCGCCGCCCCCGCCGCCGGGGACCCCAACGAGGACTGGTGCGCCGTGTGTATGGACGGAGGGGAGCTAATGTGTTGTGACAAGTGCCCCAAAGTATTCCACCAGTATTGCCACATACCTACCATCGAGAAACTGCCAGAGTTAGTACTGTGTAATGTATACTTAGAATTCTAACAAAATTATATAAAAAATATACTATATGTAGTTGTTTTATAAAGCTAACACTTTTAAATAACAAATCACACCTTAACTATTATAATCTTAAACCAAATCACTCTAAATAACTTAAATTCAATTTACATTTTATATTCATTAATTACCTTAATTTCATAATTAGAAAACTGTGAATGAAATATAGACTCTTGATAACTGAAACTAAGATAGCAGGATTATGTTTAATGCCTAAATATAATCGTATACATTTACTAGCTGCGCCCCCCGAATTTCCGGGATTTCCGGGAAGTAAAGTAGTCTATTTGTTATTCCTGGAAGTCAGCTTCCTGTATACAAAATTTTATCAAAATCGATTCAACCGTTTGAGCGTGAAGAAGTAACAAACATACGCACATACTCACAAACTTTCGCAATTATAATATTACATAGTAAGATTCTAACAAAATTATATAAAAAATATACATATATTATGTACTTGTTTTATAAAGCCGGTACTCTTAAATAACAAATCAAACCTTAATTACTTAAATTCAATTTACATTACAAAAATCGCGTCGACAAATACTTTCCCGCGTAAAAGTTAACAAAACAAATATCATCGTTTTGTCACTTCGAGTGCGTTCGGGAATTTCAAGGTTTCGTTCAAGTTTAAAGTGTGTAATTACGCGTTTTAAAAGTTTGACATCGAAAATAATGTGTATTTCCAATAATACTATTGATATATTTTAATAGTTGTGTTAATTTAGTAACAATAACATTATGTAAAAAGATGGCAAGAAAAATTAAGATAACTATTATAAAATACCAAATAAAACAAACCAGATGTACATTTATGACATTTTATAAACTAAATAAAACAATTATGACATGATACTAGGTTTGGATATGGGAATAAATCATAAATTTAAACAACATTATACTCAATTTGTTTTGTTTCAATTAATCAGTCTAAAATTTATACTTTTTTATTGTAATAAAAATAAGTTTTATAAAAATCTTGATGAGTTTAAAAACACAAATAAACTATTTTTAAAAGAATCTAAGTAACTAAATCTAATATTGAAAATAATAAATGTATACAAGTAGTGTTTAAAGTAATAACGAGATCAAGAGAAATTACAGTTGAAGGCATCTTCAACCGGGTACCATTAGGTACTTGTAGCATAATCTTTAAGGAGCATAATTATTATTAACTGTTAGGAATACAAAATAATATCACAATGGTTCATTAATCTAACAATTTTGCTATATAAATTAATTGTTCACCAGTCTTAATAGTATCTATCAAAATCTGCACGAATGACAAATACGTCGATGTTTCCCCGGAACCGTACGTAAAATAGGCCAAAACCATAATAACCACACTGACTCTCTCTGTCTGAAACGAATCGAATAACAATTCTGTCGTTTTTACCATCGATAAAACGTGCAAAATATAAAGTTATGGCATCAAAAACTCATTTTCGACTTTTTGGTAATTGTGTCATTATTCTTTTGGATGAGTGATATTAATTGTATATATAACCTTTGATTCCAGAGAGACAGAATCATGGCAGTGTCTTCTATGCGTGAACTTCGCTGAGGAATCATCATCTGAAGAATTAGAAGCAGACGGTGAGCTTGGGGCGCGCGGACGACGACTTGTGGAACGAATCACTTTGGAAATGTACTGCCAGTATGAACTATCACTGGCCTTCAGAGAGGCCGTACCCGCCACTGATATACACTACCACAACCTTGTAAGGATGTAACAAACATATACTAGCTTTTATTTGAAGAAAGTAGACAAGATTTTGGATTTCAATCAACTTATTTTTTTTTTTACCCCTTCAATCGACCTCAAAGTAAAGTAGAATATATCAGACTGCGATAGGTTAAAGTTAGTTGAGAAATTCTTTATGATTCCCGATAGATCAAGTTATATTACCAGTTGTATGTATCTGAAGTCACGTGACTATAGATGTCGCTACCATATATGTTATTTAGGCACACCTTACATATCTATTAACTTATTGTGTCAATTTCACTAATAAAAAGTTGCATGAAGAAATTTAGTTTCTCTTCATGCGATAGCTACACTATTATTTGACTCGTTTTTTTCACCTGTATTTGGAGAAATTGGAATACTCCAAATACAGGTGATTGAGTAACAATAAAAACGAATATGTACCACCACTTCATCATTGTATATTAGTCAGTATACAAATTTAGGATTCATATAAGTGTATCATGATAAGTATCCATATATAATGTGTATGTATCCTCAGATCGACCGTCCCATGTGTCTGGATACAATCCGCGCGCGCCTCCAGCCCCGCTCTCCGTCTCGATACACGCGCATCGACCAGTTCGTGTCTGACTGTCGGCTGCTCTTCCGCAACGCGTACAAATATAACACGGTCAGTCTATATAAACATTATTATAATTATATTGGGTTCAATTTATTATTTTTTTTTTATTTTTTCTACCAATTATTTTTTTTATAGCCAGAATTTAGTGTAGCAACACGAATGAAACTAATATTTTGTATTTTCAACCATACTTTGTTATCCATACTTCCCATGTAGAATATTTTATCTATGAACTTCTATTTAAGTAAAGAAGAAATGTTTAATAGCCATATTAGTTTACATTACATATATGTTTTTTTATATAATTCTTGATGTACGTCGATGACGTGATGAATGAATAGTCTAAATTATAACTTAATCCACAATATGTTCTTGACTGAGGTTGATCGAAGAGATTGTCCGCAATCGACCTTTTATATGACACATTATTTTTCTATTCACTATCTTATAAATTATGCAGTATCAATTGCTCTATCCTTCTCCATGAGAGAAGAAGCCGTTGCTCAACAGTAGGCTTTGATAGGGTGATGACGAATATCAATTATATTAATTATACAATAAAGTTTATTTTGACTTTCAGCCGGACTCCCAAATGTATAAAGACGCCAAACGTCTCGAGGAGTTCTTCGATTCTCAGCTAATGAAGTGGCTGCCGGAGTTCGCATACTGGAGCGGTGAAGGCGAGCCGCCGAGGAAGAGGCCGCGGTGTGACTGACGCTCGTCTGCGCTGCCCGCGCACCCGCCGGGCTGCCCGCCTCCCGGGGCTCCGCTGGCGAGCCTCGTGCGGCGCCCTACACCCTACCACGTACAGTACGCGCCGCAACACGTGATGCTAGCCCTGCCGAGATATATGCCCCACTAGGAAATAGTGCTAGGAAACTAGGGAATAGTGCTAACTATTGAGACGAAACCTCTTATTCAATGTATTCACTGTGCGGGTGTCGGATCCATTGTTGTATATAGAGGAGCTTCTACAATGCCTGGGACTTGCGACCCAGGTGTAGGTTTCTAAGTGATTGACAGTTTCTAAGTGTCTACATAGATTTAATAATGATAAAGTGGAAATATGATACTTGTGGTACATATAGCGTTGTGTATTAGTATTGGCCAGTAGCAGATATAAAGTGACGGTACAGTGATATGTGACATTCATGGAAGTGATATAATATTAAATATTAATTAATGAAGAATAATAATATTAATGTATAGGAAAACTCTTTTTAAACTTGTTCTAGTTATGTTAATGTAAAAGTTCCTTTGAGTTTGTGCGTTAACTATTTGTTGGTAGCACTCTGTTAATTCATAGTCTGATTTATTGACCAGTTTAAACATTGCTTAATTCATGTGTTTGTTATTCATAATGAAATTAAATGACAAACATTTGTAACATATTGAACAATGAAATCTATGGCAGTTTTGCAACGAGGACATCACTGATTAATATATGTTCTACTATGTTATATTAATGTATTATATGTTCTTTTTTATATGAAATGTTAAATCACAAGTAATAGATAGCTGTTACACATAATTTGTTACTGTGATAAAGTAGATGTTTTGCTCACTAGCGATGGATTTCACACAGACATTTCAGGGATAGTGCAAATCCGCTTAACTAGCATTGGATAATTCTGTGTATCTATCTACATTGGAAGCAGATGATCAGAAGAAAGTTTAAGCTGAAGTATTTTTTTCACAATTAGTAATAAATTAAGCACTAAATAATTACTAATTGTAAAAAAATTACCTTAAAAGTGGTTAATCTATACAATATTTCACCCTAAACTTTCTTCTGATAATCTGCTTCCCATGTAGATATGTGGATTTGCACTATACCAGACGATATATATATGTTATTAAACCTATGTTTCAAAGCACAAACATACAGCTAAGTTTAAAATATGATATATTCATATCATCCATCCAAGACTGAATTACCTTTTCGTAAGATTTTTGGTGTTTCCTTGTTTTTAATTATACCATAACATTAAAGTAACTGCTACTATCTACCATATATATAATATTTATAAGTAACAACTTAAATAATATCTGAGAAATTTACTTAAAGTGTAATATATTGAGGCTTTCTTGTATTAAATTAAAATAGTATGTTATTGTAAGTTAGGAATAATAAAGTAAGTAGTAACTTGCTAAGTATATGAGAAAACATCACAATAGAAAATTAGTAAGAATTTTTTTAAGGCCTTTCATAAATATTACTACAGATTACTTGTAATGTTCAATAAATACTGATTTAGTCGAGATACGAAATGTATGGAGTTGTTACTTTAAATAATCAACTTTTTTGATTTTTCCACTGGCAAAAATTAAGAATTTTACTATTTACCGAAATAATGAATTGTCATAGTATTTGGACGCTCCATAAGTGTATATATTATTGTATAACCCTGGGTTAAGCTGGGAAATTGCCAGGAAGAAGAACCCGATGGACTTTTTATCTCATTATCACAACTTTAATTATACCACATAATACATGGTCTAATAAAAAAGGACTTAATTTAATTACAATTTTAATACATATGTCGAATAAGGATTTTAAATTTTTATACATATATTTCAATATTGTCTGTCACGTCTACAAATGATTGAAATATGTAATCTATCGTAGTTGGCGAGAGATATTTTTAAGCCAGACGCCGTATATAAGGAAGAATAATTTTAACTAATATATTGTAGAAATTATATAAGTAATTAATGGCAAATATGTTTTATACATAGTATTTAGCTGTGGTTGGTTAATGAGTGGGTGATCTTATAGCTCTCTTTGTACGAATGTTGATATTCAGTGTCGGCTTATGAAGTAGTTTATTATGGAGTTTGACTCAAAGTTGTTGGTCCCGCTGTGTTAGTGGATCGGATTATATGTCGTAATGAATTTAAGTTAATCTCGAAATAAGAATTACATATGAAAATAAATACCATATACTGGAATTGGGTGTATTATTTTACAACTAAATTAAATCGTTTACAGAAGCAAACCTATCAAAAGCTGCTGAAATTAAACTGTGGAATGTTTTGACAAAATTTGTCAACGTTAATATTTTTATTTATATAATTAACAGATATTATAGATAAATTATATTGTAAGACTATTTAGACATCACTGACAGACGGTGAAGGAAAACATCGTGAGGAAACCTGGACTAAAAATTTCACAATTATAACTTTGAAATCACCAACCCGTCTTGAGCAAACTTGGTGATTAATGCTCAAACCTTCTCCATGTGAGAAGCGGCCTTTGCTCAGCAGTGGGCTCTGATAGGCTGATGACGATAGATAAATAAAGAATAGTAGACGTTTTTCTATCACTTAGTAGTTAAATTATATTTAACGATTCCTATTGGATTTCTTAAATATTACAACAATTTTTTCTACAGGCAACGTATTCATGATATTCAAAGCTTTATTTGACATTTAAAAAGGACGAGTCACGTGTATACTTGTTTCGTTCGCCAATCACGTTATACATTCCAGTAAAACAGTTAGCGAGCCTTGTTTATAGTTTTCGATTGGTCAGAGCTTCAAGGTTATCAGGAATGTGTCAACTGTCAGACTCCATAGTTACCGAGTGGCAAAACTAACAGTATATTACAGATTACTGCCGCCTGCGAAACGTTATCAAACCTAAAGTCAAACAAGTAGCGGCAGTATTTTGATACTTCAAAATAGTTGAGACTAATTGAAAAACAAGTACTGTCACACCGATTACGTGCTAACCTACTTTCATCGTAAGAAATCTTCTTTTAAAATTATATTGGCACTTTTGCAAGGGCAACAAGTTTCAAAGGTGAGTGACCTCTGCGTATAATATTGACACAATTTAATAATATTTTCAATTTTATACAGATTTATCTTACATTAATAATGATTATAAAATTAATCCAGCGTATATTATTGCGTGTTCTTTACTTTGTTCCGTTAGTTAATATTTACCTAATGCAAACGAAAAAAAACCGTGTCCTCTGCGGCATTGTATGATGAATAATCTTATGAAAACCGCAATAATAATTGGAAGTGGTTTTTGACCAGAAATAGAACGTGAGAACATTTTATCGAAAAATTGGTTAAACATTAAAACGAATTGGAAATTATTATTTTACTGATATTTATTTCTAATAATTTTATGACTTGAATTGATATTTTCAAGTTATATGTTAAAAGTATTTTTGTTAAAAATACCATCAACAATTTAACTGTAAACTTTTTTTGTGCCATTTTCGAGAAAATTTTTAAAACAAATCCGGTTCAGAAATCTTATACTACTGATTTAATAAGAATTAAATTTGGTCGAGACAACAAAGATTCGACTCTTTTTTAAATAATCGTTGGTGGACGAAATGATTGTGTAAATAAGATTTAAATAAGTTTTACTAGTTAGATATTTTTTAACGTGAATAAAAATTTAATTAAAGCAACGGTATTACTAGTCGCTTGACACTAATAGTGTACGGTTGTTATTCTAGAAACGATTTTATTCAAATATTGAAATATAAATGATCAGATATATTCATTGTATATCTGTAAACAAATAGAAAATTATTTTATGTAGGACATCGACTCTTTATCTGTAATTATTTACAGTCGCTTAGTATTGATTATGGAAATATGTTTATTATTGTCGCGAGGTCAATGACCTTATACATATATTGAAATAAAACAGTTTTATAATAATTTCTATCAATATTATTAGAACACCTAAATAAATCTATAACAATTCAACGTAACATTAGTTTAGTAATTAGTAATGTAGAAATTTTATTCAATTGTATTTAAACTAATTAATTTTTAATAACGCGGGTATTAATTTTAAAGATGTTATTTTTTTAAATTTTAAATGTGTATTTATTTTTTCTTAAGTCGAAAAAATTTGATGATACTTTAGGTCTATAAAAGATTCTTAAGATGATAATCCGAAGATATTTTTCTATCGAAATATCTCTTGTGCGTCAAATTGCTAAGTGAGTCACGTCTTTCTGTCTCACAGTTCTTCCAGGAGGAAAATAATCAAGAAATGTTGAAGGAGTGAGCTAATATTTCTATTACGTCTATTCACCTATTGAAGCATATATCTTATCGTATACCTTTAAATAAGCAATTCTTGTATATATACATACATATAATTCGAATATCGGAATCGGCTTCAACGATTTTTCATGAAATTGAGCATATAGGGGGTTTCGGGGGCGAAAATCGATCTAGCTAGGAATCATTTTTAGAAAATGTCATTTTATGAAAAAAAAATACTAAAAGGAAGCGTTTAAAATATGACTCTCTCTGACATCTATTGGCGAATAATAATACTTCTTTTTGCTAATTGATTTTACTGATTGCTTTAACGACACAACAGCAGATGGCGTTGTTAAGTAGCAAGAAGTCAATGAGTGTTTGTATTGAGGTAAAACTAAGAAATTAATTGTTGATTTATATTGTTTTGTGTCTTCTTAACGTGTTCACTTAAAATGCCTAAACGAAATAAAAGAATTATTAATAATTCCTAAATACCGAGCAAAGTTCGGTAACCAGATATTGTGTATAATCTAAAAGATTTTCTAAGCAAATACTATTTTTAAGTCGATCTGATTTCTGTTTATTGATGAGTTTTCTGATAATAATTAATTTTAAAAAAAACATTCGTTACTAATCAAAATATGAGTCACGCATTATTATATTACAATTACGTTTCAGGTAACTAACTCTATACAAATAAAAATGCGTCTTATTATCTTGGACGACACCGCGGCCGTGGCGGACTGGGCGGCCAGGTTCGTGCTACAGCGAGTGACCGAGTTCGCGCCGACAGCGGAGCGCCGGTTCGTGTTAGGGCTCCCCACAGGCGGGACCCCGCTAGGGATGTACAAACGACTTATACAGTTTTACAAGGAGGGACGCATCTCGTTCAAGTACGTCACTACCTTCAACATGGACGAATACGTCGGTTTGTACTGTTACTGTATAAATTCTTAATTATAATGTATGTACATTTTACTTCTTAATGAATACCGAAAAAAAGTTAAATTTACAGACGCAATAGTTTCAAAGTTTCTGATTCATGGTTGTTTGTTTGAAATATGGCCTTCGTGCAAAGACGGTCACAGTATATTCTGCTAGTGTAGAATGGAGGAGACACGATCCGGATAACTTTTAAATAAAATAAAATTTAACCGCCACGACTGAAGTCTCTATTAAGAACTTTATTAGTAGATCTAATATTTATTAATAAGTTAATATAGTCGTGACAAAGATTTCAAACAAATTTGACGTATCTATTCTGACAATCAAGATGTTTGGTTTGTGTTCTAAATTCAAATCTTCCGTCCCCAGGTTTGCCACGCGACCACCCGGAGTCCTATCACTACTACATGTGGAACGAGTTCTTTAAGCACATAGACATAGAGCCGAGCCAGGCTCACGTGTTGGACGGGAACGCTCCCAACCTAGTGGACGAGTGTACAAGGTTCGAGAAACTCATTAAGGAGGCTGGAGGAGTGAATCTATTTATTGGAGGTGATGTGTACTACTTAGTATAATACTTGGATAAGTCAACGCGGGGCTTGTATAGATAATTTTTTTGTAGACCATACATTTTTTTTTTGTTAAATTCAGAACATGCAGAGAACAAAGCCCATATATCCATGATTTTGTATTTTATGTCTTTAATTGTACCATAGACAAACCTTGGATACATTGGGTACTAAAATTTAACGATTTGAATGTTGTCAAGTGGAAATGGTATTCAAATTTTTGTATACACTTTACACTTAATCAGTTTATAGTCTAACCAGACTAGGACATTTCAGTGATACCTACGAACTTCTCATTATTACCTACTTAGTATTCTACTAAATACATTTCTGAAGGTCATCTTTCATAATAATTCCAGGTATCGGTCCGGACGGTCACATAGCGTTCAACGAGCCGGGTTCTTCACTTGTGTCTCGTACTCGCGCCAAGACCCTCGCCTACGACACGTTGGAGGCTAACAAACGATTCTTCGGTAACGACATCTCGAAGGTTCCACGGCAGGCGCTCACTGTTGGCGTCGGAACTGTCATGGACGCCAAGGAGGTTATATTGTTTTTTATTAACACTGGCCATCGAATTCGTCAGCTCTAGTTTAATTGTATGCAGTGGCGGCTGGTGGGTTATCGAACTGGTGGTGCACTTTACTAAAATATTAAAATTAGAAAATGCAACAAAACAATTGACATAAAATATGTTTATTTTTTATACATTAATTAATGCAACGACATTTTTCCGAAGCGAAATGTTCAATCACCTATTTATTAAAATCGGGTATTGTTTGTATATATTTTAAATTCAATACTAAGCACAGAAAGTGCATCCAGCAAGTGCAAGGTATTTCGGAGAAAAGTTTTGATTCTTTTCAATTCCTAGTCGTCATACATCGGGTGCTCTCGGTAACCTTCGGCCGCTTCGTGCGGCGCTCGAGAACCGACTCATTACTCGGTACATTTCTATGAACTATCTTTTGTTTCACGCGCCAGGCGTATTAATTCGTGTCTTATACAAGATGTATTAGCCGTCCTCGTGCACTCGCCGAAGCGCACGAGATATTAGTTTAGTAAAGCGCACAAACTTTTTGACTATAATTAGAAAACTTAATTTTTTATACGTTTTTGTATGTTAAAAAAAATAATATTAAAATAGTAATTTAAAAATAAATATGAAATAATATTTTGTAATTTTAAATCTTTTTGAATTGGTGGTTCAACGCACGAGCGCACTTAAGGTACAGCCGCCACTGATTGTATGGTTTTAATCATTAAAAAAAACTAGCCAAGTTATAGTTTAATTCATTAAAAAAAAAGAAGTAGCAAAGTTACTCCTTATAGCAGCAATCTGAGACGCCAAGGAGGTTATATTGTTTTTATTAACACTGGCCATCCAATTCGTCGTCTTTGAATATAATTATAATTTTAATTGTAGGGTTTTATTCATAAAAAAAAGCAAAAGTAGCCTCAGTTACTCCTTATTGCAGCAATTTGAGTCACTATAATTTTTGTTCGTAATAATTCTATATTTGAAATTTGAATGATTCTCTTTTAAAATCTATTTCGATTTTGCAGGTGATGATATTAATAACGGGTTCACACAAAGCGTTGGCGTTGGCCAAAGCGGTTGAGGAGGGCGTGAACCACATGTGGACCGTCTCCGCCTTCCAACAACACCCGCAGGCGCTGTTCGTGTGTGATGAAGACGCCACGCTCGAGTTGAGAGTCAAAACTGTCAAATATTTCAAGGTTCGTGACGTCATACTTATATGACGGTAAAATATTGTATATCGTCGGGGATAGTGTAATTTCGAGTAACTAGCATTAGATAATTCTGCGTATCTACATTGGAAGCAGATTATCAGAAGAAAGTTTGAGCGGAAATATTTTCTATATTAACGACTTTTAAGGTAATTTTTTTCGCAATAAGTAAATAATTACGGAATTATCCAATGCTAGTTACGCGGTTGTGTACTATCCCCGACCATTATATATTTAATTAGTTATGACATTACAAATATTGATACTAAGTTGTTGTTGTTCGACGCTTCTGCGGTCAATGACCTGTGATAAAACAGTAATTTGATAACTGGAATCAATACACCAAACCCCTGTACATATGAGACACAAGGCTCGCATGCGCCGGCCAAGTTCCAGCAACTATATACACGAACCGTTCCGACCCACTTTTGACCCCCCTGTAGCTCAGTGGCTACTGCAAGTACAGAGATAAAATTGTACCTACGTAATCATATACTAGTACTAAAGCAGTATGCCAAATTTCATACATAAAGCTTCAGTAGATCCTGAAATATGACCCTGTGAAAATAGCAAATTTTGGCACTGACTCACTGACAGGTAATCAAAACCTTTAGGCCACTTCCCATTGTTTTAGCATTATGAAATTTGGTACACAGGTTGTGTGTTATATGTAGATTAACAAAAATTAAGAAATTTAAGAAATCGGTCAAGCGTGAGTTGGCTTAATCGAATATCGAATTTTTATTACACGCTGTATATTAGCATCACTTGTATGTTTGTTTGTTTGTATGTATGTAACTCTCCTTTTTTGAACACGCTTCTTATGCACTGCTGTGATATGGGTATCAAATGAAAGAGTTTGAGGAGAAGAATATGAAGATAAAAATATTGGGACGGCAAAATATCCAGATATATAGTTATATCAATATAGTTTAAAAAAAAAAAACTAAAAAACACGCTCCAATGATGAAAGAAACCGCGTGGAAACTAATTTAACCTTTACAACCTTGGAAATCAATTTAATTTAAATTGTTTAAAATAAACAATAAATGGTATTATTGAAAAAAAAGCGTGGGGCGCTTCTCAAGAACTGATATATGAAGCTCCCCACGCTTTTTTTCACAAAAATACCATTTATTTTAGTTAATTTATTTTTAAATTAATATTATTGTGAAAAAAGTATGGAGCGCTTAATTTATTTATATAAATAATAAATTAATGATACAATTAATTAAGTGTTACGTACAGCACGAAAACCTGCCAAGTTTAAATTTAGAAGTATTATAATTTTAGATATTTTTAACCAAGCACCTACGTATTTTCACAACTATACCATATTTTAAGTTGGGTGTATGGTAAAGTGAATTTCGGCCAGTTGGACCGTTGACGTGAATAAGGTGGCGGGTAGTGGCTGGATGTGGAAGGCAGAGGACTGGGTGTGGTGGCGAGTCTTGGGAATGGCAAATGTTTACCAGTGGATCATGCTGTTGATGAAGATGATTATGACCGATTTCAAAGTGCATCTAAACTTGGCATTAGATTGGATTTCAACCCTTTTTTAGGCAAACAATTAGCCGATTGGAACTTGGCCCCCTTTTTAACAGGCATGTTTTGGTGAGATAAATACTTACACATAGTTTTTGTCTTCGTACTTGTTACAAAGCAGACAATTACAGGAATTTCACTTCTACACACATATAATATGTATGTTACAAAGATTTTGAATGTCCTCAAATAGATGCATGAATTACGCGGGCTTTTGCTTGATAGGGTTATAAAGGCTAGGGTGCTTGGGAGTTCTAAATTTAAAATTATTAGGTAAAGTTTATTTACATTTAAAAATGAACAAAGTACGCGCCTTTTTAATATGGCGGGTAAAACTATTTGTAAGTATTTAAAGTGAAGGCTGCGTGTCGCAGGCGCTGAGCGACGAGCACCAGAAGATGATAGCCTCCGCCTCTGTGACGCAGCAGCACGTGCTACACTGACGATGGACTACCACGTACATACATATAATAATAACATACCATAGATGATAAACGTGACATACCATAGAGTATTGTCTATATACTATATTTTTTTTCATAAAAAATTAATGGTAACCATGCTAATAATATATAATTATTAAAATGTATTTGTTTTTATAGCTGAGTCCTTACGACAGGGCTGTCCAAACTATTATCCGGATTATTGTCGACCATAGAATCTTTGTTTAAATACATTAATGAGCAACTAATAATAATGACGATATTATTATTACCGGTATTTTTATAAATATTTAACGGCCCAATGGATTTATTTTTATTGGCCCTGGTTAACATTAAGTTGGACACCCCTGTCTTATGATATACTATATCATTTTATAGATTAAGAGGTTTTTTAAAGGTGTATTTAATATTCCATTCCAGAGTCTGATGGCGGAACACAACAAGCTTGTAAGCAAAGCGTGAAACATTCCACTGAGACTTACTGTACAGTTTATAACACAAATAACATGTTCTTTTATATTCTTTTGTAAATCTCTATAATATTAAATATATAAATATTATACGAAAATATTGTACTTTATTCCTGTTCCCATGTTTGTTAAATTAATTAAGTATTGTAGTATTTATAATGATATTAGAGGTCACAGTTTGAAAGAAAGGAAATATATTGAAAAAAAAAATTGAATATTTCAAAGTACAAAATTTATTTACAATCACAGTTCCAGTTCAATCATTGGTTCTTTAAACATTTTTTATGGACATTGAAATGTAAGCGATTCAAAAACACAATTAAAATTCTCCAAGTATGTAATCAATATGAATGCTTAAGATTTCATTACTAAAATTTTCAGTGATAATTAGTAGCCATAAGAGTTATCTTTTGCTTAACATATTACAATAACAATAATTTAATTATCCACTTGATTTCTATTCTTCATCGACCCCCTTTCCCCCACACATCCTAGCCAGTAGGGCTGCCAATTGTAGCTGTGATGTGAGTCCATCTGCAGCCCTCATCTGTGTGATTCCGATCTGTTTGATCAACCCTAGACGTACATCTTCGGACACAGACAGAGTCTTGCTCACTCGGAACATGTTACTCAATATGTCCTCGGTGGCATAACCGAGACGACATAGCTTTGCTATCACCTGATAATAACAAATATATTTATATTAATAATTATATGTGGATCTAAAGAAAAATTAGTAATTAATGATTAAATAAATTAATATCAATCTATAGTAGACAAACATGATGAAATAAATACTATAGGATTGTAAGGCTAAAAATTAAAATATGAAAAATGAATAATGGGTGAAAACAAATATTGACTCTTAATATAAAATGCTAGTCCCAGCCCATTGAACAAATGATAAGATTTTATTTAGAAGAACAATTTTCACAAGAAAATATGTTGGAAACATTCTGTTAGCATAGTTAAGCTAATTATTATATGAAACTCTTCTATCTCTATATTTCCCATATCATACAATACAGGATATATTATTAAAATTTTTCTACTTTTACTTAATATTTTTCTTACTTTATCAACTACTTTTACTTTATCAACTTTATTTACTTAACATGTTTTTACTTTATCAAAAATACATGTTACCTTATAGGCTTCATAGATATCCTTCCTTGTACAAGCTTCTAACATAGTCTTAACGAGCATCGGGTGTGGTTCATCGCACACCTTGAACACATTGTCAGGACTGACGTGGGCAAAGCCCTGAGCTGTGGACTGTAAGTTATTGAGAGCAGCTCTCAAGTCTCCTTGAGCGGTAAAAACAACGGCATTCACTCCTTCCTCTGTGTAGGACAAGTTTTCTTTCTCACATACTTCAATAACCTATGGAAATATTGGCTGTTAGTATAGAAAGTATATTAATATTAAATGAAAATAAAATGTATATGGATCATATAATGAAAATGATAACATAAGATCTAATATTCTAACTTGCAAAATCAATAATATTTGTTTTACTTTTACAATAATCCACAGTTGGCGGTTTGAAATCCTGCTTCTCTTTATATTTTTTTATTTAAATTATCAACCTTATGGCAATTGAACAATATAGATCCATTTTATTCTTTACCTTAGCTAGTATCTGGGCATCGGTAAGTTTAGTGTAACGTAAGACAGCACAACGAGACTGGATCGGTTCAATAATCTTCTCACTGTTGTTAGCGGCTAGAGCAAAACGCGTGGTGCTGGAGTAAAGTTCCATGGTACGCCTCAGAGCCTGCTGGGCTCCATCTGTCATACTGTCGGCTTCATCCAGAATAACTATTTTATGCCTTCCAGGAGGTAAAGTAACCTGAACAAAGTATTTTCGGTATATAGCTATACAAAACTTTAATATGTTATTTTTGATAGATTTTTCGTACTAACCTTCTGTTGAGCGAACATTTTGATTTTATTACGCACAACATCGATACCACGATCATTTGACGCGTTTAATTCGAGTACAGCGTCTTTGAACGCGGGACCGAGAAGTACGCGAGCTAAACACAATATTGTTGTGGTTTTACCGACACCGGGTGGTCCCGCTATTATTATATTAGGTGCGTTGCCAGTACGTGCAAACACTGCTAGACGCGACACAGTGTCCTCGTTCCCTACTATATCAGCAAATGTCTGAGGTCTGTACTTTTCTATCCACGGTAAATGTGAAGTAACTTTACTTTGAACTTTTACAGACTTGCTGGGCTTAGGATCTACCTCGTCAACTTCCATTATAGTAACGTCGTCGTCACTCATTTTAATTAATTAATATACTATTAGTTCACCCTAATTATTTTGTTTTTTAAATTTTAAAATCAAATAATATATGGAAACATCAAAATAACATTAAGGCGGGCAATTTGAAGTAAATTGTGAAATGTGTTTTGAGTTTTGACACTAAGCAGTGTTACCAATTAAAAACCTGATAGGTATATCTTTAATCTAAAGTTGTTAGTTCCTTTAAAAGAATACCATTACTTGAATATTACTCCTATAGTATAGATCAATAATTATTACGCAAATGCCAATTGTTATTTAGAGAAATAATATTTCATTCCTCATACTCGAAAACTACTGTTGTTTTGAACTGATTATAGGGTGAAAAATGCTTTTTCCCTCCCTATGGCGGGAAAAACTCATACAATATACTTACCACCTAAATTTCAAAAATACAAAGCTTCTGTTAGCGGTGAAATTATATGTCAAATTTAAAAGAAAAACTGGGCCATGTCAGTTTCTAAACAGCCAGTGTGAACTTATTTAGCGCAACTAGTAGGTATTGTATTCCCTTTGGCGCGATCTTCTTTGAGCGGAATAAGAAGCAACAAATACGCGGTAAATTCCATATTCAAAATTATTTATCCCTACTAATCCCTACTAATATTATAAATGCGAAAGTAACTCTGTCTGTCTGTCTGTCTGTCTGTCTGCTACGCTTTCACGCCTAAACCACTGAATTGATTTTAATGAAATTTAGTACAGACATAGAGTTGACCTTGAGAAAGAACATAGGATAGTTTTTATCAAAGACTTTTGAAAGGTTCTCTTGGAAACGCGATATAACCGAACTCCACGCGGCGAAGCTGCGGGCGGAAAGCTAGTATTATCAATAAATACCTAGTTCAGATAATCTACTAGTTTTATTTTCCTCATTTATTCGAAATGAAAAGTAGAGTGTTTACCTCGTGTAAAAGAATCAATTCCAACTCAGACCATAGCCGCTCTCGCTGGTCTCGGACGTCTAACTACCTCGGTAATTGATTCTCTCCACCCTAGATGAACAATCTACTATTCCCCTTTCCATTCCACATGATTTCTTAATTTTTTGTACAATTGTTAGAATACCCTAAATTTGGGGAGAAAACTCCCGAGTTGTAAATACAACTTCTAAGTCAGAGGAGACGTCTACCACAGATTGAGAATCCTACATTAAACAATTATAATTATTTATGAAAATTTAAATTTATTTTTAATAAGTGGAGAAACACCATTCCTTTATTTTATTATAACAACATAAAAAAAATTAAACAAAACATTTTATAACCTTTATTTTTCTTAATTTTAAAATCGCTATCCACTTTAAAGAAAAATAAACTGACAGTGACATTTGCCAAACTTGAAACTACGAACTATCTGTAAACAACTGTAAAAATTGCAGCATATATTACTCATAATTATTTATACGACAATAAAAATAAACAACGAAGTCAATTTAGAAAATAATTTGGAAAATGAGAATATATGGAATATAGTACATATAATCTAATTTAATTGGTTTGAAGGTAAAAAAATTGCTTTTGTATGGTGGTGAATCATCAGTTTGAAACAAGTGTAGATCGTCGACATCAATCAATTAAAAATTATAAAGGTATAGTTTTTTAAATTTTTCTATACTGTTAGGCGAGTCCAAAAGTGTGCACGCTGTACAATATTATTTAAGGAATAATATATTGTTTTATGGTACCACCATTAGCCTTTTTGACTAGAGGACTATTTAGAAAATATTTCGTCAAACAAGAGAAATCAAATCAGTTTCGATAAACAGCATGATAAACATAATTCTGCTCGTGACCAATCACTGTCTACAGGTATTTGGTCAAGGATTAACAAAAAGTATCTTTTTATCAATTGGAAAATATATTCATTTTTGATGTCATCTAATTTTAATTTAGTACTACCATACAGTTCACATCCCGTAGGATTATCTCTAATAGGTAATTTTTAGAGGTACATTTTTATTAGTATATCTATTTTCATAGTATTTAACCTTCCCTAGCTAATATCCACATATATAATTCTGTTAAGACAACCTCAAACATTAATTCAAAGTAATGATATACTTGCAAAAATAATTTATCAAATTCATACATACTCTGCTAAAACAAAAACATAATAACAGATTACTAGTTTCGGTATTAGTCTTTTTAAGTAATGAATATCAACCTCATATACATTTTTGTCATAACTGTTTTGTATACATCTTTATTTTACTTTAATATATGTGTTATTTTAATAGAAGTAGTAAAAACAATTATGATAGTATTAAATTACATAATCTATTTAATATTCACAGAGACAGTGCTTTTGAGTAAGAAATATGGAGTGGCTGTTTGGACACAGAATGACTCCCGAGGAGATGTTGAGGAAGAATCAGCGAGCTCTGAACAAGGCCATGAGGGACTTGGACAGAGAGAGGCTCAAGATGGAACAACAGGAGAAGAAAGTTATAGCTGATATCAAGAAATTGGCCAAGGACGGCCAGATGGTGAGTTACTATGAAAAGAGACAAAACTTCTTATCATACAATGTATTCATATGCAGGTGCCGGGTCCATTGTAGTGAGAGGAGCTTCAATAGTAACTGGGACTTGCGACCCAGGTGTAGGTTTAAGGGGTCACTATCTAACGCGCGTTATATGCTCACATCCACTGTCCAAGCTCCGTTCTCCATATACTTTTGATACATCTGTGTACAATTTACATCTGCTGTCTTAATTATAAATGTATGGAATATTTGAATTACATAAGTCTGAAAATATGTATAAAATAGGTAACCCTTTGTATTGACTCGTTTATATATAAGTAGGAAATGAAAGTCGATTTTATATATGTTAAATTATGAATAAGGGAAATTTTGTTTTTTATTATTCTATATCCCAATGAGGAAATTTATTGTCAATTTTGTTTTCTGTTGGCCGTGCTGTAAGACGTTATTCTAGATTTAAAATTATAGGCTCCTAAGATATTAGACTATATTTTAAAAAAGTACTATCATAATATATTTTTTAAATGAATTAGCTTGCTGCAAATATATACTTGCAAAAAGATTATAGTTAATTTGAAAAAGTTTTTAATGTATAGAAAACAATGACATCATATAATAACAATATTTGTCTTTGTAGTTAATATTGTATCTAACAAGAAAATCGTAATTTCAGGATGCTGTTAAAATAATGGCAAAGGATTTGGTGCGCACGCGCCGCTACGTGCGCAAGTTTATGTTGATGAAAGCAAACATTCAGGCTGTGGCACTTAAAATACAAACACTCAAGTCTCAGAGCAGTATGGCCCAGGCGATGCGAGGAGTGACTCGAGCCATGGCCTCAATGAATAGACAACTAAATGTACCTCAGATTCAAAAGATATTACAGGTATAAAAGCTTACAAACTTTTTGGTATGGCTTAGTGGGGTAAAAATTAATTATAAAAAGGTTTATTACCAAGACTTTTTACAGAAAATGGGTGTAATATGACATTTTTTAGCATTAACACAAAAGTTCAAGACTTAAGTTGGTGTTACAATGATGTTTGGTAGATTTATTGTATTTTTATGATATATTTTCACAGGAGTTTGAAAAGCAGTCGGAAATTATGGATATGAAGGAGGAAATGATGAATGACTCGATTGACGACGCTATGGAGGGTGATGATGACGAAGAAGAAAGGTGATGTCAACTTATTACTATGAGTATTGTTTTATATATGGAATGTTATCTTTGTGAAAAGATTTCAAAACTTATGATGGAGCAGAGATTATTAATTCAAATTTGATATGCTTAATGATGAAGTTAGTGTTATATGTAATGGCCCTATATATTAACAGGGAAGTTCAAATAAGAAAATTATTATTATACACATATTTTTAAATGTATTTCTATTATACGACGTACAGTGTACGTGTGTATATCACGAACCTCTTAATAAAGGGTTGGATTTCTATGAATTATTTTGTATGCACTTGATGGTTTAGATTCGCAAAGCAGTCCAACAGATGGCGCTTTAAATAAAAAGCTTTTTTAAACATATTTGCTTTGTATTATATAGTGTCTGTGTATTTCGTATGCTAATATATTAATCAATGTTTTCAGTGATGCGGTTGTGTCTCAAATATTGGATGAGCTTGGTCTTCAGCTCAACGATCAATTGTCAGGGTTGCCACAAGCCACTGGCTCGCTGTCTATATCAGGTGAGTTTCGATATAGATCTTCTACTTGATACTTATTCCTTGTATCATCAGCCTATCAGAGCCCACTGCTGAGCTAAGACCTCGTCTCACATGGAGAAGGTTTGACTATTAATCACCACGCTTACTCAAGACGGGTTGGAGATTGCAAACTTATAATTTAAAATTATATATCCAGGTTTCCTCACGATGATTTACTTTATCAGTCAGTGGTGTCTAAGTACTCTTAGAAAGTACATATGGCTCGGAAAAATTACATTGGTAATTGCCAGGTTTCGAACCAAGAGAGGCCGGCCTTTAACCACTAGGCCACCACTTACTCTGATTATTTCTTATATACTTTATTATATAATCCTTTGTCCTCCAGCTAAGACCCCAGCTGCGCCGGTGGCTGCAGGCGGCGCGGGCGGTGCGGGAGGCCCGGGCGGAGCCCTAAGCGACGCTGACGCAGAGTTACAGGCGCGACTCGACAATTTACGTCGAGAGTAACACTCCTGCCATCTCTCATATTGTCGTTCTAACGCCAACCAATTCGATGTTATGAGAGGCGATTGAGAATGATCTACCATTAGTACTATGATATAAGGAATTTATTAAAGAAATGATTTAAAGCAATTTATACTTGTATCCAGTGGCGGCTGTACCTTAAGTGCACTCGTGCGCTGAACCACCAAATCAAAAGATTTAAAAGTTACAAAATATTACTTCATCTTTATTTTTAAATTACTATTTTAATATTTATTTTCTAAACATACAAAAACGTATAAAAAATTAAATTTCTAATTATAGCAAAAAGTTTGAGTGCTTTACTAAACTAATATCTCGTGCGCTTCGGCGAGTGCACGAGGACGGCTAATATATCTTGTATGAGACACGAATTAATACGCCTGGCGCGTGAAACAAAAGATAGTTCATAGAAATGTACCTAGTAATGAGTCGGTTCTCGAGCGCCGCACGAGCGGCCGAAGATTACCGAGAGTACCCGATGTATGACGAATTGGAATTGAAAAGAATCAAAACTTTTCTCCGAAATACCATGCACTTGCTAAATGCACTTTCTATGCTTAGTATTGAAAAAAATAATTATACAAACAATACCCGATTTTAATAAAAAGGTGATTGAACATTTCGCTTCAGAAAAATGTCGTCGCATTGATTTAATGTATAAAAAATAAACAAATTTTATGTCAATTGGTGTTTTGTTGCATTTTGTAATTTTAAAATTTTAGTAAAGTGCACCACCAGTTCGATAACCCACCAGCCGCCACTGCTTGCATCATCACCCTTGCTTAACTATTGTGAAGATGCACATTTGCTACTAATGTATGCTTTATATCTTCATTTGTATTTCATGAATATTAAGATGTTTCTGTTGTTCTAAGTAAACTATGATATATTTATGAAGTTACTTAACAAACATTTCCTTCTATCAGATTGAGATCTTAAACATGTTTGTACAGAACTGTAAGTGATGAAATGTTGAGTTGATTGTTATTATATACAGTTGTAAATACATACATATTTTAATAAAAAAATAATACATATATGCCTCATTTATTTAATGAAAACTATTGAAAATTATTCAATAAAACACCGTTATTTTTATATGTTTATTTCTCTACATTACATACATACTTATATAATGTAACAATAATAAAATATTACACAAAAATAACTACCAATAATGGCATCTACACTATAATCTAAACACTTAGCCTCTAATCGGTACATTGTGACATCTAGAGAGACTATAATTATAATTAAATACTTTTGAGACTTCTCGTCTTACAAGTAGTATATATGTACATAAGAGATAATCATTAATGACATGTAAGGGAAAGTGTCCTGTCTATAAAAAATAAAAGAACACATTTATTTCAAATAAAAAACACCTTTAATTTGTTCCATTGGTGGACTTTTGGAGTTGTTTGCCAATTATAATATTTCACGATAAGTAACATATGAGAGAATCCAACTAAACATTTAATATTCCTTGGAAAAGTAAATTATAACATAAATAAAATTTTATTTTTGACGTTTTTAAGACCCCTACGCATTAAAAGACATTTAGCCCGATTACTGGCACGCGAAAGGAAGGCACATCGAGTAAAGATTTTGGAAAACAGATGATACTCTTACACCGTTGGAGCAATGTTAATAAAACATAGCTGGTAAAAATTACAAGGAACTTGGCTTTTGAATAAAAATACCTGCATCGAGATCGATCAATCGAAGGCACAAATTTATAAAACCCATCATTTTTCGTTGGGGGTTAAAAATATTACATTTTCAAAATGTCAGTCACTTTGAATTTAGACAATGGTACCTATTGGTAATTCCGTTTTTGCTACTATTGTTACTTTAATTAGTTAATAGGTAATACGATTATAGTTATTTTTTATTCAATGAAGTTATATTTAACTATGAATGAAAAAGGTAAAAGAAAAGTTGAGTACAGTTGTTAAGTTTGACGGTACAAATTGATTTTAAGTGTACATTTACTAAAACATTCTTCCATCGTTAAAACGAATGCTGTTTTGTATATGGATACAGTTTAAACTTTGAACTCTACGGTACAATTACTTTTTTAAACTATCAGTGCTGTTACCGGAAATGTTTTTTTCTCGCTACAACGATTCCTCTTCGAATTTAATACATACATACAAAATATTTTTATAACAATTTCTTTAAAAACACAATTACTTTTTCATGACTATCGATATGTTTGTAGTATAAATGTGTTGTTTGTTTAAATACAATATAATATCAAAATTGAAAAAATAAACAAAGTACATACTTTCAAGCATCGTTTTAAAACTGATTTTCTTTATGTTGTAAGTTTAGTAACGACTTTAAACAGAAAATAATTAGTTTTATTTTTTGCTTTGATAAAATATAGGTAAGCACCTATCATCATAAAATATAGATTTACTGGACTGTTTGTAACCATAAATCACGGAGTTAAAACATTCCTCGCGCGTTTTTTAGTACATAACGTTAGAATAGGAACTAAAGTATTTTTATGTGTAAAGTTTCATTTAATAATTGTAGTTGGGAACTGTGCTACAATACTTAATAAGAAGTGCTGTAATTTTGAGAGAAAAAACTATGTTTCTGACGTCTCTGTGTGTTATTTTATTAAAAATGATTCAATTGTGTGCAATAAATAAATGTCTAGTTGATTTCTTGCACTTAATTTTTTTAGGATATTTGAAAACGCAATTGCGTACTTCTAGGCCAGGCTACTCCTATACATAAAGGTGTACTGTAATTTTACCTACCATAGAGAAGTGTTAATGATATACATACATATTATTTATTTAGTCAAGTTAACAGGAATCGATATGAAGCTAAACAAAGGGAGCTAAAAATAGGTATTGCATGTGATAATGTAGTAGAATTTAAAACAAAAATACAAACTCCTTATCGTGACATAAAATCTTTTAAGAAGCAAAATTAGTTTTCAATACACTTAATAATTTAATACAAAAGAACAAAAAATAAAAGTTACTGTAGACAATTTTAAAACAGCTAAGAAATATTTTAGTTGACAAGAAGTTACCAGCACATCTTTACGATACGCTGTGTGGTCAATGAACAACTATGTTTCAAATCTCATCTGCCCGTGATCACGGTTGCTGCAAAGCCGGAACGTCGGGAGTATGTAGTTTGAAAATAATAAAATACGCGCAGTGATCCGAGGATACTAGTTTCTTTTCAATGAACAAATAATTAAAGAGAGGGCTATTATTGTAGTGTTATAATCATTATTAAAAGGACACAGCCCAATAATTTTTATGGATTTCTCTTTTGCTAGTTACGATGAACGACTGATAGATTAATTACTTTGCAAGTATTGGCCTTACAGGAATTAAAGATGTGTGATTACAAACACTCAAGAAATTTAATGATAGGTCTTTTTCAGTAGAATATTTTTTCTTTCCACCTTCGCCATAAAACTAAGTTTAGACAGGTTAAAATTCTGATAATAATAATAAAATCAACTGCTATATGTTTTACTTACAATGAAATTGTAACTTGGAATGTATTGCCCGATGTTCATAACCGGAAGACTATGTTTTGGGTTTTATACAAAAACATACTTTTATGGACTAACAATGCTAATTCAATGCGAAATTTTCAATCGACAAATTGGTACGTAGCTATTAAAAGCAATTTTTGTTGAGAAATCAAAGCTGCTCGTATTTGAGTTATAAATGGGCTAAATGGTACAATTTTGTTTCCTATAGTACACTTAAGATAGCCAATGGAATAACCAGCGCCATATTATTATTGACGTCAAAGTAATTTGGAAAATATCGCGGATGTTAGTCATTCCGTAATAAATTATTATAATTAACATTCCTTACGAAAGATTTTTCGTAATAACATATATCACGTGTCCAGCGTTTTCACCAAATAAGCTCGAGGAGAGATTCTTAAAATTTTCAAAGGTGTAAATATTTAGGTTTGGGTGACTTAGATGAAATATCTTCCCAGGAAATTTCTGGTGAATGAACCCATGGAAATAGATATAGAAAATCCGCGAGGGTATTTTACTTAGCAGTTAGCAGTTGTTCATTTGTAAAGGGAGTTCATATCAAAATTCGTCGTCAGTCTTGTAGGAGTTCGATTGTAACTGACCCGCAGTACGAACGTAATTTTTCTAGGCGGCTAATATTAGTAGTAAAATTGTACGGACCTATGTGGATTTAGAGAGAAAAAATGGTTTAACTGATGAATTCTGTTATAAAACTGAAGGAAGACAACGGTGATGTCGGATATGTAACATTTGAACTTTTTTTCATCCACGCTTTAGGTATCGTCGTGTTTTTATATAGACTTTTGGCCAGAGAATATTTGTCAAATTTTTGGCACTAAATGCATTTGTCATGTATTTTTTTCCACCATTTCGCATTAAACTGATCGAAGATGATCTTCCAACAATCTCAGCGTCTCAATAAACTAATATGGATAAAATATTATATAGTAAGTAACAATGTAATAGACTACAAGTAGATGTTAGAGACCACAGCTAGTGTATTGGTTCTCGTGGAAGTTCCAACGCGCTAAGTGAAATGCAAAGTTGTGCCACGTAGTACGTTGACATTACCAGCAACTGAAAAAAGTATTCATATTGACATTATCATCAAAGTTTGAGAGTATTGATGTAGTTGGGACTTGTAAAGTTGAAAGAATTTAGCTAGATGAGTAGTAAAATAGTCAGTGTAAGAATTATGAATGAAAAATTGTTTAATTTTAAAATTAACAAGCAAACTGTTTCAAGTGCTAGTCCGAGTCTATAATTTTTACTTAGTATGGTCATAAATACTGTTACAATAAAAAATAATATAGTCTCTTGAAGCTCGGTATTAGTAAAGTATTTATTTAATGGAAGTCAATGAATCTATGTTCTTATACTGTAAAACCTCCTGTTTGTGACAAAAAAATTTGGCCGTAAACTTATTCGTATGAATATATCACATTAATTAGGGAAAAAATTCTTTGCGAAAGCCAAAAACTTTATATGGTGAGGTGAAGATAACACCTGGAACCATAACGTGTATTTTAAAAGCTGAACGCCTCTTCTGAACTTTATGAGCTGAATTCTGACGTCATCGAGGACTTACAATTTACTGGTTTTTAATTTATGATCAGTTTTCAAGGAGTAATACTTGCTTTAAACAAAATAATAGTGAGGGCTCCCTATAAGAGTCCATACGATTGATAGTGAAAATTTTTGTTACTGTCCTCTACGTTTTACAGCCCAAATGAGACCAAATGGAATAAGCTTCACATAATTATGATCGTTTTATACTGTAAATTTAAACTAACACTTACTTTAATCGTAATAAACGATACGTACAAAAAAAAGTAATTAATTTCTTTGTAACAATATTTATGACAATACGCATTAATATTCATGAATTTCCACTATGACCCTTGTAATGTCTTTAAAAAACAAATCTATGCTTACCTGTTGATGTGGCAGGGTGCCAGAGAACAGCGTGTATCCGAGCATAGCGTCAGATAATACGAACAGAAGAGATCCAAGACGTTGTGGACCTGCCTTAGCTGATCCTCGCCAGGCCATGCCGCCGAGCAGCAAGGCGTAACAAGTCACCGGTATTGATAAATGTGCTGGCGGTGACACTATATGCACATATAGTATCGCTCCTAGCAGCATAATCAATGCTGATAGCGGTGCTGTAGGTCGGAACCCGAATGCTGCCATATAGCATATATGAGCGCCAGCAAACGCTGCCATTCCCCCCTCCAAGCGATGAGGCCATACTAGCAGCGCGTCCCCAGCAGCAGACAGCGCTAGACCAGCGCTTATCAGCAACGCGTATCGCCGCCTGGACAAGTAACAAACTTGTCAAGGTCATTCGATCAATACGATTCAAATAACAATGAACTATTATTATCTGAGCCGTGATAATAGCAAATACGTATATTCGTCCTGCAATAGATAACGCTCATCCGCTCCTTACAAAGGCAGGTACAAGATAATGGTTGATAAATCATAGCACATCGAAGTTAGTGCAGGCAAAATATTAAAAATTCCTATAATATGAATGACAGACAAAAATTTGTCAATAGACCAGTGCCGATAGCTTTTAAAACATAATTAAATTAGTAACTCGTTAAAAAAGGAGGATAATATTATAAAAATAAAAGGAAAAATAATTAACGGGCGATCTGAGGTCGGGAAGGGTATGGGAATGGGTATTTAAGGCTAAAAATTGAGTTTTCTCGATTTCCGACAAAACTAAAAGTTCTATGGAAAAGAGTTATACAGCAAAGTTGTAGGTAATAAAAAGATCTAAAAATTTAGTACTAACATTTTTGAAAAATGCTCTTTCAATTTATTTTTAATAGTTTTAGCAGCTTAATTTAAATTTTCTGTAAATTACCAAAAAGAGGGACTATCTGGAAATCTTCCAGAGTACACAAATATTGTTGTTATGACACTCGATGTCGAGTGTCATTTCATTAAAGAGACATTATTATTTCATCCAAAAATGGTACTGTAAGTAAGAAACATATATATTTTTTTCGCCACCGGAAAATAGAGATTTCAACAAATAGAAAACGTACCAAATTGTTGAAAAAAGCTGATATTTTGACGGGTGATTTTTCGATTGCAAATGAGGCTGACTTTTCGATATTTATTCAAAACTAGAAGACCTGGCGAACTTCGTATCGCTCTATAATCAAAAAATATCTATTGTTTTATTATTTATATTTTTGGAGTTTACCTGTAAACCATAAATCTCCGTGTTTTTAAGTGCAACAGAATGATTGACATATTAGTTAGTTGTGAAATCTAATGTCAAAAAAAACGTTTGTATGGGAAATATAAAAGGGCTGTTTTTATGGTTTTCCCAGTAATGAATCAATTTTTTTCAGCTTTTATACCTTCCCTGAACCTCCACAAACATTTCAAGACTAAGATAAGTTAAATCCGTTCAGCTGTTCTCGAGTTTTAGCGAGACTAAGGAACAGCAATCCATTTTTATATATATAGAAGATAGAAGATAGAAGATAAGCTGAAAAAATAAATATTTGTAATAAAATAAATAACAGTGCATTTGTAACATCAAAAGAAAAGTTTTCACCACATTTAGTGACAAAAAATTGTTTTCTTGGAAGAAATAAAAATAAAAAACAATAAACTAGGTTTTGGAATTTTTCACATAAAATTTAAGGTTATGTGAAAAAAAATTAGTAGAAAAGTTTTAGATCTTTTTATTACCTACAACTTTGCCATATAATTATTTTCCGTAGGACTTTTAGTTTTGCCGGAAATCGAGAAAACCCATTTTTTAGGCTTAAATACCCATCCCCATACCCTTCCCGACCTCAGATCGACCGTAAATTATTTTTCCTTTAATTTTTATAATATTCCCCTCCCTTTCTAATGAGTCATTCTACTACAATTTATTTTCACTTTTCCTTAATTTTAAAGGCTTTTGCACTGGCCTATGGCAAGGCTCGACTATGACGCTCCTACCTCCTACCAAGATATCGTCAACGATCAAATATCACTCACTGGTGTTTGGTGGTAGTAGGGGCGAAGGCTCTCAGTAGTACACACAACAGCAGACATAGTACGGGGGCCACCTTGAGAGCAGCACCCGTAACGGAGGCACCGCCCCCCGCCGCGAAGTACACGCACACGCACTTGAAGAAGGGCACCAAACGAGCCCTCCCATCAGACCCGATCGCCTTCATCTAATAAAATACTCAGTATAATGTGAATTCAGTATAGAAATGACCACCGTAGTATTTTAGATTATACTTATTAAATAAAATCTAATTAAAATTTTCATTACTATGTACCTCCCGGGTACACAGATTAGATTATGCTAACATTTCCAAAGATGTGGTGTTATCCTAAATCTACAATGTTTCATTTATTAATTTGAGAATTATACGTTTTTATACTACTTTGTGTGTTATTTTCGATTTATCATATTCATTGTTATAACTTAGTTTAACCACCCTTAAAAAACTTTTTTCTAATTACGAAGTATGTACATCATAATATAGACATGATTTAGTGCATCACATGTGTGTGATCGTGTAAAATTACCGAGTTTTACTGTAAAAACCATATCAAAAGTAAAAACTATTACGTAGTACATATTCATAAAATTTTGTTACTATTTACTTTAGTAATATGCAGTGCTGTTAGCACCCGTCTAACACAGCGTCACCTTACTAATTTTTTAAATTTATTCAATAAATAAAATCCTAATACTTATTTATAGATAACATTAAGACTTCAAGAAGGTTGAAACATGAAGGTTTTATACAGGGTGACTGGTGAATTAAGTACTATCGATACTTGAGGACGTGATATTTGACGATCATATATGACAAAATAAAAATTACTATAACATAAATATTAATAAACTTCCAAGTGAAGTTAACCAAAAGTTATGTAATTAATTACGCATCGTGTGAACACCCTACAGATTAGGTATATACACACGCACACACAGACGTGTGACGGCGTAGTGTTGTATCAGCACGCCGCCACACGCGTCCACGCTTGGAACACTTGGAACGTGTCCACGCTTTATTTATTTATACGGAAATTTGGTCAAAAATTAAGTGCCTATTTTTTTTACATAATTCGAATGAGAATCATGTACCGAGTATTCTCCTTAAATATTGATAGTAATTCACCAGTCACCCTGTATAATGTATAACTAACTTAATAGAATCAAACGTTACATAATGATAGGCCATAGCGTGCCGGCCGGTATGTAGCTCAGATTGTTTGTGATATCGGACATTACATCTAAAATAGAACAGCACCCTAACTACAAGTTCATCGTACAACTAATAAACGGACAGTTTTCAGTTTTTGAGTTATACTTCTTTTGGTAACTTTTTTTTACATTTCTCAGGGAAACTCTTTTTACGAGCCGTCCAACCGGCCTTGGTGGGGCCGTAAGGGATGTGTGTGGCTTGGCCTGCCCAGGCCCCTACTCACTAAAACCACTGCGAAAGCCATCGGCCGCTATGTCGGTGTATCCCGGATTTGACAGCGACAGGGCACACCAGATACTCTTTTGGTAGCCCTGGGCGGGACGAGCGACCGAGATAGGCGCTAAGATGATGATGATGACTTTTATTGGTACAATATAGAAAAATGATGAGAGTTATTTTTTACGCGCGCACCGAAAGCGACATCGTGAAGTTAGTTCTAGTTGCATGTTAATTGATAACTATGTTCAAGTTGTATACTCTAGTATTTTTATCATACATTTTTTCTTTTAGGTTTATGAATGAAAAACTTTAAACGCGTCGTAAGCAGTAAATATGCTAACACGTAGTAAGACTACGGACGGCCCCCTATGTCTTGTTAGTTACGACCTTGCATAACAATTGCATCTAACTTATATACAACAAAAATTATCGACTTCCTTGTTATTTTCACACTTATCGTTTTATCATTCAATAAGCAAAAGTTTTTCTTTCTAAAACTCAAACAAATTCTCATATACGAAATGAAGAGCGAAAAATTTTGCATCTACTGAATTAAAGTATATTTATAAGCGTATATTGTATATAAATTCTATTAAATCAAATTCCAATACAATAAAATTTTTAGTTACTTCCAAAAGAAAGGGAGAAAATTTTGTATGGATGTTTATTATCTACTACAACAATTCTAATACGCTTTACAAACTAAATACATGTATATAAAAACAATACAATTTTCAGTTAATTCTTACGTAGTATTTGAGAAGATGAATAAAAAATTTAAACTATAAATAACTTAATTTAAAGAAGTTAGCTGGTTGTAAAGGTGAAATTGTTTATCGTATAAAATCACGACAAAGGATACATTAAGCAAATATTGTTCCTCGTCAAACTCGATTCCAATATCAACAAGCATCGGTCACGGCAGAATTCATAATAGTTCAATTTTATTTGTTTTGTATCGGTGAAAATAGTAAGCAGTCATTAAATATTATTATATCGAATACTGATACATAAGTAGAAAATTATTAAAAATATTTGTATACATTCCTTATTATGCATATACTGACAAACATTTTTGAAAAATAATTGGGAAGTCGGTAGATTTATATCTCTCAAGAAAATAGTATATAGGTTTATATATAAAATTTTCCACTTAAGAGACGTCTGTAAACAAAATTGAAGATACAACATCGCTAACCAGTAAAACAAACACGTCTTTGTTTTTGTATTTTACTAAAACGATTCAATTGAACATTGCTTACTCCGAAACATATTCTTGGGAGCAATGAACTATTTATGTGGAGAATTTAAAATAGAAAAATAACAATATTTTTTCCAACAATCATTATCAAAGAATGTAATAATGCAAGTTCCGAACCATATCGTCAGTTTTTAATTATTACTACAATTAATATTCAAATAATAATATTGTCCCTTAAATATGTATTCCATTTAGATAAATTATGTGCACGTATTGAAAAAGAACAAGACTACATTGCAATTGAAAATTTTTTGACCATTAAAATTTATTGAATTTTAATTTTAAAAAAGAATTTTTCAATAAGTATGTACACAAAATGAATACTTACTATACTAGAAGGCGATATCATGGCTGCAATAACACAACAAACAGTTCTACCGTGATTGAAAAAATAACTGCGCACGAAGCAAGCTAAACAATATCAACTGACCGTACCTAAAGGCGCGAGTTTGCAAAACAAAATTATAAGCGTTTTCATGTTTATTTTGATTCCTGCGCAAAAACCACTACTATCTTGCGTAAACAAAAAATATATCAATCTGATGCTAGAGATATATAACTCGACAACTTTTTGTTTTGTATGGATTATTTGCTGTTTAGAAACAAGTAATTTTTTAAAGTTATATGATTACCTTCTTTATTTCAGATTAGAGAATTTTTTAAAACATGTTTCAAGACTTTTATTATGTATTTTTAATAATTTGTAAATAAATTGGACTTTTTCTTATTCTTATTATTAATCCCAATTTCGTTTCCAAACTATTCTACCACTGACATAATTGACAAACTTACCTATTGCCATATGTCACTTGACACTTGACATTCTTAAATTTAATTTCCATCAGCTGAACTCATGCGAGTTATTTGAAACTGGAAAGTTTCAAGTTATTAGCTAATTATTTCACATGCTAAAGTTACAAACTATAGTTGAATTAACTTCTTGTTAACCTTAACAATGCCTAAGAAGAAAACTGGACAACGTAAAAAAGCTGAAAAGCAAAAACTGAGGCAAAAGGAGATCAGAAATGCGAGAGAACATGTTGATTTAGCACAGCACCCTTGTAATCTTGCAATGGAATGTGACAAGTGCCAAAAGTGAATAATATTTTTTTATTATTTGCACAATATATTTACGTTCTATTACTTTTTGTTTACATAATATAGCATTTTTATATAAATCAAGTGCCACGCACCTAGGTAACTGCATCGAATCTATATACCACACTATTCATTTCAGAAAACAAAAGAGCCGCGCCTTCTGTTACTTCTGTTCGGCTGTGCAGCGGTTACCAGCATGTGCTCAATGTGGCAAGATGAAGTGCATGCTTAAGTCCGGAGACTGTGTTGTCCGACATCCTGGAGTATTCACTACCGGCATGGGCATGGTGGTAAGAAACCTAAGATGTAGCTAATTTATTAACTTGACAACTGCCTATAATGAAGAAATGAAGATGAAAATCTTTATGAATAAATATAATACAGTGCAACCTTAATATAACGACTTCCTAATAATCCCCTTGAATTGTTAATAAGGGTCAATATAAAATATGCCTTTACATTGCCAACATGTTTTGCGAACAACCTCTTTTTAATGAATTTTCATCCATCAGGAAAAAGTATACATACCTCAACTATCTAATCCGAACCCTTAAAGATTTAACTAAAAATATAAAACTATTTTTTTACCTGTTTATAACAAAGTTTAGAGCAACCTAACCTCAACATAATAATACTCAGTTCAACGAATTATTTCATATAATTAATATTTTCTTGTTTCCCTCCGTTTGGTTACATCAAGGTTGCACTGTATAAATATAAAGACACAGATTACAATAAAGCAAATTTCTTATATCCAAAATAATATTTAGTTTAACATAATCATCATAATTATGTACTTAATATTGCTGTATTATATTGTAGGGTGCTATCTGTGACTTTTGTGAGGCCTGGGTCTGTCATGGTCGTAAGTGCCTGACCTCTCACGCTTGTACTTGCCCATTGGCTGATGCTGTGTGTCTTGAGTGTGAGAGAGGTAATAAAAACAAATTTATTGAATTTTTATATATTAAAAGTATTTTTCCGAGTCATATGTACTTTCTAAGATTATTAAGACATTAGTGATTAATGCATTCCCAAAAGAGGGTTGATGACAGGCAGGCGGCCGGTCGTAAAAAAACAATTAGAGGAAACTATTTACAACATGTTCTGTGGAAGAGAAGAACATGATGTGCCGACCCTACATTAAGTGGGATCAGGGCAGGAAAAAAAACAGTATTATAAAAGAAACTTGATGAATCCTTAGTTTAATATTGAACTATGATAGCTATGATAATCATTTGCTTATTCATTTGTTGTATATTAGTTATACTTGTTTGGTGTTGTTAAATTATAATATGACATTTAGTATAATGTACAAAAATCATTTTATTATTTAACAATACCGAGCAAGTAATAACATATACTTGCTTGATATTATTAAATAATAATATGACATAAAGTATAATATATGCAGATTTCTTTATTATATTAGGTTCCATCATTCAGTCTTGTTATGTACCACAATATTACAAATTTAATATAGTTTTATTGAACACTACACTAACTAAATTACATATTTTGTCATAGAGTATTTTCACAGATTCAGTCTAGAAATACCAAGTGTAGGAAATAATGCTAAATATTTGTTTCAGGTGTGTGGGAACACGGTGGCAGAGTGTTCCGATGTTGTTTCTGTCAGGGCTTTCTCTGTGAGGATGACCAGTTTGAACATCAAGCATCATGTCAAGTGCTAGAGTCTGAGACATATAAATGTAAATATATCATTATGTTATTGATAAAAATCTCATACAAATGTCCATATTAATGATATAACTAAAATTTCTATATACAGGGTGACTGGTGAATTACTATCGATACTTGAGGACGTGATATTTGACGATCATATATGACAAAATAAAAATTAATATAACATAAATATTAATAAACTTCTAAGTAAAGTTAACCAAAAGTTATGTAATTAATTACGCATCGTGTGAACACCGTACAGATTAGGTATACACACACACACACACACACACACACGCGTGCGTGCGTGGTGTTGTATCAGCACGCCGCCACACGCGTCCCCACTTGGAACACTTGGAACGTGTCCACACTTTATTTATTTATACAGAAATTTGTTCAAAAATTAACTACCTATTTTTTTACATAATTCGAATGAGAATCATGTACCGAGTATTCTCCTTAAATATTGATAGTAATTCACCAGTCACCCTGTATATAGACTATTAGGGCTGTCCTAGTAATAACAACTCCACTGAATTACCTTATGAAATGCCTAAGGTTTATAGCAGACTAAACAAGAGTTCTTTAGAATTCTACTACTATTAATATTGCAAAGCTATGTGTCTTCTATGCATTGTAAATTAATGTGATTATATATAATTCTTAGTTCTATACATATAGAACTAAGAATTATATATAATCACATACATACTATATACATCTCCCACTTATAATGATTCCAGGTCAATCATGTAATCGTATCGGCCAGTACTCATGTCTCCGTTGTAAGACATGTTTCTGTGACGAGCATGTCCGTCGCAGGCAAGCGGGGAAGCCTTCCCGGAATGCACCACCCTGTCCTCGCTGTGGCTACATGCTGCATCTCACAGCCGACCTCAGCATGTCTAGTATGTATATAATATAAATATATAATATAGATTAAAAATTTGTTTAAAATAGTTGGAAAACTGTTAAGAAATGTATACAATAACTTTACAATTAATTATAGTCAAACTCTTATTACATTATTAGTCGTGATATATGTATATATCTACTGCTAACCAAAACAAATTCCTCCTTACTTGATTTAGAGTCCATAAAACATGTAATGAAGATCTAAGATATTCGCGAGTTTTAATTTAAATGAAACTAATATTTTCGGATTTATTACGCGACTTTATTTTTGATTAGACGAGATCTCGTCTGCCCGTGTATTTATGTTGTTGTAAAGTAACCGAAACGGCGGGAGTATGTAGTTTATAATCAAAAATAAATAGCGTAGGAAATCCGAAAATATTAGTTTAATTTTAAAACATGTATTTTGTATAAATATTATGTATTTATTAATCTCATATTATTTCCAGCTCGCTCGCATCGCTACGGTCGTCAGGGCGCCGCGACGGCTGATGACGACGATGATGATGATGATGGTTCATATGGAAATGCAACTGGATACAGTGGTACTTAACTGGGAATCTATACTAATACTCAACATTCTTATTATTAGACCATTTCTATTACACATATTATACTGACTTGATCATGAAGTTAACTGTATGTAGATGGTATATTATAAAAACATAGTCTAAAATCCAAATTATCATCATTGGACAGCTATGATCAATGCCATGGCGAGCCATGGCAATTTAGGTGTTCTAATAAAATGTTACAATGCTTAATCTCTAGTTTGTGTCCATTTAGGAAGACTTCCAATAGAAAATATAATAGAAAAATAGATTGAAAATATATAAGCATTTGACAATTTTGGCATCATTTACTTTTAATAAGTTATTTAGTATAACAATATGATTTATGCTCAATTAAAGAGTTACATAATTATGGTCTTAATAAGTCTTGAACGCTATTTTCTCTACATCATAATACTAAAATTTCAACCCCTTATTATTTTAGTTACTTTTGCATAATGAATAAGGCCTGGTTAAATATTATTTGTTTAGTATTATAGATAATGCTGTAATATTTAATATTTTACGTATACTAGGCTATGATGGTGGTATGGAGGGAGGAGACTATTCTTACTCCGAGTCTGATGATGATGAAGACGAGTCTGAAGATGAAGAATCAGATGAAGACGAACCTGAGAACTCTGCCAATACAAGCAAGAACACCTAAACGATAGTCAAATAATGGCAATTTAAAACTATTAGTTGTGTATACAATCTTATATGCACTTTTTTGTGCTATGCTTATTTACAAAAATAAATTGCTGCTATATAAAGTATTGTTATTTTATTTTTCATGATACCCTTTTGTCGTTCTGTATTTAAAATAAAGTTATTTTAGTTTTAACTTGAGTATAATATAAATTTTCGTACAAATATTTGTTATGATTAAATTTAAAAATATGTTTGATTGATATAAAATGTAACCTGACATTTTAAGTAATTTAGCTGAAATATATTGTAAGTCACTACAATATGCTTATATTATGCGTTTACCTAATAAGGAACTTCATGAAAAGTGTTCAATAGGATGTGTTAAATTAATGGTACCACTTCAAAAAAATCTTAAAATAAATAAAAAATTGAGATGGCACTAAGACGAAAATTTTGAAAAGATTCTTTATTTAAAACGTATGGTAGTAAAAGGACTATATTTTCATTATTATTTTGCCTTTAAATTAAAACAAACAAGGATTCACTAACACTGTAAGAAAACGGTAGATATATTGTCATTGATATGGCAACACATTTCTATTCACTAGCAAACCCAAATCCTAAATGACAGTAACAGTAATTGTAGTACAATCAGTCCAATCAGTTACTACGCTAAGTGTTATGTCTTGAAACGAAACATCGGTGTTCATTTTCTAGCAATTTTACATGTAGTGTCATAAATAAGTGTAGTGTTGTTTTTATCACAACGAATAAAATCCGTCCTAATAGAAAGGCATACGTTATGTCTGGGGATCGGTGAAAGTGTTTTGTGATACATCTCAGTGCTGTGGGCGAGGATGGGCGTGGGCCTGCAACCGCTGGAGTTTACAGAGTGCCTGGCAGATAGTCCACACTTCAGAGAGAACCTACAGCGACATGAGAAGGAACTGGAAAGGACGAGCCAGCAGATCAAACGCCTCATCAAAGAGGTCAAGGATGTCGTGCAAGCCGCCAAACGTGAGCATTCACATTCATATTACAAAGCCACCTTCGACGCATATACGTAACTTGAATAAACACTATAATATTTACTATGAGCTATTAGTATTTAGCACAACACATATTGTACTGCTGATAATGATAACTAAAGAATTGCTTTGTTATCGAATATAATTAATTTTAATATATATCAAGTAACCAATTGTTTATGATTCACATTTAGTTGACTATTGATAAACATGACCATCCTATTAAATGGGAGGTACAATGTTTTTCCAAATGCAACACTAGCTCAGACTTGGTCATATATTCTCCAGCCATCTGTTAATATGTTTCAATTATTTAATAATGATGAGAAATATATGCAAAGTATTAAATTTCCTGTGAAGCTAAGTGTTGGATAATAGCATACAAGTGATCTATTGATCAGTAAGTACATGAATGCCTTTGGCATTGCACAATTACTTGTCCTTTTATACACAGTATTATGTAACGCTGCTAAATTGAAAGTATTGTCAACACTTTATATAAACATTGTAAACATAGTTACATATACACAAAATGCTTTTGAGATGAATTCAAAACTGTAAATCACATAGAAAATATTTAATTACTTATATATTGGGATCGATAATAATTGTATACATAAGTCATATGTTAGTACTTTTTATTACAGCAATGTAATAATTACGAAATAAAATTAATGACATTAATTTGGATATAAACTTATTACTCATAAAGATTCACTAAATGCATTGCTCATGAAATTAACTGTATCACACACACACAATAAACACACACACACACACACATACTTAAATGTACACAAAAGTTCATATAATTAGCATTATAAAAGTCAGATTTGTCAAATGTATGTGTGTGTGTGCATCCAAATTAAGATGTTTGTGTGAGATGAATCATCCTTACATTTGTCTCTTGTCCATAAATCCAACCAACACAATATGAATACCTTTTATTTTTCAACCAATATATAATAATTAAAATTATTCTTATTTGAATGTATTTGTATTGATAATGTATATGTATTGATGCTTATATAGTTTTTGTGTCATATAAATCATTGAACTTATGACTCATGAATGAACATTCATCGTCAAGTTTGAAGTCAGTGAAGCATCCAATACATTATACTGTAATATTATATCGCTATGTTCTTGGACTATATTTAATATGTCTGTAGTTTAATTACCCAAGGAATGAATGGACTGGCAATTGTTTGAATATTTTCATTAGTTATTTAATGAAAATAATTTTATTATTCGCTTTCCGCTCGCAGCTTTGGCCGCGTGGAGTTAAGTTATATCGCGTTTAAAAGAGAACCTTTCAAAAGTCTGGGATAAAAACTATCCTATGTTCTTTCTCAAGGTCAACTCCATCTCTGTACCAAATTACATTAAAATCAGTTCAGTGGTTTAGGCGTGAAAGCGTAATAGACAGACAGACTGACAGAATTACTTTCGCATTTATAATATTAGTAGGGAATAGTAGGGATAATAACTTTTCACATTTCTGTTGAAGTTAAAACTTCAGTTTATGTTTTAGTTTTGGTCATAAGTACCTGATAACAAACCAGTAAATGTGTAAATAGTAGGTGTGACCATCATTTTGTTTGTTCAACAATTTTTACTATGTATTTGTTCAAACCATGTACGTTTCCATTGTTTACTTAAAAATTATATGTATATCGGAAACTCAGTTCATGTTTTATATAGTTGATTTAAAATTTCACATTGATAAATTATCCTTATCTTTATAATGATTATGACTTTGAAAAACGATAAGCACTCAATGATGTGATAATAATGTTACGGTAATTTCTTTTGTGAAATACATATAATTTAATATAGAATTTTTTGAGATGAGACCGATTGTAAGAGAGTGTTGAATTTATATAATTCTATAGAGCACAGTATTATTAAAGTTGGAAAAAGTATTCTATTTTATATATATAGAAGAATAATCAATCTATATTAAATTTAAAAGAAGAATGAATATTTTATTAGCTATTTTCACTATATATATCTTCTTCTTCCTGGCAATTTCCCAGCTTTAGCCAGGGTCTACCAAAAATATTACGATACATATGTATATCCAAGGAATATTTAGTGAAACTTTAATGAGATTTCAGTTATGAAATTTTCAAATTATTCAAGAAATTATTAATATATTATCAACATTTATTATAATTTGTAATTTTTAATGTGCTATATTTAAATGATAATCTTGAAGCTATTCGAAAGATTTAAAGTGACGTCGATTAATTATTAAAGAAATGAGATTAGTTGATAATGATTTTGATATATCAAACCAAATAACACTTAAGGCTATGTGACGAGATTTTTAAATATTTATGTATTTCATTGCATAATAATTATGCTGCTGATTTTTTAATAATTATTATGAGAAAAGACGAAACCTTTTCGCATTAAATGGATTCATCGTGCGAGTGCCGGGTACATTGTGTTGCATGGAGAGGAGCTTCAACAGTGCCTGGGACTTGCGACCCATGTGTAGGTTTAAGAGGTCCCTATCTATTGCGCGTTAAAAGCTCAGCTCCACTGTCCCAGCTCCTCTCTTTACTTAACTAAATATGAAAAGAACCTAATGAAATCTAAGATTTTAAATGAAACTAATATTTTTATAAAAAAATCGCGTAGTAAATCCGAAAATATTAGTTTCATTTAAATGAAAAGAACTAGGGCTGCCTTCGAAGTACGTTCCAAGAATAAATTTCTGTTAGTTATGGACAGGCCCAAGTCTTTTAGTACGTTGTAGAGAGATTTAGCCGTTATATTGATTACGCTGAGATTATTTATGGCGGAGTTTCGATCTCTGTATACTTACGTACAAATCTCACATATTTATATGAGATTTTATCATATATTTATATATTACTTTTTGTATGCCCAGGTCTTGGTGCAGCCCAACTGGCTCTTGCAGCCAGTATGGAACAGTTCGAGTTCGCCTGCATAGGTGCCTCGATGACTGAAGATGAGAGGGTCATCGGAAGATCCTTGCATCACTTCGCTAACCTTATCAGAACTATAGAAGATGAAAGAGATAGAATGGTAAGTTATCAAATAGGTATACATATAATAGCAACCTTGGTTATATAATGGAACTATTGACTATAATAAAAAGAGAAATTTAATATATTTTGTTATATACATTTATTCTGTTTGAATGAATAAACGTTAACATTAAGAATATTTATCCAATAATAAAATATTCAACTAATATAATGAACGAGAAAGTCTTTTATAATAAATGTATTCAATGTAGAATTTTATATCGGAATGAAATAAAAGTTATAAGATTATTTTTGGTACTGACGAGCGAAGCCGCGTTAGGTAGCTAGTATACGAAAATTTATTAACATTTTTAATACAAGAGGAAATAAATCTTTTAAACTATGAATGTGACGTCAGTTTTTCCTTTGAAATCAACTAAGAATTAAGATTGTTTTTATTGAATGCCTTGAACGTTTATCGTCTACCTATAAGGATGAGAGTGGGACACTACTGGGGTAATGGCCAATAAATTTTTACTGCTGATTTGTATTACAGTAAAGCTAGATTCTAATCTATGTTAAATTTATGTAGGCAAGATCGTGAACAACCACACTATAATAAATAACTTGAAATCTTATAAATACATACTACATATTGGATGTAACAAGCGAAATAAAACGATATTAGTCTAGGACACACATAACAATTAATATAACTATGATTATTCTATTACTAGCTTTCCGCCCGCAGCTTCGCCCGCTTGGAGTTCGGTTATATCGCGTTTCCAAGAGAACCTTTCAAAAGTCTGGAATAAAAACTATCCTATGTTCTTTCTCAAGGTCAACTCTATGTCTGTACCAAATTTCATTAAAATCAATTTAGTGGTTTAGGTGTGAAAGCGTAACAAACAGACAGAGTTACTTTCGCATTTATAATATTAATAGGGATTCATGATCGTACCACATACGCTGCGTTTCCCGTTTTTCATACAATAACGTGTGTATAAAAACTGGTAACTATCTGTTTTTAGTTCCGACGCAGACTTAAACTAAGCACATATTATATCAAGTGAAAGCCACAGCCAACAGATATATTTTATCCCAGTTATGTTAATAATCTCGTTAGCAGAGTACGTCTGAACGTGTTTTTTAACTCCGCAGCGATAAATATAAATCACGTAGCTACCTGTTCAAATAACATAACCATTATTTACAATTTGCTAACAGAATACATCTTGTATACATCACATAGCTTTTTATAGACTGGCCAAGGTTTATGGATGGGTTTTAAAACAATTATAACACATACATATTTATTATATTGAGTCAGTGGTAGCCTAGTAGTTAAAAGGCCCGCCTTTCGTGCATGAGGGCGCGGGTTCGATCCTGGCAAGTACCAATGTGATTTTTCCGAGTCATATGTACTTTCTGAGTATTTAGACATCACTGATTAATGCTTTGACAAAGAGGGTTGATGTCAGGCAGGCGGCCGGTCGTAAAAACTATTCAAAACATGTAAGGCAGACCCTGGTTAAAGCTAGGAAAATTGCCAGGTAGATAAGATATGGAATTTATTATATTGGTTGGAATTTAGAATCCGGTCTATTGAATAATTGCGTGACCTTCGACGACACGACTATCGTAATCGTGTCGTTTTCGTCACGATCCCTTAACACTTTTACTATCAATACGTCTCTTGAATTTCAATATGCTCATACTGCGATTAGTCACGTCCAGCATATGACCTTACGCAATCTATTGTATACAATTCTATACTATTTTTGGTCGGACATAAAGCTACGTACTCACGGACGCTACTATAGTATTAACGAGTTTTATTCATTGAAGTGTAGTAATTTCGTAGGATACTATATAAAAGGCTGAGCATTAAAACCATTAACGCGTATTTATAACGTTGTATTTTATAGAGTGGTGAATTATGTTTTGGAAGTAGTTTTATTGTCTTGCTTGAAGTTTTCAAGTTTCTATTGTTACACTAAAAATAGAGTGTTTCCACTTCATCCCTACTAATATTATAAATGCGAAAGTACTTCTGTCTGTCTGTTTGTTACGCTTTCACGCCTAAACCACTGAACCGATTTTAATGAAATTTGATACAGACATAGAGTTGACCTTGAGAAAGAACATAGGATAGTTTTTATCCCAGACTTTTGAAAGGTTCTCTTGGAAACGCGATATAAACGAACTCCACGCGGGCGAAGCTGCGGGCGGAAAGCTAGTACTTTATAAACCCATATCGCTTTAATACTGTAATAGTTTATGAATGGAAAACTCGAAATATTACGTATGTAGTGTGACGATGAAGACTTGTGGTAATAATACGAAGTTTCTTCCCTTTACCTTCATTGTATTCGTAACGAAAGCGTTTCTCAGAAGTTAATGCAAATCTTTTAACTGTTCAAGTAATAATAAGTGAATAAAAAACTTAAAGACTGTCCGTGATATAGTTTATATAGGCTCGTATTACTCGTACTTGGTTTCGTTTTGTTTTAAGCCCTCTGGCGGAAATGTCACCGCAATATTTTTGCACTTGTAAAGATTCAAGTCTCGCTTCTTTACGTAATCTGTTAAATCATACCAACATATTATTATAGAAATTACGTAATAGTTTAATGAATTTACATTATGTTGTTCATATTGGTATGATATTGAAAATATCTTTTAAACCGATATCAAAGGCAAGCCTTTCACTGTTTGCGAGACAAAATGGAATCGACATCTCCTTGACAAATGTGAAATGATATTTAACTTCCTAAATTTTGGTAATGCAAGGATATTTTTTATCGAAACTATTAAATTTCTTATTAAAATACTTTTTGTGCGTTTAAAACACTATACGAAAAATATTCAGGGTGACTGGTGAATTACTATCAATATTTAAGGAGAATACTCGGTACATGATTCTCATTCGAATTATGTAAAAAAAAATAGGTACTTAATTTTTGACCAAATTTCCGTATAAATAAATAAAGTGTGGCCACGTTCCAAGTGTTCCAAGTGTGGACGCGTGCGGCGGCGTGCTGGTACAACACCACGCCGCTCACGCGTGTGTGTGCGTGTGTGTGTATACCTAATCTGTAGGGTGTTCACACGATGCGTAATTAATTACACAACTTTTGGTTAACTTTACTTAGAAGTTTATTAATATTTATGTTATATTAATTTTTATTTTGTCATATATGATCGTCAAATATCACGTCCTCAAATATCGATAGTAATTCACCAGTCACCCTGTATATTACAGGCAATACTAAAGTATGTACTCTACGTACTGTATTTTTAACACTGGTTTATCTTTTTTTATCATTTAACGGATATACTTCTTATCGTGTACCGCCGTCTGATAGTTTCGTGGATTAAACTAATAATGCTAAGCCTTTAAAATTTATGTAAATTCCATATAGATTATTCTGGTCATAGCACAAAAAATACAATAAGTAACAAAAAAAAAAATTGCTATCTCGTATGAGGTTATACTCTACTTACACTTTATTTATTTATACGGAAATTTTGTCAAAAATTAAGTGCCTATTTTTTTTACATAATTGGAATGAGAATCATGGACCGAAAATTCTCCTAAAATATTGATAGTAATTCACCAGTCACCCTGTATATCATATTTAATATAGTTTTGAATCAATATTTTATTTTGAAATTATCAAGAGGTTTTATATCATTAATACTGGCTGAATATATATATGCCTTGGCCTACTGTTCATGTTAGCGACACGAAAAATGTATTATAAGATAGTTATTAATTAAATGAAGTCGGAAAAACGTGCAATACTGATATTATGAAGGTATTAAATCAGTCAAGGTGATCTTCTAGACTATAGAGAATGGCTCGGTTATGGAATAAGTTCAGGTTTTACAAACCTTTAATACCTTTTACTTAGAAGGAATAAAAAAAAGTATTATGACAAGTTGCCAGTTCTTTTGCTGATTTTAAAAATAAACATTTTTCAAATTTCGAATATAGTTATTATAAAAATAAATTAAGCTAAATCATTGTTGTAACTTTAGTTACAAGATTAGTCTATTTGATTTATAAATAACGACATTTACGTCAATGGAGACGACTTAACCTAATGTTTTATGTACCTAAAGAGGTCATTCCGAATTTGGTTCAGTATTTTCAATTTATAAAAATCCTTTTTTCAAGTATATTATGTAAACATACACTTCATATTGCGATGCATGCATATGCGGAAATACAATAAGGGTTGGCCCTCAAACATAAAAGGAACACGAGTGCTTTTAATAAAATAAAATTATTCAATGAATTCGGCCTTCATGACCAAAAAGTGCAATAAACGTGATGTTTTATTTCCAAAGTAAGAGCGTATGCGGGCTTGCGAAATAACTAATGGCTTGTAGTTATTGTAAAACAAAACGTAACTCATTGTAATAAAGTTCATTATTCACTTACGAGTACATTGTTTAAGATTTCCATCGAAACATATGACATCGATCCTAATGTACACAATTTTTAAAACTAGTTTTCACCCGTGTCTTCGCTCCTGATATTTCTCTACAAACTAACCCTCGATATTTTAACAAGTTATTACATTTACATTCATACATACATTTTATATGTATAACGAACCCTTTCTAGTGGAATACATTCAAATCCCCCGACGCCATTTCCTTTACATATGCAAATACTGTTTAGAAACTGTTTGTAGCTTGAAGCGAGATTACGCACGAAGCGACTCGACGGCCTATTAGGCCTCGGCCTCGAATCTCGCGGGTAGCGGGGCGGCAGCGGCGGCGGCACGGAAACGCATACTATTCTCCAAACTAGAGGGGAGGGGGCACGGAGAAATGTATGCGTTTTCGTGCCGCCGCCGCTGCCGCCCCGCTACCCGCGAGATTCGAGGCCGAGGCCTTACAGTAACGTGTCGCTATGGGAGAGGCGGTAATTGAATTATATTATACATATGTATATATAACTATAAGACTACTATTGTATGTACAAATAATACGAAATAAGTATACAAAATCGTTATTAAAATAGTGAAATGACAGTTTATAATTGATTTTTTGTTAAAATTAAATATATTATTCTGGCCTATGTAATGAATTTGAATCATTTGTCATATAACTATCTTCAGTTATATAACAGCTTTGTAGATTGGAAATGAAACAATGTATAGAAAATTAAAATTATGGTAGAAATTGTTGTACCTATAGTAGATGTTTTTGAAGATCCATTAGATATAGACCTCTCATTCAGGGTCATCCATTTATTCTTGGATTATAGTATAATCATTATAGCTAATCCCGTTAGTGGGGTATGTAGGAATTATACAGGGTGACTGGTGAATTACTATCAATATTTGAGGACGTGATATTTGACGATCATATATGACAAAATAAAAATTAATATAACATAAATATTAATCAACTTCTAAGTAAAGTTAACCAAAAGTTATGTAATTAATTACGCATCGTGTGAACACCCTGCAGATTAGGTATACACACACACTCACACATACGCGTGCGGCGGCGTAGTGTATCAGCACGCCGCCGCACGCGTCCACACTTGGAACGTGTCAACACTTTATTTATTTATACGGAAATTTTGTCAAAAATTAAGTGCCTATTTTTTTTACATAATTCGAATGAGAATCAGGTACCGACTATTCTAGTTAAATATTGATAGTAATTCACCAGTCACCCTGTATACTGGTTTATTGAGCTAGTACATAAACTTGTATAAAAGATTGAAGTAATTACAAACGTACAAAAGGAATTTAGAAGCCCAAGACTAAGGTATAAAAGAAAATTCGTTTTTTTTGAGGTCCATATAATATTTGTAGTCAATGTTTAAGTTAAATGAAAGTTTTATCAAAATAATGAAATAGCACTAAACATATCGAATTTTGAGTTTTAAAACACTCGTCCGAAATTAAACGTTTTATACATATATTGTATGACAAGGTTTTTCTTGTGGCATATTTTATTCGGAAATTCATCAAAAACTAAGAAAAGTCACTGAAAAAAACTAATATTTAATGCACACGATCCTATCAAACAAATGACGCGCGTGACGCCTCACGCCAAGCGAATCACCAATGCGATACAAATATTTATTACCTCTAATTAGTTGCATTATATTCACGCTCATTATAAATATACCACTATAATTATTCCACTAAATAGTTTTAAAAATTTGATATTATTTTTGATATAAATAAATTAAATGTCTATAATGATTGGTTTCAAAACGTATTATCGCGGTCAAGCGTGACTAATACATTGTTTGTTGTTAAGTGACGTCCACTAGTTGACCTTGAAGCTATTGAACCGTGTATTGTGATTGAAAATTAATAATTTTAAACGTGACTTACCTAGCTGTACTGTCCGTTGGATATATCCGTTAAGTGTATCAGGTGTTTTAACATATAAGATATTTTGTTTTAGATATTAATCTTCAAATTATTAATAACTGGCTGCGCCCCGCGGTGTTACCCGCGGATTTCCGAGATTTTCGCGATGTAAAGTAGCCTATGTGTTATTCCTGGACGTCAGCTTCCTGTACACAAAATTTTATCAAAATCGGTTCAGCCGTTTGAGCGTGAAGAATTAACAAACACACACACACACACTAACAAACTTTCGCAATTATAATATTAAGTAGGATCTTATTGGATGAATGTCGCCATGTTACTTTAAATATATATCTTGTATATAAAATTCTCGTATCGCGGTGTTAGACAGAGAACTCCTCCGAAACGGCTGGACCGATTTTGATGAAATTTTGTGAGCATATTCAGTAGCTCTGAGAATCGGCAAGCGTCTATCTTTCATACCCCTAAGTCTTAACCGTTGTTCACAATTAATTTTTTTTTCATTTTCTGACGAAATTTTTTGTTTTTATTTTTTTATAATGTAGCATTAAAAATACACACAACCCAAAAGTTTTAATATTTTATCACTAACACCTATTTTTTATATGGCAATACAACGTTTGCCGGGTCAGTTAATAACTACAATACACATTATGATCTAACTCCGGCGGGAACGCAGCCGTTATTAAATTATGCAGTAAATAAATGTAATATTCATAATTTTGGTCTTCGAAAGATATTAACCAGATGAGTGTATGTTGAAAGTTATTGGTCCAAATTTAACTAGTGTATTGTTATTTTTAATTCCAGCTGGGTCGAGCACACGAGCAGATTATTCAGCCTCTGGAGAAGTTCAGGAAGGAACATATTGGTGCTGTTAAGGTAAATTAGTATAAGAGATTAAATTACATTATATTATTCTAAAAGTATAGTATAGTATAAAAGTTCCAAAGTATAGTATAGTATAAACGTTCCATATTCAAATCATGTTTTTCAGAAACCATACGTATTATGCCAGTTCTATTTTAAACAATAATTGAGCGTAAAATAAGTATGAGGTTGTATAGTTGATTATGAATAATTTTTCTTTCGTTACAGGAAGGCAAGAAGAAGTTTGATAAAAAGACTGCAAAATTCTGTCAGAGTCAAGAGCGTACATTGTCGCTATCAACCAAAAAACCAGAAGCTGTCTTCCAAGAAGTGAGGTCTTAGTTATTCTTAATAAAATAATCCAAAATAACATTACAGCTAGTGTTGAAAACCTACATTGTCTAGTTTCATAGTGTCCTTAGTCATCTTTGTAAATATGTTAGTGAATTTTGTAAAACGTCTTCTCTTACTGTTTATTGGATTAAGTCTGCTTTTTTCATATTAATTATATTTGATATAAGTAAAACCCTCTTAGAATTTAAATTAACCTTAGTTATGAGATCTAAGACTTACGCGAGTATTCATTGAAATGGACCTTATATCTTTAGTAGTAGGTACTACGCGTATTTCGGTTCTTTTCACCAACCGTGATCACGGGCAGACGAGATGTAAATGTTTTCAGTAGTAGTAATTGACCATTGACCATCAATAAGAAAGTATAATGCTTTCTATATTGAATAAAGTTATTTGAGTTTGAATGTATGTTATAATTCAGGCGGATGCTGCAATGGATATGGCGGAGCGCGACTTCTGCCAAGCGTCCTTGGAGTACGTGTTCCAACTGCAAGCAGTTCAGGAGAGGAAGAAGTTCGAGCTGGTCGAGACGCTGCTCGGGTTTGTCTTCGGATGGTGGACATTCCATCACACGGCTCACGACGTACACGCTGACGCTGAGCCGCTAGTGAGGGACCTGCAGCTGAGGATACAGAGGGTTAGAAGATGTACACACACACATAGACATACACATAGACACAGACATGCACACATACACATGTATATGTATGAACAACACTCACACAAACAGGTACACACACATGCATATACACGAGTACATACATACACACTCACACACACACACATATATACACAAGCATATACAGGGTGACTGGTGAATTACTATCAATATTTGAGGACGTGATATTTGACGATCATATATGACAAAATAAAAATTAATATAACATAAATATTAATAAACTTCTAAGTAAAGTTAACCAAAAGTTATGTAATTAATTACGCATCGTGTGAACACCCTACAGATTAGGTATACACTGACACTCACACATACGCATGTCGTGACGTGGTGTTGTATCAACACGTCGCCGCACGCGTCCACACTTGAACACTTGGAACGTGTCAACACTTTACTTATTTATACGGAAATTTTGTCAAAAATTAAGTGCCTATTTTTTTTACATAATTCGAATGAGAATCATGTACCGAGTATGCTCCTTAAATATTGATAGTAATTCACCAGTCACCCTGTATAAACAAGAACTCAACACGCACACATGCACATGAACACATACATACATTAATATAGATACACACATATACAGTAATATAGATAAAATTATATTGTTTTAGTGTCGGATAACACTTCCTTGTGGATAAATTAGACCTGTATACATTTATATTATGTGTTACCACTGTAGTACTTAAACAAATGAACTCTTAATACTTACATAGTATAACATACAAAAATGTATGGAATATACATAAATAAATTATGAATATAAAATATAAAGTATTTAAAGGAGGGTTATATAATAAGTATATATATGAATAACATATGGTTTGTGGCTGCAGGTACAGACGGGCTCCACCACCACCAGTAGGTCAACTGTTTGTATTCATTCAGTTTAGAATAACATTATCTAACTAATGAGTTTTGCTTCTAACAGTCAACTTGTATATTGTTATGTTTTATATACAAGTTATTATTAATATATACTGTGTTTCTGACATTTGAGAGTGCTGTGAGTGTGAAGCATGTAGTGATGTGTGTATGTGTGTGTGTTTAATATGTTGTATGTTTGACAGACGAGAAGTAACTTTGAAGAGACGAGCAAACAGACGGAGTCGCTGATGAAAAAAATGATGGAGGTCAGGCAAATGGTAAGATAATATTATACTAATACTAGCTGCTCCCCGTGGTGTTACCCGCGGATTTCTGAGATTTCCGGGATGTAAAGTAGCCTATGTGTTATTCCTGGATCTCAGCTTCCTGTATACAAAATTTTATCATAATCAGTTCAGCCGTTTGAGCGTGAAGAAGTAACAAACATACACACACTCACATATTTTCGCATATAATATTTGTAGGATTATAGGATTGTGTATTTGTTTGTACTTGTTACTAATCTACTCAAAAACTACAGAAGTTATTTGGATATATGTTGAATTAAGTTGTGATAACACTTAGCTATGTATATAATAATCATAGAAGCTCATTGCTAATAAGAAGTATTTTTTGAAGTCTTTAGTGTGTCTATTCTAAGTTGTCAAACTACAAATGGATTTTAAGTTTTTCTTTCATAAATCTGATACATTATAGTATTGAAGTAGGTTATTAAATAAGGAAGAGAAACATTTTGTATAAAGTGTGACAATGAAGAACAAAATATATATCTATATTATTTTAAATAGTTTTCAATAACTATCTTTTCATTATTTTCTATAGTATTTTTCCAACTGTGAAATTATTTGGTTTGTCTCAAGTTATGTATATATGTCTTAACATTATTGCTATGCTGGTAGATGAATTAAATGTATAATTTTTGTTCCAGCATAAAGAAGACGAAGGCATGGAGGATGGCGCTGTTTCCAAAGCTGGTTACTTGTTCCTAATGGAGAAAAGTATGTACTATATACAGGGTGACTGGTGAATTACTATCGATACTTGAGGACGTGATATTTGACGATCATATATGACAAAATAAAAATTAATATAACATAAATATAAATAAACTTCTAAGTAAAGTTAACCAAAAGTTATGTAATTAATTACGCATCGTGTGAACACCCTACAGATTAGGTATACACACACACACACACGTGCGGCGACGTGGTGTTGTATCAGCACGCCGCCGCACGCGTCCACGCTTGGAACACTTGGAACGTGTCCACACTTTATTTATTTATACGGAAATTTGGTCAAAAATTAAGTACCTATTATTTACATAATTCGAATGAGAATCATGTACCGAATATTCTCCTTAAATATTGATAGTAATTCATCAGTCACCCTGTATAATGTAAATTATATTAAATATATAATGTGATATACTTAAATGTATATGTTTATACAGAGGCGTTTGGTACTACGTGGAGCAAACAGTACTGTACATATGAGAAGACAACGAGCACACTCACACTGATGCCATATAACCAGATAAATGTAAAGACGGTATGTTATATATCTTTATATATGTATATATATACATATCTATAAAGATCTATATGTAAGTATATATGTTTGTTTGTTTTAATGTATACATAATTCTACAGTCGGTATAAGATTTTGATATGAAAAAAATTTGTTATTCAATTTTTTAATGTATGTATTGTATATGATGTTTGTGAGAAAAAATGAATAAAAGTAATAGTATTCTTATTAGAACTGTATTATAGATGTATCTTGCTTGTGTCAGTTAAATATTATCTGTTTTAGTTTTAATTCATGAAATACATAAAAAAATCTATTGAAGTTGATGGCAGTTTAATGACGTTATATTGAGGCTTTCCCTTCATTATCCTTACCAGAAGTTTCTATCATCAAACTACTCGGATATTTTACAGTTTTTTGTTCATAAACTATTATGTGAAATCACTAATTATTAACATATTTGTATGGAAAATTTGAAACTCCTTGTAAATAGTGGCGATATTAACTAGTTGTGTCAGTGGTGGCCTAATGGTTAAAGCGCCCGCCTCTCGTTGCCGAGGGCGCGGGTTCGTTCCTGGCCCGGGCAAGTACCAATGTGATTTTCCGAGTCATATGTTCTTTCTAATCACTGATTAATGCATTCCCAAAGAGGGTTGATGTCAGGCGGCCGGTCGTAAAAAAAAATAGCCAAAACTAATCAATCACATGTAAGGCAGACCCTGGCTATAGCTGCCAGCTGGGAAATTACCAGGTAGAGACGAATAAGTTCTGTGACTCTTTGATGTGTAAGATTTCATGTCATTCATAATGTTGTAAAGGATGTTTGTTTATGAAGTGAATAACACATACAAAGTTGCTTGTATTTCAATGTAAATCCTCCTTGTTTCGTATATAAATTCATTCTCATTTTCCAGAATATTGGATTTTGGATTGGATGCCAGGTAGAAGAAGATTAACACAACTGTGTTTTTCAGGCTGGACCCGTGGAAAGCGTGGTAGTAGTTGGAGCTCGGCCGGTCACTGATGCTGAGAGGAGGTTTTGCTGGGAGGCGTTAGTTGAGGAGAAGCCGCCCTTATCTTTACAAGCGGCTGCTGAGAGGGAGCGGGCTGCTTGGATAAGGACGCTACGAAGGGCCGCCGCCCCGCTGAGGGACGCGCCGCCGCCCGCTGATAGTGATGAACTATGGACATTAGATGATGCTGGGTTTGAATTTGTGAGGAGACTGGCTGCTGAGTTAGAATCGAGGGGGCTAGATGATCAGGGATTGTACCGGTGAGTGGATACAATACTAATATTATGTATAAATGCGAAAGTATCTCTGTCTATCTGTCTGTCTGATTGTTAAGCTTACACGACTGTACTGGTGAGGAGTGGATACCCTACTAATATTATAAATGCGAAAGTAACTCGGTCTGTCTGTCTGTTACGCTTTCACATCTAAACCACTGAACTTATTTTAATGAAATTTGGTATAGAGATAGAGTTGACCTTGGGAAAGAATATGGATAGTTTTTATACCAGACTTTTAAAAGGTTCTTGTTGAAACGCGATATAACCGAACTCCACGCGGGTGAAGCTGCGGGCGGAAAGCTAGTACTTGATAGTTATATAAGAACATAAGCTGATGATGTGAAATGAATGTTAAGATGTGTGTCTGTCTGCTGATTCTTGTTCTATGAAGAGTTATCATTAAGAATATTTCTTTTTAAATTATTAATAATTTTGTCAATCATTTTAAACTTCATATTAGCCTGAATGCAACATTTTAATGTAACTTAAATATTAATTTGATCCTCATACCCTCTTTTTTTATAAAATATAATATCAATTATTAATCGATATCTTTCGATTCGACTTCACTTGATATAATTTTTGTGAGTTTTAATGGTGCGTTCTCTTTCATATGAATTTAATTCTATATATGTATGTGTGTATATATATGTGTGTGTGTATGTTCTAGCGTGGCCGGAGTTTCGTCCAAAGTGTCCCGCCTCGTGTCCCTAGGTCGTTCGGGTCGCCTGCCTCCGTCGCTAGAATCGTTCGAGTCTCGAACACTCACGTCGGCCCTCAAGAGCTACCTCCGCGCGTTACCCGACCCACTGCTCACACGACGACTGCACGACGATTTCTTAGCCGCAGCCAGTCAGTATAAACATACATTCTTTACTATAGTCAGATTTGAACAGAAAATAATTAGTAATTTATTAACAGTGATGGAGTTGTATCAGTGTCTTGTTCAATGTATAGAAAATATATCTTATGATCTCTAATGTCTATTCTCGTCATATATTGAAGTTGTAGTGCCTAGAAATTAAAGGGCCCGCCTTTCGTGCATGAAGGTGCGGGTTCGATCCTGGCTAGTACCAATGTGATTTTCCCGAGTCATATGTAGCTTTCTAAGAGTATTTAGACATCACTGATTAATGAAAGAAAACATTATGAGGAAACTTGGACTTATAATTTAGAATTTTATTTTGAAATCGCCAATCAATCTTGAGCAAGTATGGGTATTAATGTTCAAACCTTCTCCATATGAGAAGGGGTCTTTGCTCAGCAGTGGGCTCTGATAGACTGATGATGATGATATAAACAATAATGAAAAAGAAAAAATAAGTATAATGAGATCTAAGATTTTCTCGAGTACTCATTTAAATGAAACTAATATTTTCGGATTTTACTTCGCGTATTCATTTTTGATTATAAACTACGTACTCCCGACGTTTCGGCTACTTTTCATCAACCGTGATCAGGCAGACGAGATGTGAGTTGATCTGGTCACTTTTATCACTTACCGCCATCGATTTCTTAAGAAATACGAAACTTCGGGAGTATGTAGTTTATAATCAAAAATAAATACGCGAAGTAAAATCCGAAAATATTAGTTTCATTTAAAAACAAGTATGACAGTTCTTATATATTGATGTTATGCCACAGAGTGCGAGCGATCGTCGGAGCGAGTGTCCCGTCTGTACTCACTAGTTCGCGCGCTGCCAGCCTCCAACCGCGCCATGCTGCAGCTAGTACTGACTCACTTAGAGCGCGTAGCGGCCAGGAGTGACGTCAACCTGATGACGTCATCAAACCTCGCCGTCTGCTTCGGACCGACGTTACTACGGGCAGAGCGAGAGACAGTCGCCTCTATACTGGAGCTGAAGTTCTACAACGTGTTGGTTGAGGCGCTACTAGATAATATATCCGCGGTGTTCGCGCCTCACCCGCCTGTCGTGGAGAACCATAACGGTATTAGTGGGTGAGTATTAATATATTATAGAACGTACTTCGAAAGCAGTCCTAGTAGGCTCTTTTTGAGTTTGGTTTGGAGGGAGGAGTTTGGACGGTGGAGGTGAGCGTATAACGCGTTAGATAGGGACTTAAACCTACACCTGGGTCGCAAGTCACAGTCGCTGTTGAAGCTCCTCTCACTACAACTATGAACCCGATACCCGCACGGTGAATACATTGAATGATGAGTAGTTTCGTCTCTAAATTACGTTTCTTTGGTCACGTGATTAATTTATACGTATTAGGTATTTCTTGGACTAGTTTGTTCAAAGATATTAAGGTACAATTTCGTATAAAACCTTAATAAATTAAAGTTATAATCAGTTGAAGGCTGATCGTCATGGTTTGACATACATAAATCACATTATAATTCAAAGTACACCAGTTGTAGTTATAAAGGCGATTAATTAACGTATTGAACATGTATATTTTTAATTTCTTAATATAATCATTATACTTGGTTACAACGACGGATATATATTTATGTATTATATTTTTAACCGGAACCGTTCCGTATATTGAATATCATCAAAACACCTCGTCTAAAGTAAACAATAGTATTTTAATTTCTCTAAACGTTGTAGTTTTTTTAAATAATGATATCCTTAGCATTTTTGTTAACTGCAATCTCAGTCAAAAACTTATTTTATTGAGTATCACAAAAACTGATGAACAGACTATTTGAAGTATTCTTTTACTGAACTTTTATACAGGGTGACTGGTGAATTACCATCGATACTTGAGGACGTGATATTTGACGATCATATATGACAAAATAAAAATTAATATAACATAAATATTAATAAACTTCTAAGTAAAGTTAACCAAAAGTTATGTAATTAATTACGCATCGTGTAAACACCCTACAGATTAGGTATACACACACACTCACACATACGCGCGCGGCGGCGTAGTGTTGTATCAGCACGCCGCCTCACGCGTCCACACTTGGAACACTTGAAACGTGTCAACACTTTATTTATTTATACGGAAATTTTGTCAAAAATTAAGTGCCTATTTTTTTTACATAATTCGAATGAGAATCATGTACCGAGTATTCTCCTTAAATATTGATAGTAATTCACCAGTCACCCTGTATATGTTTTTATAACTTAACCTTTTCATCAATTCCTGTGAGTTGTAAGGTAAATGTTCATTTATGATATGACCTTAACAAATTTATTCCTAAAAATATATGTGCGGCGCCATTTTTTTCTTATTGTATGTTGGTGGTTAATAACGTATGTAATGAATTAATAGGTTTTTAAGACATAGCGTCTCGAGATGTTGTTCAAGTCAACCTTACTGTTTTTGCTATATAAATAAATAAATATGTATCAAAAAGTATAGAAAGATGTATCAGAGTGTAAAAAAAACTATTTTCTGTAACTTGGGACCTTTGTATGAAGAACACGAAATTTGTGTCTCCCAATCACGTTTGTTATGTTATATGAGGTTGTTTTTGTGATGTTTGTAAGATTATAGAAAAGCTTGACTTGGCGATAGTCTTAAAACGAATATACCAACCATTTAGCGAGAACCCTAAAACCATATATGGATCATCAGTGCAATAGAGACCAGACATTTTGGTAACCGAAAATATTTTAGGGCCCTTAATATAAAACCGTCGAAAAAATATTCATCGCCATGCCATAACGTTTTCGTAACTATTATTGAGCCAAAATAGTTAGATAAAAAAAACTTAAGAGATTTTATTGTTTCCAAAGAAACTTAACAATTATTGACATTAAAATTTAAGCGAAATATAGTTTACCAGACATTGAAACCTTTATTAGGAAATAAAATAATCAATAAGTTTGATAAAAAATGCAGTCATAACTTTTTGACCACCCAGTAGAAAAAATACATCCGAAGAAGAATTTGTTTAGACATTGGAAATTAAAACCTGGATAATTAAATTATTAAAATTAAACTTGATAATTAAATTATTTTACACAAATGTAAACCAAGTTATACAAAAATCGACTTTTGCAAATTTATTTAATTTGTATTGTTCCTTTAATAATAAATTCTGTTGAATGAAATAATGCTAGGTAAGGGAAATAGTGACGCGTTTACATTAAGATTAATGTCATAGAAAAAAATTATAAAAATTACTGGCATAGGAATATAATGAAATAAAATTCCAGGGTTGCCACACCCTACCTTTTTTCTGATGGATAAATTATATATAATAGGTTGGAAATAATGTCTACAGTAAACGTAAAGACATCTCCAAGCTTATACCAAAGGTAAATTCTCAGGTCCCAGTTGCTGAGATAAGTAGAAATTATACTCACTTTACTTATAGTCGGAAGTCTGATTTTTACGTATATGTTATAGGAAATATTGTAAACAATTTCAAATGAATACTGACAGACTTTTTCACTCGGCAGAATTTATGCATTTGTCTTTTTTTTTTGTTGTAAATGATACAGTTGTATATATTAGAGTGGATTGAAAATTTTACTTACGTATCAGCATATTATGTAGATAACAATACACAATATGATCGACGTTAAATGTATTGTAAACTTTATTATTTTTTTTACATTAAAATATACGAATACACGATAATAACCGAACACGTCTTATTTCTTAAAAAAAAATATATAAGTTTTTAAAATTTTATTCAATTATGAGGAAGATGCATCTCGTGACTTGGAAGCCTTATAGGGCGGCAGGTGATGGAACAGGCGGTATGTTATATAAGCAAATGTATTAAGCAACCCTTAAAAATGCATATTTAATGTTTACTTATCTAATAATAAATGTTTATTAACAAAAAAACACAACATAATACAAAGAAATGTCCGGTGGTGCCCACACTAGGTATTCCTGTGTCGTGGGTACCAATTGATAGATTAACAAACATGTTTAATGTTGTCGCTCGATACATTGCATAGTTTAAGTTACAAATAAATTAGTTTCTTGGATAATATTTCGGGATCATAAACCACCTGGAAAGGTGAGCGGCATATTCATAAATCGCTTTGAAAAGTAAAAGTTGTTTTGATCTGTAATTGTCAGGTTTTTTTTGGGGTGCCTAATACTTTTGGCCAAGGCTGTATATATGTTATTGCGAGTAATACTTAATGTGCTTAGACGAGTGCTGCATCTTTTTAAAATAGTTAATCCCTACTAAAATTATAAATGCGAAAGTAACTTTGTCTGTCTGTTACGCTTTCACGCCTAAACCATTGAACTGATTTTAATGAAATTTGGTATAGAGATAGAGTTGACCTTGAGAAAGAACAGGATAGTTTTTATCTCAGACTTGAAAGGTTCTCTTGGAAACGCGATATAACCGAACTCCACGCGGGCGAAGCTGCGGACGGAAAGCTAGTATCTCATAAGTATGTATAATATAATATTATATCATATATTCCTCGTAATTACACTTCACGAGGCTGCGTTTCCATTAAGTCTGGTATGTAATTTGAAGACATCCTTTCGTGTCGTGCAATCAGATGTTCGCTCAGCGTGGGGCAGGTGTTAGGATGGAAGGGGGGAAGGGGGGGGGGGCTGCCAGCTGTTGTAAGATAACAAGCCATCCCACTACACTACCTGCGTGTCTGGAATATTCTGATTTTAATAGATTATATGGCCTAACTATTCTTATTTATGTATGGCATATGTTGTTATATACATATGTATGTATAAACTTGTGACTGCATTTTATACTGCATTAATAATATAATAAATTGTAATAAGATATTTACGTAACTTAGTATATTGGAATAGATGTTTCTGAAACATAATTCTAGTCGTTATATGTATTATTCGTTACCCACTATCTAATTGATTTATTTATTTTAAGTACATATTTAGCTAAATATTAATTTTTTTAATGATTAATTATTATCAATAAACATTAAATTTAAATATTTAGGATAAAAAATATAATTTGATAATTTTATTATATAAGATTATATCATTAGGTTAATTAACAAATATATTAATAAGGTTAAATCAAATAATAAATGATATTAATGTTTATAAAGGTAGACCCTGGCTAAAGTTGGGAAATTGCCAGGAAGAAGAGGGATTATAATATTTAGTTGTATATGTTTTGATATATTTTTATTTGTAAAGACGGTACTTTATCATAAAAAAAGTATATTTACAAATAAAGCCGGCCACGTGTCTTCCTCAATATTATTTCCTTTACTTTTTGTTCTCGACACGATTGTATCCTGTCCAACCCTAAGATTTGTGTGAGTTTTTGTGGTACGGCCGTTTATATTTTTTTGTGTATAGATGAATGCATTTAATTTTTTCCATAAGTCGATATACATACATATATTAAAATTCGAACGCGTCTTGTTTCTTAGATATATAGATTTATTTCGACCACTCATTAAAAACCTTTCGATGTTGGTTATATATAACTAGCTTTTACCGCGACTTCGTCAGCGTGGAATAGTGACTTCCGGCAGATTTTTGGTTCTTCCCACATAGTTCCCGTTCTTGCGGGGTTTTAGGAATGGTCGAGTTCCCGTAGAATTTTCAGGATAAAACCTATGTTTTTTATTCACAATGAAGTACTCTTAACCAATTACATATTTATTGTTTATTTGTATAAAGATTATTATTATTATGTTGATACAACTTAAACAAATTATTTCGACCAAATTAGGTACCATAAAAACGGTTTTTGTGAGTTAATCTTAAAAGATAGACATATACTGTCGCGGACTGTTTTTTAGATCATTAAAAGAGCTATTATTCTTTAATACATATTTTTTGTGTATATTGAACCGTTTTCACGGCGCACGCAACGGAAGGCTTCAAAGATGAAATAATTTCTCCCGTATTTTACACATTTACCACTATATCTTTGCTCCTATTGGTCGTAGCGTGATGTTATCTAGCCCACAGCCTTCCTCGATAACTGGACTATCCAACACAAAAAGAATTATTAAATTGGAACCAGTAGTTTCGGAGATTAGCGCTTTCAAACAAACAAACAAACAAACAAACTCTTCAGCTTTATAATATTAGTATAGATTATTCAGTTATTATTTCACATATTAATAGTTTTCATAATGGACTTATATTGACAAAGTGGTTTTAATCTATTTAGTTAATATATATTTTTTAATATTCATTACTTATTAAGTGTTGGGATATTCAATAACATATGTAAAGCTAGACTTCTATTAAAGTGTCATTAAAATTACGTAATAATTATCTATTATAATTATTGATATAAAATTCACAAATAAATCGTTCTTTACAAGTTGTATTGTACATGAGCATTATCAGGTGTTCAAGGTAGCATCTGCCTTCAACCCCCATATTACACCAAATAAACTACATACATATATGTGTGTGTGTGTGTGTGTGTATGTGTGTGTGTGTGTGTGTGTAACGAAACAGCGGTAAAATCGAGTAAACCATTAATTGTCTGACCCCATTCAAGTGAAAGCTTCTTAAAGATCCTTACAAGTACAGTCGTGAACATAATGTTATTGATTTTTCATAACACTTGATAAAGTGTTACTAAAAAAGTTTGATAAGAGTTACGAAGAAACTTACATAGGTGCAATTAAAACGCAAGTATAATTATCGTATCAAATAATTCCATCTAATGTATTTATAATTTTAACTATATTGAGATCCAAGACTTTCGCGAGTATTTAAATGAAACTAATATTATTACGCGTAGTTTATTATTTTAAAACTATATACTCTCAAATTAGTATTGACTATCTTTAATAAAATAACTTGCACAAATATTCAAGGTGGTTTAAAAAAAATCTTAATATATCAGTACGCGTGCGCTTGCAGCCGGTTCTAAAGCATCCATTGAATTATTCTCTAAAGATGACGGAGATTTCTTTTTTCATTCGCATTCTGAATGATTCTTAATCTTTTGTCCGCTCGTGATATATTTTTTTGTATCAGGAAACCTTTAACTTGGGACAGCTAACGGCAGATGTTAAGGGCTTATTGGTTCTTCGTGAGGCTATTCTATTTTAATAGTCATATGAAAATATAAAATGCAATCGTTCAAATGTATATAAGATTATGATCGTTTCTTTGAGCAATAAACAAAAAATGTTAATATAAAAAAAAACGAGTTAGTTTAAAAAATACAATAATTGCAAACAAAATTTGAACTAAAACAAAAATAGTATCAACTATTAAATGTCCACGTTTTCCTCAATTTATGATACGTAATTATTTATTTAGATTGTCGGATTAGCCATATAATTTTCATATACTAAATTATTGAACAAATAATTACTATAATGATTGCAAGTGCAAGTTTTTCATAAGTTGCACTATATATTGACTAGTTATTAAGGCCAGGTGTTTGTCACCTTGCGTTGACTACAGACAATAATCCCTCTTATATACACAATACTGCTATGATTTACACACACTATTTTACGCAATGCGAGCTATAATGATAACCTGTATTGCATCTATTAATATATGTACATATTTTTCACTTCTAACATTCATTTATATAATTTTTTTATGCATTATAAAATAAGAAATCATCTATACTTGTAGTCATTGGGAATCAAGTATCTCAAAAGTAACTACATACAACACAATAGCATTTTGAAGTAGGTATTAAAGTACAGAAATTTCTACGATTTTCGTTATTGAAAAACGAGTATCGTCTCAAAACTAACAATAATACTTAATTTTATATTGTACAATATGTATTTATCACAAAAATAAATGTATGTCAAATTCGTACGTGTATATAAAATCAATAATATGTATTGAATTCAAGTAAAATATTCTGCGTGCGTAAGACGCCTAGCCTCGGGTTTATCTCCAAGAGATTCGGCAGCTGCCTCTCGGTATGCACACCTGCCGTGAACAGATGTAGAGACGAACATTCACTTTACTTGAGATCAAATATACGTTTAATATTGACTAACGCTAAATAATTATGACGACCTTGCTGCGATTATAATTGGTGTGATTTTTATATATATTACTTAATAAAGTGAGATATGGCGATTTAAAATTGATTATTTTTATTATTATTTTAATATTGTACTTTATTTAAACGTTGCTATATCATAAATTATTCGATTGAATTATAAATTCAGTTGAATTTTTTTCTGTTTACGATGTTACCTTGACCTATATAACTTATATATTTTAAATTTACCAAACTAAATATTCCTTTACTACATGCAAAAATAAACCTTACATTATTCACGTGCCACTAATATTTCAAAATATCTATTTAATAAATGAGAAAATTGTATAAAAAAAATTATGTCTTTCCACTAACATTTAAAAAAAGATGTATTAAAATAACGAGGAAATATGTATTTAAAAAACTTAAAATTTTGCAATTAATTACAAAACAAGATTGCAATCGCATATCAAATGATGCAAGCAATTTTAGTTTGTCAAATTATAATACTAAAATATAAGAAAGGCTACTGAACTTGATATGGTGGTCCAAGATGCGTGCAATAAAAGTGTATCTTTTTTTTAAATCTTTTTTTGTATGTATTTTTACACACCTGGCGCACGCGCACGTGTCGCTCCCCTTAAATACGGCGCGCCTTGAGTTCAGAGCTCAGTTTGTGTCTTGCACTCATCGTGTTCGGATCTCTCTAGAGTTCTTACAATCGTTTCTGAGTCGTGTTCGTAGTGAATCGTGTTAAAATGATTATCTGTCTATCTGGATTCGTTATTGCCGGGTTGGTATTTATTTTGCTACTGATAATTCTGTTTCTCATTATAATATGAAAAATACGTTTAGATTTTCTCAATGTTTATGTTATTAGTTGTATAATATCTTTTTTAAGTATTCTAATTTTTATTCTGTATTGTTACAGAACTTCTCCGTCGTCGATACCTCTTGCCTCACGCAATGATATCGTAAGTATTTGTGTTACTTAATTTTATTTTATCATAAGTCAATCAATCGTGTTTTATGCATTTCTTTGAAACTTGAGTTATTATTACTATAGTGTATATTATATTAAGTAATATTATTATTTGTCGTATTACAGAGTGTGTGTGATCGTTCCCTGGTCACTTGTGGTCCGGGTGTTTCTGATGCGAGCGTGTCAGGAGCCGCTCTAGGCACATACTCTCCTCATCACCATCAATTGTTGCAGCACTTCTCGAACGCACACACACGTGAGTTATCGAGATGTTATCGAGAACACGTAGTACTTAATGTTTACATATCCATAATAACTTTTAAATATTGTAGGGATACAGAAAAATTTATAAGTTCAAGTGGAAACGCTCGAGTTTTTCTAAGAATTGATTCTTATATACTTATTTCATCTGATGGCTCTAACTTATCTCATTATCATGATATTTGGTAATATTCCTACTAATATTATAAATGCGAAAGTAATTCTGTCTATCTGTCTGTCTGTTACGCTTTCACGCCTAAACCAATGAACTGATTTAATTGAAATTTGGTATAAAGATAGAGTTAACCTTGAGAAAAGAACATAGGATAGTTTTTATACCAGACTTTTGAAAGGTTCTCTTGGAAACGCGACATAACCGAACTCCACGCGGGCGGAAAGCTAGTGTACATATATTACATGCGAGATTTCTCATCAATGGCTAATGTTTTCTCTAATTCTCCAGGTGTAGGTCGTTGTAGTAGCAGCTCGGAGTCAGTGTCGAGTCACAGCGCGTCCCCGCCGCCCCGCGCGCCCCTCACACACAACACACACAACCCAACGCTCGCCTTCCCCACCAGGACCAAGTATGTAACACATTATATATTAAACGTGTTATATGGATGTAGTGTATATTATACAATAGATATAATACACTGTCTCACGTACCCCACTGGAGGGGGTGGCATGCGCTCGGCAGTCTAATGACTAGCGCGGGGTAGTAGTGACCCAGTGACTAGTTATACATACATGTAGGACCAGGGATCCTACAATGGACATTAATTTTGTATATATGTCGTTTAAAAATCTTAATCTGTCGGTATATAATTTCCACTTTCCAGTAGTATTTATTCTATCATGTTCTGACTTCCACTAAGTTTTCATTTAATATATGTTTACTGTCGTATGTAACTATAATAATAGGTATAATAATAATTTGGTAATCGGTTATTTAATGACATTCAATGATGCTTTATTAATATTTGATAGTGGAACAGACAATTATATTTTTAAATTTCGTTTGGATTTAAAAAATAGTTTGGTGAATCTGGTTCTAAGTCTTGTATGATTGTTAATTGTATGTAATTTTCCAGTCGTGTGCGGACGTTGTACGCGTGCCTCGGTGAGAGTGAAGGCGAATTGTCCTTTGAACCGAACCAGATCATAACTAACGTGTGTCCGTCGGGCGAGCCTGGCTGGCTGAGAGGGTCACTCAACGGAAAGAGCGGCCTCGTGCCTCAGAACTACGTGGAACCTCTACCTTAGAGGAATATACTTGAAAACGGCCTTTGATTAGCGCCTTGAAATGGATAGAGCTCAATTAGTATGCGGAATTTCCGCCTGTGTTATGAGTGGATTCTCAGTAGCGCAGTTTGATAGCGGATTTCCAGAAGTATGTTGACTGCCAGGTGTAGCTGTCATGTACCGTCTAAGCCACTCGCTTATACCAAATACCATATCATTATAGTAATTTGTTGATTCTTCTGTAACTATTTGTATATGTTTGTACATTGTAAATAAAGAGTTGTTGCTATTTTAACTATTTATAATATATTATTATTGTTGTGAATTTTTTTACCAAATACTTTTAGTGTATGTGGACTCGTATTATAGGTTAAACAATATAAATTACTAATAAATATGTTGTATTTTCTTTATTCGTCCTCATCAAACACTATAAATAGTCATCTTTTACATTTAAACACTGTACATTTTCTATACATATTTCATAAGTGAACGAGACTAGCCTAGAAAGTATATTGAAAACCGAAAAGTGCAAATCAATGTTTGATAATTACATTTGATACTGTTATACACGAGTCAATAGTTAAAGCAGACGCACTCTGAGACTAAAAAATATAGCTGCCAACATGTCGCGACGATAAAGATGGCAACACTTATACTTATTGCGAGTAAATTTAAGATAAACACAACTCTTGTCAGAGGGACGCCATCTTGTTATATTAATAATAATATACGCATGTCCCTCTCGAATCAGCAAATTGTGTCAAATCCTAAATTACCATCTCCCTTACTTTTAATTAATGTTTAGACATTACACTACTTATTATAGTCATACTTATTTTTATTATTTGTGCATCTGTAGAAATAAACATCTTGTACTTTTGTATGAATTTACACTACAGCTCGGAACATGGGTGAAAAATATGATAGCACTTTATATGACAGAAAAAGTAATAAAATAACTTCCATGAAATACATACATACTATTACACAACAAACATGAGGCCCAGTACTAGACCACGTCAGTCATCTCAACCTTTCCCATATAATAGATAAATTATAAAAACAAATCGAAGCCATAAGCGAGAGTCGACAACTATCCGTCGCGAACGTTAACCCAATATTAAAACAATATTATATTATTAAACGCGTCGCACTACGTGGCACTCAACACTACAGAAGAACGAATTGATTCACATGACACGCCGACACGATCAGCTCTCAATAAAACATGGTCCGGGACACGAACAGCTCAGCTCCGCTCGGGCTCGTCCTCGTGCTCCAGCAGGCGCCGCACGCGGCCGCACTCGGCCAGCGCGGGTCGTCCGCCGCGCGCGCCCCCTCCCCCCGCGCCGCGCCCGGCCCCCTCCCCGCCCGCCCCGCGCCGCTCCTCGCCCGCCAGCGCCTCCAGTCGTCGCGCCTCCCCCGCCCGCACGGCCCGCCCCAGCGCCGCGCACCTCTCCTTGAGCGCCCTGATCCTGGCCGCGTGCTCCTCGGCCGCGTCCCTCGCCGCTCTCTTCAGCTCCCCTATAGCGGCGTCCCTGGCCCCGAGCGTCGCCTCCATCTCGTGCGCGCGCGCGGCGGCCGCGTCCGCTCGTGCCGTAGCGTTCTCCGCGTCCGTCTCCGCGCGGGCGAGGGCCGCTCTGAGCGCGCGCTCCTCGGCGGCGGCCCGCTCGTTCTCCGCGGCCCCGGGCCCGCCGGCCGCCCTCACCTCCCCGGTAAGCCGCGCCTCCCTCTCGGCCAGTATGAGCAGCTCCCTCCTCAGCCGCCGCACGTGCTCCGCGCGCCTCTCCGCGGCGAGGGCGGCCCGCGCCAGCGCCTCCACGTGTCTTGCGGCCTCGAAGGACTCCCCCCTGGTCCGCCGCAGCTCCGCGGCGTCGATGGCCCGCTGCGCCTCTGCTTCCTTGAGCGCGGCCTCGGCCCGCAGACGCGCGGCGTTCTCCTCGGCCAGCGCCTGTTCCAGCCGGTGTTCCCTGTCCGCTGCAGGCTCAGCGTGTGCTGCGGGCGCGGGCCGGGCGAGCCTGGCCAGTAGTTCGTCTCTCTCGTGGTGTGCGGCCCGCAGCCGGTCCCTGAGCGCTGCGTTCTGTAGTTCGAGCGCGCGCGCCTGTCTACACCGTCCCAGCAGGCGCCTGTTCCTCTCAGCGTGCGCCTCCCTCCTCCACCTCTCGTACATGAGCTGAGCGTGTACTAGCGCCAGTTGTTCCTTCAGCTCGGACCCCTCGCCGATGGTCCGGCCCGAGTACAACTCTGACAGGTAGTTGTCGAGTCTCTCGCACGGCATCACCAGCTCTTCGATCTTCTTACCGATGTACTGAAAGGATAGAAAAAATTAAGTTGTAAACTTGGAGGTGATCTAGTGTCTTTATTATTAGTTACTCTATGCGAAAATAGATAAGAAAAAGGGTAAGGACAGACTTAAAGTCAAATAGATTATTATGTACCAGATTGAAAATTTATTAATACGAAGGGATTCAACCTTTTGGTTCATCGACTTGGTAATATTTCTCCAATTATCTAAAATTCTGAGAACATCCTTCAACTATACGAGTATTGTAATGGGGTTACATATACATATAACTACTAGAAGAGCCGGCGAACTTCGTATCTCCCTATAATCAAGAAATATCTGTTACTTTTTTTAATTTATATTTGTGGAGTTTATAGACCCGTGCCGATAGCTTTTAAAACATAATTAAATTATAGTAGAATGGAACCCATTAGAAAATGATATTCCCCATATTATAAAATTTAAAGGAAAAATAATTTACGGGCGATCTAAGGTCGGGAAGGGTACGGGCGTGGGTATTTAAGGGTAAAAAATGGGTTTTCTCGATTTCCGGCAAAACTAAAAGTCCTACGGAAAAATGTTGTATGGCTAAGTTGTAGGTACTAAAAAGATCTAAAACTTTTGTACTACTTTTTTTTCACATAACCTGAAAATTTATGTGATAAATTCGAAAAAACAAGTTTTTGGTTTTTTATTTTTATCTCTCATAAAAAACAATTTTTGGTCACGCAATTTGATGATAACTTTCCTTTTGATGTTACAAATGCACTGTAATTTATTTGATTAGAAATATTAATTTTTTCAGCTTATTTTGGATAAATACCGAAAAATCAGCCTCATTTTCAATAGAAAAATCACCCGTCAAAGTATCAGCTATTTTCAAAAATTTTGTATGTTTTCAATTTGTTGAAATCTTTCTTTTCCGATGGTGAAGAAAAACTATAAATTTCTTACTAGTACCATTTTTGGATAAAATAATCATGTCCCTTTTAATGAAATGACACTCGATATCGTTTGTAAAATGCTCTTTCAATTTATTTTTAATAGTTTTAGCAGCTCAATTTCAATTTTCTGTAAATTACATAAAAGAGGGACTATCTGGAGAACTTCCAGAGTACACAACTATTAGAAGACCCGGAAATCAAAATAAGCTGAAAAAATAAATATTTCTAACCAAAAAATTACAGTGCATTTGTAACATCAAAAGGAAAGTTATCACCAAATTGCGTGACAAAAAATTGTTTTTTTTGTAAGAGATAAAAATAAAAAACCAAAAACTTGGTTTTTAGAAATTATCACATAAATTTTCAGGTTATGTGAAAAAAGTGTAAATACAAAAGTTTTAGATCTTTTTATTACCTACAACTTTGCCATAATATTTTTCATTAGGACTCTTAGTTTTTCCGGAAATCGAGAAAACCCATTTTTTACCCTTAAATAACCACGCCCGTACCCTTCCCGACCTCAGATCGCCCGTAAATTATTTTTCCCTTAATTTTTAAAATATTCTCCTGCTTTTCTAATGGGTTTCATTCTACTATAATTTATTTTCACTTTTCATCATTTTTAGAGGCATCTGCACTGGCCTATTACATATTAAAGCCATAAATCTCTGTGTTTTGAAGTGCGACAGAATAATTGACATATTAGTTAGTTGTCAAATCTAATGTCAAAAAAAAACCTTTGTATCAACAACTACTAATAAATTAAAAATTAATTTAAAAAAAATTGTCCAGTCGACAAAATTGTGAATATAAACCATTCCCAGATCCCCTTGACACACAAAAAAATTTCATCAAAATCGGTCCAGTCGTTTGAGAGAAGTTCAGTGATATACACTCACAGAAGAATTATATATATAAAGATGTGTAGAGAACCTTTTATTGATGTGAGTTTTCCGTCGGTGGGAAGATATACTTAAAGGTTATTAGTAATACATCTTTGTCCTTTTCCTTGAGATATGAACATACCTGTTTCCTGTCTTCGTCTGGCAGGTTACGATGGAAGTCCGCTATCAGGAACTCGTAGGGCGCCGGCCACACATCCAGAGTTTGTACCGCGACGGTGTTTGTGCGAGCGGCCCGAGGGCGCGGTGAACAGGAGGCTGCACGTCGCGGCGGCGGCGCGGGTGCAGCGCGGGGCGTCGGATCATGTGCGGGGCGGGTCGCGCGGGGGTCCCTCGCCACCGGGGTCCGCTCCTCCGCGCTCGACCATGATCTCTCCACGCGCGCTCGTTCCGTTAGCTCCAAAACCTCGCGGTCCTCTACGTTGAGAGGCTCCTGGTCCACGACCGGCGCGGACCGAGTCGGCTCCGGGCGCGCCACGGCTCCTACAGGCGGGGGATGTCCTCCGAACGGTACGGGAGACTCCGCCGCGCGCCTCTCCATGGCCACGCGGGCCAACCGACCCGAATACGCTTCGCTGACGCCCGACGCACTTGTAGTGCCTGTGGGAGGCGAGGTCTCCTTCCTCAGAGGTGACGGCGGCTGCGAGCGTCGACCGATGGCTCGCACGGCGGCTGAGTCAGTGGGGAAGCGAAATTGAGCCCGGGTCTCTTTAGCCGGTGTGTTTTCCGGTGTCGCCTCTACTGCTGCCTCTGGAGGTTCCGCCGAGTCAGTGTCCGCAGGCAGAGGAGTGTTCGGAGCCGAGTCGGCGCCACAGCGGTCGCTGAGGGCGAACCAAGGCTCCGCGCCCGGCCGCAGCGCGGAGGCGGCGCGGGCTGCTTGTGCCCCTGAACCAGGAGCACCTGTCATCGACGAGGAGTAGGCGGGGGCCGCGGGGACCGGGGTAGGGTGAGGAGTTCGATCTTCCGGCCGGTCCCGAACTCGTACAGACAGTCGTCGACTCTCAGCGAGCACGTCATGTATTTCCAGCGGGGCCCATCGAGCCGCGTCAGCCTCGCGCTGCCGTGACCCCGTCACTAACGCAGGATGAAGACGGACGGACCGTAGAAGAGGAGCCAGACCCTTCTCCCAGATGTTCCGCGCGCTCACAGACGTGCACTCGGCGCGGAGGGTCTCTATCAGTGTACAGGGATGAGTCGCGTAGAGAGCGTGGAAGAGAGCCAGTTGTGCGAGCTGGAGGTGGTCACGGGTGGGGGGCTTGGGTGGTGGATCTAGAGCGGCGGGGCGGAGGAGGGCTTGGGCCAGGTCGGGCCAGTGAGGGGTCGCTAGTGTGGGCTCCGCCGGTAACAGGGCGGCGAGGGTGAGGAGCGCGTGCAGCAGGGGCACCGGCGCGCGTTCATCCCGAGCGGCTCGCAGCAGGTCTCGAGCTAGCGGGTGCGAGGGCAGGCAGCGGAGCCACGGCGGGCGGCGGGCCACGAGCGGTGCTAGCGCCGACAGGGCGTGCAACCTAGCAGCACGTTCCCCTCGCACTTGTTCCAATAAAGCATCCAGTAGGTGTCTCGCGTGAGGGTCGGGCGCCCGCGCCAGCAGCTCCAAGGCGCGCGCCGAGCCCGTCCGCGCGTGGTACAACAGTAAGGCGCGCGTGAGCCAGGGTTCGCGCACGGAGCTGTAGAGTGCCGCGAAGTTCTCGAGTGAGTCACGCGCCTCTAGCAACGCGAACACTTCCCCCGTCTCACACGCCGCCAACATCTCCGACCACCTGGAAATATTTATAACATACTTATTATACTAAAAATAAATTAATATCATACAACACAGTTCCATTGTCAATAACTTTCTATCATATACCTCATGGGATTCTAGAGTTAAGTGTGTTATTAATTGTTCAAGACTTGACCCCTCCACCCTTTTAAATATATTTTCAAGCAAGTCAGTATTTACATTATAAATAGGAAATAAAAACGAAAACTTTACCAGAACTATATTCAATCTTTTATTATAACAAAAAGTATTATGATGATTGCATCAAGAGAATTGTCTCTTAACAGTAAAATGGAGAAGCTTCTTTGTGCGTTCAATTTCAGTTTTAATCAAAAATTTTAAGCAACAAATCCATAAATATAGATCATAGTGGATGTTTTATTACTCTCAAGCCTGAATAGTTTAATAACAATAAGTTATTTGAAACTATAAATTAACATTGTCACAATATCTGCAACATATGTGATACCATAATATATAAAAGTATATTATACTATCTCATATATAGTTATGGCTTACATATAAAATGATATCCTATTACTTACCTCAACTCTAACATCAATTAATAATATAATGACTTCTTACTATTTATAAATAATAAATGTTATAGTTATTTAATGATCTCAAGGACAGTTCTTATATTTAGAATCATTTTATAATGAAATATTGTTGAACACATAGTTATACATGTTTGAGACTGCTTTTTATTTAAAAATATAAACTCTGAGTGGTTTCATTTATTCCTAATATTATATATGTTGTTTAGAATATTCACTTATTAACAATGTGAAGTAGAATTCTTTGAGTTTTGTCAAATATATTATAATTTAACACTAATGGTCAGTACCTAATATCTGCTTGATATGAAATACACAGGAAAGATAAGTATATACTTTGTTTCTCACCATGTCCTAGAATAATATGGATAAAAATAATAACTCCAATAGACAAATATAACAAGGTAAAGTCCTTTTAAACATTAATATATGTAACACAGCATTGTTTTAATAAGACTTTTCTAGTTATATTTTTCAGGAAGAACCAAAGTACTAGAATTAGAATTCTTTGTAACAACAGGTCACAAACAAAGAGCTAGCACTATTATCATTATTTAATAAATTATAAAACGACACAGTGAAATTGCGGACTAACTAATACCTACAATGATAATTCTCGTGCGATAATGTAAAAACACAAATACCTACATATTTTAATGAAGGCGACAAACGTTTGCCGGTTTGTGTATACATTGAATTTGTAGTTATAAACAGGAGAACGAACAAAATAGGACACCAGCGACGATAATCGAACACGTTCGCTGTTGTGATGCAATAAATAGAATAATAAATACTAACCAATTAGCAGTTCGGAGAGAATTCCCTTCGTTTACCGCAGCTGGAGGAATTTTGATTAGAGGTGTGTCACTCGAAGAAAAGACGTATATAACTACAGTGTAGTTATTTTAAAATAAACAATGAGAAATGTATGGCTAATTGTAATAAAAATGATATTTATCTGTAAATTGAAAAACCGATTCGTTTGACATTGACAGCCAGGAAAGAAAGAATTTTATTTTTCATTTCAGCTGTTGACAACTGTTACTGTCAACAGGTATCTTGGTATTTTGATAATTTTTGAGTATTTTTAATTTTATGTATCTAAAACAAAGGTAATTTATGCGTAAAAATCTCTGCATACATTATGTAGCATTTTGATATAAAGATTTTAAAAAGAATGATATAATAAAGAAATAAAAAGAATTGCAAATATTTATTTTATTCTTACAATACCTTAGGGTTCTACAACTGGTTCTTTTTCTTTATAATGTGTCGGGAAGTTTTATTTTATAAACTACAAATCTTTAACTTTAATATAGAAGTTACTATTTGATACTAAGTAAAAGAGTATTACAAAATGTAATTTTTTTTAACTAAAATGATTGTGTAACATTTTAAATTATAATTAACTTGTGTATCATTATTATTTTTAAGTCGGAGATTCTAAGACTCACTGTGTTTCCTTATTTTATAAAGAAGATGATATCCATGAGACATTGCCCAGTTTTTTTTAATTACATATATTAAATTCTGTGTTCAACAAAAGAAAACCATTTTTTAAGCGATGGCAACTAAAACCTTAAAGACATTATGGCAATATGAACATTCTGTCACTCTCAATTCTTAATGTTAGTGCTCTAAGTCTAACCTGCATGTTATTTGCAGCTGAAATTATGATCTATGATGAAATATTTCGAAATGTATTTAATAATTAGAAAAAATATTCAATGATTTAAGACTTTGTATTTGTAATATCAAACCTACTAATATGTTAAGAGCAGTTGCGAGCATTTATATCGACGGTCAGAATATTGTCCGGAGAGATGTGTTTAAATTATTTCGTAAGTATAAAACTCATTACTGAAGTTTGGGAAAATAATAACTCTTGATAGTTAAGATTGTTGTTTAATTTAACAATTTATATTATTAGTTACGTTACTTCTAAGTTTTTTGTGATGTAATTTTGTGTCGGCCTTATTTAAATGAAAGTAAGAGTAAGTAGTAGATTGTATGTCTATTTTACATGCCACACCTTAACTAAAGTACGTAACTGATGTAAAAAAATATATTATATATGAAAAGCTTGATAGCACTGGAGACTGGCTTATTTTTTGATATCATTCTCGCGTTAGGCATAATCTATGTGGGTAAAGCCACGGGCGATAGCTATTAGGTAATAAATATAACAGGAATTCCTTACATGCTTCTTGAAGCATGTAAGGAATTCCACTAGGTATCTTGATACCTAGTGTCATTACGATAAGTCAGGCTGTCTTCAAACAGTAATATAAATGAGATAAGGCTTGCAACTGTTAATTACTACAGTTATACATATTTGTAGTTGTAATTTCTTTTCAGGAGCCTGTGCATACTCAAGTTCGACACCGGCTGAACAGGTAGTCATTATATATATGTCAATAATTATACATTTTATATTCATAATTGTACAGTCTTTACATAAATGAATTTTTTATCATTACCTTTTATATGTGAATAGTTTATTAATATTGTAATAAATTTTTATAACAAGCGCACAAAGAAATTGAGGAAATATAAAACGGTAATGTATGACATTTAACATTTATAGGATTTAGTTTGTTATATCAATTAAAAGTTTTCAAAAAGTATGAAACATTATTGTCTTAAATTTTATATCATCTTTCACACAATTATAAGATTTTCATAGAAAATATCTGTTTTATTGCTGAAACCAACAGAATAATAAGAAATATATGTTCTTTTTGTGTATATTGTCGTTAAAATTTCATTACAGATAGTGTTGAGTAGTGATGCTATCAGACATAGTCCGGCAGCCCGTACCCGATGTTCCTCGAGAGCAGACTTTGGAGGCACTGGAAGTTCGGGAAGCTCGGAAGGAAAAGGAAATACTGGAGTGAACTCTCCATCTCCAAATCCTGGCTCTCGGCGTGTATGGTCGGCTTTAGCTGCTTTTGCCATCACTGCATCGCTAGGAGGAGTGAGTATTTAAACAAGTTAAAAGATATTAAACAACTGTATACTTATAGTTGTAGCTGTTAGGTAGTTATTCATAAAAATATGCATATAATATTTTTTAATTATATATATAATTATGATTATAATTAATACAAATAAATATTAGATACCTACTTCTCACATTTTAATATGGCATATAATACTGTAATTTATTTATTTCGATAATAAGATATATGTTTTCATTATTTCAGGCTTACCTTTACAAGAAACATAATGATAATGAGCTGGGTGAAGCACAAATAATTAATGATAGTAAGTATTTTTATCATTACATTTTTTATATTGCAGGCAATCACTATTTCATATTATGTATTACTAGCTGCGCCCCGCGGTGTTATCCGCGGATTTCCGGGAAGTAAAGTAGTCTATGTGTTATTCCTGGACGTTAGCTTCCTGTATACAAAATTTTATCAAACTCGGTTCAGCCGTTTGAGCGTGAAGAAGTAACAAACATACACATACACTCATAAACTTTCGCAATTATAATATTAGTAGGATATATCGATCAGTCCTTTGTATAAGGGTCAATGTAGCAATTTAGCCATTATCATTTTTTTGTTTTAAATGCTTCATAATACTGTTTTCTATAACAGTTTATCAATCTTAAATGACGTACATGTATGTCATAGTTGCTATGCAAACTTTCGAAAGCATTGGTTGTATGTACAAGATACATTGAAATCAAACTTAAACGCCTCTACTCATTGTCATTTTGCAGATTGGCCCTTATACATAGGAGCCATCGATATGTCATAAAAATATCATAATTTTAGGTACAATAGAGAAGAAAAAGGAGGTAAAAAATACATCTATTCCTCCAACGGCTGAGAGTCTTCCCAATCATGTGCAGTATTTATTAGTGGGTGGTGGGACAGCGTCGTTTGCTGCTATGAGGGCCATTAGAAGCGCGCGCCCTGAAGCTCAGGTGCTTATGATTGGAGAGGAGGCAGCCCTGCCATATATGAGACCACCGCTTAGTAAAGAACTTTGGCGAGAAAAAGATCTGTCAGCCCGCTTTGAACATCCTGATGATATATCATTCCGACAGTGGAACGGACGGCGACGAAGGTTGTTACATGTTATATATATATTTATTGTGGTAGAGGTTTATTTTTTGTGGTAGAGGTTTATTTTTTGTGGTAGAAGTTTATTTGTGTGTTTTGTGTGGTTGAAGTTGCAAAATAGCGGGTAGAATTAAAATTTCAGCTGATTTATTCTGTTTGAGACTAACGATTTAGGAAAACAAGGTGCTTACATATATTGGCGAAATAAGGAAGTTCTACTAACTAATAGGAAACAACTTAAGATTCGCTATTGAAGTATAGGAGTGAAAATCAGTTAATTTCAGTAATATATTTTAAGGAAATAATTCTTTACCTTTAATATCATTTTCTGAGATGGTCGATCAATTCAGTAAATTATTCCTTAACTATATGTAGTATTCAATAAAACGATATTAACTTTGTCATGTATGTATTGTGCTACGTAGCAAACTGAATGACAGCAACTAATAATATAATCTACCTACATTACACATGACATCATATTATTTAACAATACCGAGCAAGCATAACTAATACATCAAAGCTAATATTTAATATATATTCCAGCCTGCTATACGAGCCAAATGCATTCTATACATCAGCTGATAAGCTTCGCGAGGGTAACGCAGGGGCGGGTATAGCTCGTGGGTGGAAAGTCCTAAACATTGACCCATCAGCACATACAGCAGTTCTCTCAAACATCGACACCGAGGAAAGTCACGTGCTCACATATGACAAGTGCCTGATAGCGACGGGCGTGAGAGCGAGGCGGGTGCCGGCCTTACGAACAGCAGCAGCAGCTGGCAGGTCATTGACCCTGAGATCTGTACATGACACAGCTCGTTTAGCTGCTGCTGTTGATGATCCAGCTGTTAAGGATGTAGCGGTGGTGGGGGGAGGGTTCCTAGCTTCGGAGCTCAGTGCTGCCCTCGCTGATAGACGTTAGTATATTGGTCATGATAAATCTTTACATATAAAAATGAATTGCTGTTCTTTAGTCTCACTAAAACTCGAGAACGACTGAACGGTTTTATCTTATCTTAGTCTTGAAATGTTCGTGGAGATTCAGGGAAGGTTTAAAAGCTGAAAAAAAAAAAAATTTCCTAGAAAACCCTAAGAAACAGTTCTTTTTTATTTCCCATACAAACGGTTTTTTGACATTAGATTTGACAACTAACTAATATCTCAATCATTTTGTCGCACTTCAGAACACGGAGATTTATGGCTTAAAGGTAAACGCCAAAAAAATAAATAAGACAATTTATTTCTTGATTGAGGCAGTACGAAGTCTGCCGGGTCAACTAGTTCAGAAATATATGTAATGAAATGGAATTTCATTAAATTCAAAGGAGATCATTCTTTTTGGGCCTTTTTTAAAAGTGCCGGCCAACAAAAAAAAAATGGTACATATTTGTAGAACTAACCATTTGGAACAATAGTTAATATGGCGCAAAAGTTGTAGGATCCAAGATATAGAAGTTATACAAGTTTCAAGATTCATAATTATGGTACTTTATTTTTTTCTGAAAGTGCCAGGAAACATAAAATAATGATTGATATTGCTAGAGTTAAGCTTCTCAAGCAAATCATTATAGACATAATCTGTTAGAAACCTGTCATTTTTATGTAATACTAGCGAACCCGACAGACGTTGTTCCGCCAAGTATCTGAACGCATGCAACACATTTCTTGATGATTTTATTATTTGTCTAAACTAATATGTATATCGGGGTGCCATTTTTATATATTAAAAAAATGGGCCTAGAAGCACTTTTAACTGATTTTGTACCATTTCGGGTCGGATTTGATCATATGACGCGAGAGCAAGTGGCGCAGAGGAACCTCATAGTGACAGAGCGATAATTTGGTAATCCTGATAGTCCGATTGAAGAAAGAAAGGCCACCTCTATACTTGATGGCACTTACATATATTTACGGAAGAGCACTAATTACTTTTTTCAAAGAAAATCTTATAGCAACCATAACTTTCGAAATCTTTTAAAGCCTTTTTTAAATATTTGTTGCAATGGAACCATAATAGCGGTAGATGGACCATACGCTGCAAAAACCTCCCATGCCCAGATTTTAAATGATGCACTGAATAATGTATTTCACTGGTTTTACCGGCCTGGTGACATTTTTATATTAGACCGTGGTTTTAGAGATGCTATAGAAAATCTGGAGTCATGCGGTTATGTACATGCTCTGCGCCACTTGCTCTCGCGTCATATGATCAAATCCGACATGAAATGGTACAAAATCAGTTAAAAGTGCTTCTAGGCCCATTTTTTTAATATATAAAAATAGCACCCCGATATACATATTAGTTTAGACAAATAATAAAATCATCAAGAAATGTGTTGCATGCGTTCAGATACTTGGCGGAACAACGTCTGTCGGGTTCGCTAGTATTACATAAAAATGACAGGTTTCTAACAGATTATGTCTATAATGATTTGCTTGAGAAGCTTAACTCTAGCAATATCAATCATTATTTTATGTTTCCTGGCACTTTCAGAAAAAAATAAAGTACCATAATTATGAATCTTGAAACTTGTATAACTTTTATATCTTGGATCCTACAACTTTTGCGCCATATTAACTATTGTTCCAAATGGTTAGTTCTACAAATATGTACCATTTTTTTTGTTGGCCGGCACTTTCAAAAAAGGCCCAAAAATGTATAAAGCCTGAATGATCTCCTTTGTTTGTAACTTGTCGACCAGAGACGCGTCATTATTCACTAATGGCGAATTATGTTTACGTTTTTGTGCACTTTATGATTATTAAAACGTGTAGAGAGATAAACTAAGTCATACAATTGAGTGAGGCGATATTAGTGGACTTTAATGTCGTTTCTTTGTATTTTCAGAGAAACAAATTGTGGTTTGCTTTGAATGCCCATGATAATATTCCTTATAAAACGAATATATCCTTATATATATTTCATAGATTTAAGATAGATACTGAGTATAGGTATAAACATAATTATTGTATACAATAAATGTAGATTGAGGTCTAAAATTTTCATGAGTATTAATTTAAATGAAACTTATATTTTTCGCATCACTGCGCTTGTTACATCTCGTCTATCTGATCACGGTTGCTGAAAAATAATCGAAACGTCGATATGTATGTATGTCGAGTATGTTTTAAAATAATAAAATACGTAGTAATCCCGAAAAATATTAGTTTCATGTAGATTGAATTACATTGGGTGTATTGATTATATTCTGTAAAATACCAAGCATAAGCACAATAATAGGGCCAATGACGTGAAATATGAATTTAATTCAAAAATGTTGTCTTATCAATATTCCAGTTGGTCCTTCGGGTAAGCGCGTGATGCAAGTGTTCCGTGAGCGCGCGCCGCTAGAGGGCGTGTTACCACACTACCTGGCTGACGAAGCGGCTAGAAGATTGGAAGAAGCCGGCGTTACACTTGTGGCAAGTGGTTAGTACACGATATAGGAAAATAATAGACGATAAACGAGAATTTTGACGTCGTACAATGGATATGTGCACGTTATACATGAAATTCAACGGGTTTAATATGAAGGCTATGTAATGAAGGCTGAGTTTGATGGGGAAATTAAACTGGGTGCTATGAATGAAATTCTAAACTATGCTAAATAAGCTTCTGATGATTTATTAACCATTATGGTGTTATAAACGGTCAATGTAATGTAAAGTAATTTTTGGAGCATAATATCACACAAAATTTTGTGCACTTGCACAATTATTATTGCACAGTTGTACAATTATTATTGCACAGTTGCACATAACCAATAATATATTACAGAGGAGGTTGTGGACAGTTCTGTGGACGAGTCTGGTCGTGTTTCACTACGTCTGTCATCCGGCGCTACACTGGTAGCTAATGTGGTAGCAGAATGCACTGGCAGTGAACCTGCTACGGAACTAGCAGTAGCATCAGGCTTGGAAATACACCCTGAACTAGGCGGGATCCTCGTAGACGCGGAGCTACGAGCTCGATCAGACTTATTTGCGGCTGGCGACGTAGCATGCTTCTACGACGTAGCACTAGGCCGGCGGCGCGTAGAGCATCACGATCACGCGGTAGTGTCTGGCCGACTGGCGGGCGAGAACATGGCCGGCGTGAAGCGACCACAACACTACACGCATCAGAGTATGTTCTGGAGCGACCTCGGACCACAGTTGGGATATGAGGTATAATAATAATTTTAAAGTTAAAACAACATTCTAATAATACTTGAATCGAAATCGATACGAAAATATTCAATAAAATATTAATCGACGTCATTCGTCTGATACACAAATAAATTACTTTAATTACGTACGTTAACTACAGCGAAGGTCGATCAACCGACAACCGGTTTAAAACTAATTTTAATCAAATAGTGATTAAATTAAAATTAAAATTTATAGTGAATACCGTACAACGTACTCGATATAATCTTGAACAAAAAGTAAATCAAAGTATAAAATATACTTTATAATTCTGAACTATAAGATGTTCCTGGTAAATGCACCTTATTGTTTATTTCGAATGAATTCTATATCAGCATATCGTTACGGGGTGTGCGTATTTCTGTCGTAACTTTTGTTTAACATGAACTCAAATATCCGTCTATCTCATTGAGAGGGCGCCACTATACTTTTCTTATCATACATATCATTATTGCAGGCGATAGGTATAATAGATTCCAAGCTGCACACGGTGGGCGTGTTCTCAGCTGACGCTGTTAAAGAACAGTCCACTGAGGCGAGGGTCCTAGGAGCGGCGGACGGGGAGGAGGGGGCGAAGGCCGAGGGCGCGGAGACCGAGGGGGCGAAGGCCGAGGGGGCGAAGGCTGAGTCAGCGCCGAAAAGATACGAACGTGGCGTGGTCTTCTATATGAGAGAGAAGCGGGTAGTCGGAGTACTACTGTGGAATTTATTCAACCGCTTGCACGTCGCGAGACAGGTTCGTGTTTATTAATTACTAGCTGCGACCCGCGGTGTTACCCGTGGATTTCCGGGATGTAAAGTAGCCTATGTGTTATTCCTGGACCTCAGGTTCCTGTATACAAAATTTTATCAAAATCGGTTCAGCCGCTTGAGCGTGAAGAAGTAACAAACATACACACACACTTACAAACTTTCGCAATTATAATATTAGTAGAAATTAATGACATATCTAAAGTTATTCCTTTATATGGGTGATATTAAAATATCTATTAAGAAACATGAAAGAAAATTGTTACAATCGAAGCCAATTTTGCGTTATCACCCACCCACCATTCACCCACCAAAATTGCGTTAGCACAATCTATCCTTTTACCAATTCTTGATTATGCAGATTGTTGTTATCTTGATCTTAGAGAAGATCAATTTAACAAACTTGAGCGCATTCAAAATCTTTGCATCAGGTTCATATTTGGGCTTCGCAAGTATGACCACATTTCCGATTTTCGCAAAAAGCTCGAGTGGCTCCCGATCCGCCTTCGCAGGAATACCCACATTCTCTCTCTTCTCTACTGTATACTTTACAACCCCAATGCCCCTATTTACCTAAAACAGTCCTTCCAATTCCTTAGTGATTCCCATTTCCGCAGTCTTCGCTCTGAACAAAACCTCACACTTAAAACTCCTTCCCATACTTCTTCCTTCTTTACTAAATCTTTCTCTGTCCAAGCAGTACGCTTGTGGAACTCCTTGCCCATAGAAATAAGACGTGCACAATCCGTTTCTGTTTTTAAGAGGCTTTTAAAAGACTATTATCTGTCATTGTAAATCGTTGTACTTTTTTTTAATATAAGTATGTATTTATATGTATTTGAATTTATTTATAAAACATATGTATTATTTTATTTATACACGTATTTATATATTATATATAATGTATTAATCGTATGTATGTATGTTATGTAAATATGTTATGTATGTGTATGTATTGTTTACGTAAAAGTGTACACCTCCGAACCCCTTTCTTGTTATTCAATGTCCTACATCCAAAGGTTGTCTGGAAGAGATCGCTCTTTTAGCGATAAGACCGCCTTTTGTACAATGTTTCTTTTTTTGTTATGTTGCTTCTTGTATTCTCTTGTTTTCGGTGTACAATAAAGTATATTTATCTTATCTTATCTTATCTTAAATTATAAGGCAAGCTACGTAACAGTCTGCTACCTTCTCTCGCATGGGTCAAAGTAAGATGGTTTTCCCATACATAATATGTTCGATAAACCTTAATATATTTTAAATTTAGAACGTATAATTATTATGTATTTATTTATTTATTATCATTTCTTATCAGGTTCTGGCGCAGGGCGAGTTCGATGACCTCTTCGAAGTCGCGAAGCTCTTCTCTCTCAACGACGAGGAATAGCGTGGTCCGGGCATTTACTTGTTGTATATAATTCATTAGTGATAAACTACCTTCCTGCAATATTGTTTTTAATATTGTTACATAAATTAAATAAAAGAATGCTTAAAATGTTGTGTTTTTTATAAAGAGTTGAAATAGAAATAACCTATCCGGTTTAAGAAATAAAGACAAAGGTGAACTATAGAAATTATTTTTTCTTCAGCCATATGTCCAGAAGTATTGGATCTTTATGTGTTAGTGATTGTTTTATAATCATTACAGCTGAATCTTTTTAAAACATTTTTAATTTAAGGATTTATATATTAATGTAATTAATTTTTTTTGAGTGTTACTGTCACGGTGGTTATATGCCAGATCGGTAGAATATGTAAGGAGATTTGGTAGAGAATGCTATCGTCGAAAACGAAAGTCGTTTATAATCCGTTAGACTTACCTGAGCTTTGCACTTGTGAGAGAAAATAAAAGAAGAGTTAGACAAAAACCTTTAGAAATAAATTTTATTATATTTTAAATAGATACATAACATAAGTGCTAGAATTATTCAAAATAAAAAATAAAATAACCAAAACTTGTGAAAGTCTAGATGTAAATATTATGGAAAAAATAAAATAATAATAAAAATGTTGAAAAAACAATACAAATTCTTCGTCATTTAACATTGCGTTTTCAACATTTGACGCTGCTACCAATACAAAGGGTGAAGTGCGGAAAAACAGTATAAATCGATTCAAACCTCGAAAAGAACGTGGCATGCAAAAATTTGACAACACACCTACACTATACGTGTGCACTCACAAAAATGCAAAGCTCAGCTTAAATCAAACGCATTATACTAGAAGTTATGACATTATTAAAAAAAATACAGTTTAAATCAACAACAATGATATATTTAATTTACCTGGTGTCCTACCCAATTAAATCATAGTAAATGAGTATTTCCAGTACATAATTTGTAACGGACCATAAAACAAACAATAGCCTCTAATCTAGCCCCGAGTGAATAAAGCGTTATATTAGTAGTCATTAGCAAAAAAAGCAAGGTAACCAAAACGTGAATTAATACAACAATAGCAAAATATTCAAGTGCATACAGCATAGCTTGGAAATTCATATATTATCTAATTATTTTTTACTAATAATTTCGATCCATACTCAGCTATATAAAACTAAATCAGTTTACATAATTACAACCACCGTGCGGATCTTTGCTGACGAACAATCATAATGTAAAAATTGTAAGTTTATTTGACATTCTTAAAATATACAGCTAAATAACATCTATTCTCACATCTAAGCACCGATCTCGTCCATGTGATCTGATATAAAAGTTATAAATCTTGGAACATACTTCCATTTCATATGAAAAGTAACAATGGATTGGTTATTCAAATTGCCAAAAAAATGTGGAACGCTTCACGATTTTGCGTGTCATCCTTGCGCAGGGGCCATGCTAATCTTCTCTGTATCGTTCCAATTTTAGTATATGTACTGCCGAAGCGAGTACATTTGAAGTGTACAAAATATTGTATATATAGTCACGAACCTTAAAAACATCATTAGCGCGATTCAGGACGTCACTCAAACAACAACACTATCAAACTCGACACTAGATGGCGTCGCGGTTCTTAGAAAACGCCACCTAGTATTCAGTTTTAAATATTATGTTCTTATTGTAAACTAGTTGAAACTGTATTCATAAAAATCTGAGATTACTTTTGTGTAAAATAACCAAAAGCAAATATTGAAAAACGCTTATAACATATTAGTAGGTATACTCCGTTAGATTTAAGCTGAGCTTTGCATTTGTGTGAGTGAAAGTAAAAGTAGAGGTAGACAAAAATTTTTTAGAATTCAATTATATTATATTTTAAATAGATACATAACGTAATTGCTAGATCTATTCTAGATCAAAAATAAATTAAACATAACTTGTAAAAGGCCAAATGGAAATATTATGAAAAAAAAACTATTAAGTAATAAAAATTTTGTAAAAACAATACAAATTGTTCTTCACTTGACATAGCGTTTTCAACATTTGACGCAGCTATCAATACGAAGACTGAAGTACGGATGGTGTGGGGCGGAGTAAAAGCAGTATAAACCGGTTCAAAACTAGAAAAGAATGTGGCATTCAAAAATTTGACATCACACCTGCACTATCCGTGTGCACTCACACAAATGTAAAGCTCAGCTAATATCAAACGCACTATAACAATTTAATTTTCTTGAGCACAGATTGTAAGGAAGTTAATAAAAGTATAGGTACCTATATTGTACGAAGGATGTTAAATGCATAACTTTACACATTATTTCCAATTAATATCGACGATAAATACATATATTAAAAACAAAATATTGACAAGAAGGTACCTACATCATATTTTTAATGGTTGTTCAGTTTCATTAGTTCATTGTTTTTAATGCAAATATTTGACTTACGCAGTCATTATTCGTTGCTAGTATCTATATATTTTCCATCACATGTACATCATTGGGTCACTTAGTTGAAGTGAGTTACATTAATGTATGACAACTACGCTTCGTCGTCGTGGAACGGTCTCTAAGTTAATTTGTTAACCTTCTAAAGAGTACACAGGAATAGACAACTTTATATAAAGTGTGCAAAACTATTTATACTGTATTGGTTATAGAAATTCATTTTAATATTTTTATATTCATGAAAATTTTAAAAGAAATGCTTAAAACATTATTAACATTTTAAATAATCTTTCAGCGGTCTGGAAAGTTGTATTCGTCGAGAAGAAACTGTAAGATTATAAACTCTTGTTGATGCGGAATTTAAATTTGCTTACGAAAGTGAGCTAATTTTAAATTCCCTTTTAAACGCTATAGCTTCAATTTGGTCGTCTTGTAACAAGAACGAATAATTTGGTAGTCGGTCATTTAACGTGACATTTAATAATGGCTTGTTATTTTTCGTGGAACGTAAATATTTTTTTCCAGACAATTATGGTTTTGAAGATTCGTTAGTAAATGCCTCGTTAAGATTTAACAGAGTTTGATGAAACTTGGCCTTTAGTAGTATATATATATATATATATATATATATATATATATATATATATATATATATATATATATATATATATATATATATATATAAAAATATTATACATAGTTGTACTTTAGAGTAGTGAGGTAACAAAGTTAGTAACATTGGCGTTTTTTCAATTATTTTAAAAACTTTCTTAAATTATTTAATAAATACATTTTTTTAACGTCTGTAGATGATCATGAAAACCATGTTCTGTTTCTGTATTATGATACAATATTTTAACCGTTAGGTGTTTGAAACATCAGCACCGAGAAGTTTTTTCTATAATTATAATGAATTTTATGATAATATTAAATTAGAATAAATATCTTTTATTTCACAAATTAGACATCTTGTATATACAAAAGTGCATCTATTTAAGAAGTGGATATCCACTTCTTAAATAGATGTACAAATTAATTATCCCTAATTAATTCCTTAAAAAAACCTACAATATGGTTATTTACACAATGAAAACAATTTTAGTAGTGATCAATGCTGCCAGTTTAAAAAATATTATATTTTGGTAGCACTAACTTTGTCCGAGCTATCAATTGGTCAACTTCTGTACTAGTTGAACGATAATAAAATAAAAAATATATATGTAAATTAATCACAAGTATTTAATATAAGTTGTAATCTATTGGAAAATATTTTGTTATTGAAATAATTCCATTGCCACTCCAATAATTTATTAAAAAAGGTTTTCAGAATTGTTAACAATGTAATATATATTCAAATATATGATTCAGTTGGCAAACAGATGAAGAAATCTCCTTTCGATACTAATATTGACCTCAGTCCAAAACAGTACAGCACTTTATATTGTGATGAGTAATATATTAGTAAGGAGGGTTCCTACCTAATATAATTATAGAACATCAGTTTGTAAACAACAAAATTACTTATTTACAGTCACAGAAGCTAGTTTTCTTGTATGTAGATATGTATATATAATTTAAACACTTTGTATTTTGTTGACAACATTAAGATGAAGGGTTAATCAAAGAATACACAGAATATTATTTGGTTCTTGAAAGTTAAAGTGTTTTGTTTTAATGTAAAAATGGCCTAACATATTTTAGCTATCACTAAAGTATAAACAAAAAAATTGGTCAAAATATAATAACTGGAAAGGCGAATTAAGGTCAAGAACAAATTTATAAAAGTTTCTTAAGTTGATGAAAGAACAATTTTTTACAAGAGTATTACATTCTTGGTAAAAGGATTTAGAGTACTTTGTTATTCGGAACTTTAAATTTGACGACAAATATTCTTGTATTAAATGAATGTGATAAATTTGGGACTTTAAAAATATGACATATATTATAATATCCTTATTTATTGTTATGGTATTGTATTTAAGAAGAGAACTTTGTTGAGTGGAAAGTCACATACAATGCTTGATAAAGTAATAATGGTAATTTAATTTGTTAATGAAGCAGCAGAGAAATTCTATTTTCTTCCTTTCCTTCAACTGATTTTTTTTTTTTTTTTTTTTTTTTTTTTTATGGCCCAAAGGGGCAAGCGAGCGGACGGCCCACCTGATGGTAAGTGGTTACCGTCGCCCATGGACATCTGCAACACAAGGGGTGTTGTAGATGCGTTGCCGGCCTTGTTTGGAAAGGAGCCACCTGAACACGTGATGTTTGAAAGACCCCATGTTGTAGCTCTCTGGAAAAGCCTCGGGCGGAAGATCATTCCACATCCTGCACGTGCGTGAAAAAAATGATCGCGACGCACGTACAGTCCTGCAACTGAATGCATCCAGATGATGTGGATGAAATCCAACCCTACGCCGAGTAGTGCGGTGGTGGAATGTAGACGATGGCACTACATCAAACAGTTCCTCGGAACATTCCCCATTGTACAGACGATAGAACACACTAAGGGAGCTTACATCCCTTCGGAGACTTAGGGGTTCTAGATCGTCTGTGAGCATGGG